TTTATCCTTCGAATCAACCTCGACCTTGCCTGTATCAAGCAACAGCTTGACCACTGCCTCGTTCCCTGCCCGTCCTACCGCCCACGATAGAGGAATCCGGCTTTGTCGAGGCTTAATTTCCCGCAAATAATCAAGTTGCGAAGCTAGGTTCCGGTCTCCTCGCGGTATGGTTTCTTGCATTAGAAGTGCTATAATTCCGTCTCGATTACCGTTGGCGCAGGCTGCAAACATTGGATAGAAATGACGCTCTCCTGGGATATCCATGTTTGGGACTTGTCTTAGTTCATGCTTGATGAGTCTTGGAAGACTTTTCTCCGCAAGGATATATAAGAGACTCGCACTCAGTGTATACCGCCGTATGTGGTATTTTTCGAATAGGTTATTGAGATATATCCAATGTTTGAGGGGAAACCTTTTTAGAAAGATCTCTTGCTTGATTTCGTCGCTCTCAGCAGAATCTGCATGGTAGAGCACATGATGGACTGCGTATTCAAGAAACGGGAACTCTTCGGATACCGATCGACGCAGAGTTGACGCCTCTGAAGAAAAAGCTTTTGGAAGTGATTCGTTGGGAGGCACGGGCTCTAAGACATCGATATCCATCTGCGAAGCGGCTCTCGGAGGAGGCTGAGTCGCAGGTTGCAGGAAACTTATGAGCGTACTGCTTCCCTTGCTGCCATTAATCTCTGCCAAACAACGGTTTTTTAGGCCTTCATGACTGTAGGTAACGAATTGACCACTGAGATCTGGCCAGAGTCTCTGATATCCTTCCTTAACGAGAAAGAAGTCGCGGACTGATTCATGGATGAACTGGACGGTTGGAGTTTTGTCTTTGCTCCTGGTCTTAGTCACTCCCGCTAGACCTTTAGAGGAACTATGTACGAATCGATGCATGACTTCAGCAGAAACATCTCCAGACACCCAGCATCTGGCCGTTTCTGGAGAATTGGGACTGCGAATGGCGAAGAAGTATTCCTCCTGCTTCAAGGGTCGCTTAGCGAAGAGAATCCATTGGATGCAAAGCCGAAGCTCCTGCATACCTTCGCGATCCCTCGTCAGGATCATCTCAAACAAGTCGTCTAGTTCACGAGGGATCCCGTTAAGGCAAATCTCCAACTCTTCGACTCGACCTTTGGCAGATGCTTCATTGAGCATTGGGATAACCAGAGCAACCCAAAGGAATACTCCGGCGGATTTCTCTAGTACCCGAGCTTTCAGACCGCCTGCTTTCCTCGGGTTCGCTAGCTTTAACTTGGAGTTGATATATTGGGTAATGTCATCGTCATGCTCCTTCTCATCCTCAAGGACTATCTGCTTGCCCCGCCGGATAATGACTGTCGGATAATGGCGGCTTGAGAAGCAGATGTGTAAACGGACGTTGACTTCGACCGCCCGCTCTCCAATGTCTTCGAGGAATGAGATCATGTCTGTTACATCGATATCGTTACACTCATCAAGTGCGTCAACAAATAATTGCAGCGTTCGACATCCGAGGCACTCCACAGTTCTAGTCAATGTCTGCTTAAGCATCTCCAGCTGCCAGCCTTTCCTTTGAATAATGCGTGTGGTATTGGTGTCAAACTCGTTTAGGACCTTTTGGAGATCCTCAGCTTTCTCAAAGAGTTGCCACAGCAGTGATCGATAAAGACCAGTCGTAGACTTCTCGAGATACTCGCCCCGTGCGTTGAAGAAGAACGATGCCACAAGAGAATTCTGATTGTGCTTGGCTGAATTCTTCGCTTTTGAATCAAGAAACTTCATTAAGATCGACTTTCCGGCGCCTGGTTTCCCCTTGATCCAAAGGAATCCGTGATGATCATGTAAATTCTCGGCACTGTTCCAGGCTGTGTACTGTTCATTATGGAAAAGCCACTTGCATGTCTTACTGTGAGCTGTCTTTAATGTCAAGAGTCGCTCGTCGATATGGTTGAAGTACAACAGATCAAGCAACTCTTTACGGATCTTAGCTTTCTCATCGATAATAGCGCCACCGTTGGTTTGTACGAAACAGCCAGTCGTTCGCAGATCTGCCTGGAGGCTAGGGGCCTTCCTGAAACCCATTGATAAGGGCTCGTGTTTCCGTTTCAGTGGTTCTGAGGAGAGCGCTAGTGGTAGAGCAGGCAATTCCTCCTTCAAAGACCTTTCGATCTTTTTTTGAAGCCGAATAAATGCCTTTTCCCGTCTTTCACCGTATATAAGCGACATATGAATGTCAAAGATGCCAAGTAGAGAGTATGCTGCATCTTCTTCGCGTTTTGTTTGACGTTTTACGGCCCACGACATCCGTTCATCCACACTGAAATGCGATAAAGGGCTTCCTCGAAGGGCTTGGATGGCAATTCCAGTTATCTCGTAGAGAGTTTGTTCCATTGATTGCTTGTCGCCGAGCCGCTGTTCTTCTCTAGAGAAGAATTCAACCGAAGTCGGAGCAATAAGCTCTTGAAGCGTCCAGCCACGAGTAAACCATCTGCTCTTCTTGAATTCTGGTTTCCATCTCTGGGCCGAAACGTCAGATAGCCACACGTAGCACCTAGTCGCATCCTTGTACCAGCGATACATAGAGTTAATGGATTCTGTAAGCTCGGCGCTGCTTAGTTTATCGATACACACGGTGTCCACCCAGAAATATTGCAGATTGTCCTTAGCAGCTTGCTGTCCGCAAAAGCGAATCTTCTGGTAGCCAGCCCTGTTCTTTCCGGTACCATTCGCTAGGTGTTGAAATGTAGGCTCTTCGTCGTCTGCTCCCCAAGTGTGCGAAAGGATAGCATATTGGGGTGTCTCATTGCCAAAAAACTCGGTGAGGCTGAACTCGCCATCCTCTTGAAGTTTCAAAAGACGCATTGGATTGACTAGTCTGTTAGAAAGCATTAGAGGATGTAAATATATAGATATAAGAACTTGCCTTAAGGAGGTGAACAATGTGACTCTTGACGGTTAGGACGTTGGGATGTTGGGAAAGTTTAGGGTTGGGCGGGCAGTGCAACTAGGCTCCAAGATTCCCTCTCGGAAGCGCCAGCACACAAAGCTGAGCTACGAGCTATGGTGGGTGGACAAAAACACACATTACGCAGGCCGAGAGCGAAGATACAAGAAATCAAAGTCCCGATTGTTCTTCTCTCAGCCTTCAAGATTACTGATAGCTTTGCTGGTGCACCATCGACTTGAAGAGCCATATACGAAGGGTGCGGCTGAGAGCATATGCACCTTACGTAAGCATCCTCACCCAAACCAAGAACCAGCTGCGAAACAGACGCAACACTGCAATAAACTTTTTTTTCTTTTTGTATGTTTAAGGAAATGGCGCATATTTCTAGACTTTTGCTTACGTGTTGTAACCCTAATTCTCTCCTTAAATATATTTGTTAGTGTTGTTGGTGGTAGTAGATCGTGTTCTATTGCTGCTTTGCAAGTCTTCAAGTGCGTGGAAAATAAGAAGCGGCCAAGAGGGTCTCGCACATTTCTCTCAGCACTCCAGTTGCCTGCGCTAGCAGGGAGGGTGCCGACCCGCACCGGACACTCTCTTGTCAGCTCAAGCTGTGGTAGAGAAGTACCTTCTTGTACCGTGCCAAATCACGTGCCTAGGCTAATGGTGCCTAACCGGATACATAAGTGGAGTGCCATGGCTTTTGCTTACGGGTGGGGTAGAATCGTGTTGCGGCCACGTTTGAGGGTGAAGCCGCATTCGCTAGCAACTACATATACCTGTCTGCCGCTGCATGGGGTGCTCCACTGCACTTTCATGGATCTGAACGAGCTAGAAGCTCTTCACCTTGGGCTATGTAGAAACTCGTTGAAGCACTCCAAGCAGTGATTTACAGGTATACAGAAGAGACACAGTGCTTAAAAAAGGTACCACTTTTGTCACGTCTAGCGTGGCTTAGTTGGCCAATAGCACAGTACCGCAAGGTGCTACTTTCCACCATTGTCCCCTTTCTACTGCTGATATAGTGGCTTATATATCCGCGCTAGACCGCTGGATGCGCCTACCTACAGGTTGTGCAATGAATCCGCCAGAATTACCGCTGCCCCTATCTATAATTACTACGCTATTCTACTTTTTATCTTCTTCACACAGTATGAGTTCCGTTTCAATTGTCTAATGCAAACTACCCCGTCATAGGCCGGTGTGCACTCTTTTGCTACTGTTATGGGTGGGTGCTTCAACACACTCTCCAACCTGAATCTGATGGAAGGTTATCATTCGCAAGAATTAGTGATCTGGTTACGCCTCTTCAAGAGCGGGAAAGAGGTGTACACAGCATTGAAAGCCAGTTCAGAATTTCGATGTATTGTTCTCGTTCGAATAGGAGGGTTGAAACCCCCAAGTCTCCTCCCATGATGCCAGTATGAAAGGACTCCTCCCTATGATACCAGGTCAGGCCCAACTACTCAGCCGTGCCCATAACCCAATTTTCCCAAGGGTGAAAATGAAGATAACAAGACAAGTCACCCTTTTATACGCCAACGCTGATGGAGTGGTAATACAAACAGCCCGAACCTCTCATACTTCGTTGCTCTTCAACCTCGCCAACGTCCGCATGAGCGTCTTCCGCTCCTTACCATCATAGTCAAGCACGTGGATGATATCTCTGAGCTGGATGCCGCGCCCCTTGGTCTCGTCCTCTCTGAAACTACCGAACTTACGATCCCTAGCCACGAGCAGCCTGTCAACCACCGGGCCTGTGCCGCCGCTTCCACCACTAGTACTACCAGCTCCTACGCCTGTGTTGATACGGCTGGGCGTTGCAGGCTTCGCACCGCCCGTCATCCAGCTGTACTTTTTCTTTCCGCCGCCCAAGGCCAAACTAGCTGTAGCATTGGCGTTACGGTGAAGGACGTCCTGGCTCTGGTCGATCTTGCTGAGGCGGTCACGCTCCTTCTTCGACAAGGGCTTCATCTCCGCCATCACATCGCCAGATGGTGTACCAGGAACGGTGGGAGAGGCACCGGCAGGGGTGAGAGACACCTTCTGGCGCTTGGCTCGACGTTCGAGACGCTCTTGCTCGTATCGGCGATCGCGGGCGGCTAATTTCTTGAGGGTCGAGGCAAGGTTGTTGGGAATTTGGACCGTAGCTTTCGGGCTGGGTGGAGATTCGGTTGGTGGGGAAGGCAGACCGCCAGCACTGGATGCTTCTGTGGAACATTTCATGTTAGCAAATGTGATGGTAGACAACCTAGGTTCATGAAACGAACGTCGTTTACGTTTAAGGCCTGGCACCGTCATTGGGCTGACGGCACTGTCCGGCGCCTCCCATGCGCTCTTTGTGAGATTGGTAGGTACTGCTGTGGCTGGCTCTGCGTTGACTCCGGTGGCGATGTCGGCCCACTCTGGCGGAACTAAGCCGTTGGAACCGACTTGACGTCCACGGGCCAGACCATAGGCATCGTCGATAACCGTGCGAATGCGCTCTTGGGCGGCGAGAGATATGAGGGTAAGGATGTCGACCAGGGGGGCGTTCTTGCTCAGAACACTGTCAGCTTGGCGCACGGCGATGGATGAACCGTCGGCTCCGGTGGCAACTCTCTGCTGCACGTTGGTGGCGGTTTGGGGAAGTCTATCATAGAGACCATTAAGATCAACTTCAACGCCATGCTCGTAGCCTCCATTGTGAAGCTTATGACGAACGGCGCTCGCAACGAGAAATGGGTCGTTTAGATGATATTGCTGGGCTTCGTTGAGAGCTCGGGCAGCTGATCGATGCGCTTCTTCAAGCTTCTCTTCGAAGGTCTTCTCGGTCACAGGCGGCTGGCTGAGGGGTCCGGCTCCCTGGAATGCACCGTGCTGCCCTTGCGGCCACTGGAAACTACCATTGGGTGAGACAGTTGAGGATGACTGTGAGTTGAAGGAGCCGACAAACGATGTGCTGTGTTGGTTTCGATAGTTCCTGGATAGATAGTCTTCCTCCTCGCGCTCGTCAATGCCGGCAGCCGTAATGATGTCGCTCAGATCGTTAATATTTGTAGATCGTTCCATTTTGTCTAAGCCTGAACTGTCGGTTGTCTTGCTGTAAGGGACCTTCGGTGGTCCCATAGACCCAGTTGCAGGAGCACGGGAGGCGTTGTCGTTCGGCTGCTGGTGGTAAAAGGGCTGTGGTTGATGGAAATGCGGCATCGGAGGCTGCACGCTCGGGGGAGGAGGCCCATGCGGCGATAGATGTGGCGACAGATACTGGCCCGTGGGAGAAGTAGCGTACGGCGACGTGGCATATGGTGAATTCGAGTATGGGGAAGGTGTCGGTGAAAGGCGTGCCCGCTTGTTGGGAGGTCCTGCGGCTCCTGGGGCTCCACTAGGAGGAGACATGCCGCCCGGGGGTGACTGTAGGCCTTGATACGGGGAGTACGTCCGCTGTGGGGGCTGCAGAGGCGGCAGCGGGGGGTAATGCTGTGGAGGCTGTACCGGATGGTGCATGTTGGGTGTAGAGTAGCCCGAGGGCTGCTGTCCTGGTGGTGAAGCCATGTCCAGGCTGCTCCCGTGGTGCTCCTATCGCTGGGTCATCGGCTGGATGCGGTTCGCGCAAGACGTGCGGATGTCGTGGAATATCGGACGGTATGGCAGTGATGATATGCGCTTCGGCAGGTCGCTGTGTCGGCGGTGAAGCGTCGATTTGCGGTCGTGGGTTGGATGATGAAGAACAGGAGTTGCATCACGGTCGCGAAACGGCGGCCAAGAGCGGCCGGAGATTCGTCGGGCCGGGCGCGCCAGAAATGAAAGTGCAGGTGAAGTCAAGCCTCGCGTTGCGCGCGCAACAAAGCACTCCAATTCTCCATCGTCCGAGGTGATGTTGTAGCTAACAGACCGACCACCAACCGTCGAAGCTGGCCAGAGGATGAATCAGGGTTTGATAAACTGATGCAAGCCTGTCGCGCATTCCGCCCTCGACACTTGGACTACGACAACCACACGTTTCGCCATCTTCGACCTGGCATCGGCCACAGGATCTGCTCAACTTTCTCGGACCCTTTGAACCGCAGAAGCCATGGCGACCAAGCGGAAAGCGGCTGCCATGGGTAGTGATGAAGAACCTGTAGACCCGTCGGACGAGCTCCTGTTCTTCTGTCTCGGCGGAGGCAATGAAGTTGGACGGTCATCGCATATAATTCAGTACAAAGGAAAAACAGTAATGGTACGCTTGAAACACGCTTCACTGCTTGGAATTGGTGCTGATAGAGGATAGCTTGATGCTGGGATGCATCCCGCCTTCGAAGGTCTAGCTGCACTACCTTTCTACGATGAGTTTGATCTCAGCACCGTCGACGTGCTACTTATCAGCCAGTATGTATTCTCGCTCCTTCAGAGTCAACGACAAAGGATGGGAGAGCATTTATCACGGATGGTTGAACCTGTATGGAACATCATCGCCGGGGCGAGTGCATCTGCATCGTTGCAGTCATACAAACTGTCGTCTCCGGCAACACTTCTTGTATATGAGAATCAATCGAAATATATCTTGTATACTTCATGTCCTGGCCCGTCCTGGTGATGCGCGCTCCACCAGGAACCCTCTTGCAACCGTGTACATAGCAATTGCTCTCCCGTCCGCGTTGATTTTTCTTCCGCCCCTCATGCAACGATACTGACGGCATTCCCCTAGTTTCCATATCGATCATGCCGCCTCATTACCATACGTCCTCTCCAAGACCAACTTCAAGGGCCGTGTCTTCATGACCCATCCAACAAAAGCCATCTACAAATGGCTGGTACAAGACAGTGTCCGCGTTGGCAACATCTCCTCCTCTGCCGAACAGAAGGTGCAACTATACACTGAAGCCGACCATCTATCAACCTTCCCGATAATCGAGGCCATCGATTACTACACCACCCACACCATCTCATCGATACGAATAACGCCATACCCTGCTGGACACGTACTCGGCGCAGCCATGTTCCTCATCGAGATCGCTGGCCTCAAGATCCTCTTCACAGGCGACTACTCAAGGGAAGAAGACAGGCATTTGATCTCTGCAGAAATCCCCAAGAACACCAAGATCGACGTGCTCATCACCGAAAGCACGTACGGGATATCCCGACACACTCCTCGAATGGAGCGAGAAGCACAGCTCATGAAGAGCATAACTAGCGTGCTGAATCGTGGTGGCCGTGCCCTACTACCAGTGTTTGCACTGGGGAGAGCACAGGAACTGTTGCTGATTCTGGATGAGTATTGGGGAAAGCATCCGGAGTATCAGAAGATCCCAATATACTACGCTTCAAATCTGGCGCGGAAGTGTATGGTGGTCTATCAAACGTATATCAGTGCCATGAATGACAACATCAAGAAACTGTTCCGGGAGCGCCTGGCACAAGCTGAAGCTGCAGGAGATGTAGGCAACGCAGGCCCGTGGGACTTTCGGTTTGTCAGGAGTTTGAAAAGCTTGGAGCGGTTTGATGATGTAGGTGGATGCGTTATGCTGGCTAGTCCTGGTATGATGCAGAACGGGGTGTCGCGAGAACTGTTAGAAAGATGGGCACCGGACCAAAGAAATGGTGTCATCATCACTGGTTATTCAGTCGAAGGGACAATGGCAAAGGAGATTATGCATGAGCCAGAGCAAATAACAGCCATCATGACAAGAGGTAGTCAGACTGCACGAAGACCAGGCGGACCTCGAGAGGGAGAAAAGGTCTTGATCCCACGACGATGTAGCGTGCAGGAATACAGTTTTGCAGCTCACGTTGACGGACCTGAGAATATGGACTTTATCGGCGAAGTGAACGCTCGTGTCGTTGTAAGTTCTTCTATCCTCATATCAGTTATGAAATGCGTATTAATGACGCCTGCAGATTCTTGTCCACGGCGAAAAGCACAACATGATGCGCCTGAAATCCAAGCTTCTCTCTCTCAACTCCGACAAGACCGTCGCCGCAAAGATCTACTCCCCCGCCAACTGCGAAGAGCTCCGCATCCCCTTCAAAGCAGACAAAATTGCCAAAGTCGTCGGCAAGCTCGCGCAGATCCCACCACCGCTCCCCTTCCGAGGAAAAGGTGACCCAGAAGGACGCCAGGAAGAATTAGACACCTCGAAACTCATCACCGGCGTCCTCGTGCAGAACGACTTCAAGATGTCCCTCATGGCGCCCGAAGACCTGCGCGAGTATGCCGGCTTGACCACCACGACTATTTTGTGTCGACAGCACCTCAACCTCAGCGCGGCGGGCATCGACCTCATCCGCTGGGCGCTCGAAGGCACGTTTGGCGCGATCGAGGAGATCACAATCGAAGACGACGCCGTCAATGGCAAGGTGCAGCCCAACGGCAACGGCCTCCACAAGCACGAAGACGCCGACGAGGAGATTTCGCGCTCTACGACCGCGCTGAAGGTCATGGACTGCGTGACCATCTACTGCCGGCCCGGCAGGTCAGTAGAAGTAGAGTGGGAGGGCAACATGATCAATGATGGGATCGCGGACGCGGTGCTCGCCGTCTTATTCACTGTCGAGAGCAGCCCTGCGGCTGTGAAGCGTAAGTCCTTAACGTCCCTCTTTCCCCTTCATCGCGCTATTGAACCCCCTGTGCTCTGTTTGATACATACATATTTACTAACTACTCAAAACAGAATCGTCTCGTTCTCACTCCCACTCCCACTCCCCCTCTCCCCCCGTCAGCGCCCTCCCCACCCGCCTCAAGCCCTCCCACAACCCCCACGCCTCCTCCGACCCCAGCACCCGCTTCGCCCGCCTCTGCATGTTCCTCGAAGCGCAGTTCGGCCCCAACGTCCACCCGATCACGCATCCACGCCTCCCGACCTCAGACCCCTCCTCTACCCCTGAATCCACCGACCCAGACCCAGAGAAGTACACGAAAGCTGAAGTGACGGAGCTGAAACGACTGCACAACATCGGCGTCCCCGTGCCTGGCGTAGAGATACGGTTTGATAACCACGTCGCGCGCGTGTGGTTGGAGGATCTGAGTGTGGAGTGTAAGGTGCAGGCGCTGCGGGATCGGGTCAGGGCGGTTGTGGAGAGGGCGGTTGAGACGGTGAGTGGGCTGTGGGTTGGATGAGCAAGTTAAGGACGTTGAGGGAAGATGGGGGGACGATGTGGATGGGAGAAAGGGTATTTGGAGTAGCTAGCTAAGGCGTGGCGTTCAGCATCTAGCCTTGTCGGGATTGGGGAATATCAGGGATTAGCTTAGGCGGCATAGCTAGCCATAAGTCTAGGACATTTCGTGCCAATGAAACTTTGAAGATTATAAGATTCGCAAACCTCCTCCCTGGATCTAACCGTGTGACACTACCTCCCGAATCACGTGGCTTCACGTCCTCCACGTGCCTCTCACGTGCGACTAACGTATGATGAGTATAAAGCCTTCTCCCCCCGACCCCGAATATAGATTTCAGAGATACAGAGAGCAGGTTCAGCAGCGACCGTGGAAGGCCTCCTATCATTTCAGGGGAATCTACCGCGTGGTGGGAGGCATTTACGGGAGTGTGAACAAAGTACTTGGATGACTTCATGGCTGGGTGGGAGGGTATCAAGAAGCTTCCTGTTACGACCATATGGGAGGGAGAGGCAGTCGAGATTAAACTCCGCTAGAGAATAAGGGCAATGGGGAAGTGCTGCAGCGAGGCGATGACACTCATCACCTCCTCCAAATCGCAAACTTCGCCATCACAGCGGAATAACGACCGTAAAACCTAGCCATCGTCCAGCTCTACTATTGTGCCGTGGCTGTGCTTGTCATTAGCAGCTTCCAGAGGCGGTGATTGGGTTGACAAGGCGTCCGGGCCAGCCGGTCGGTGCATGGAGGAGTGGTCTTGGTGGGTTGTACGCTCTCCATCGTTCTCGATTTCGTAGGACTTTTCTGCTTTGCTGCCTTCATATAGACTACCGGTCCTCTTTTCTTCGTGGGAGGTGTATTTGAGGTCTGGAAGTCGAACCTTGCGGGGTCACGAGCTTGGAACCGACTTGCTCCTGACCGATCTCCGGTAGAGTGATTTCGATAGATACGGGGAAATTTGATAGAGTGTAGCGAGATATCTCTTGGGTCTGTTTTGCAAGTACCTACAAAATGAACCGCATAGAACGATTCTAGGTAGACACAGCATGACACATGTGGCTGACTTTGAACCTCCTTTTCGCTCCTTTAGTTGCAAGTAGTCCCAGATCCAACCGCGTGGAACCATTGGTGTTAGGCACTAATTAACACGCGCTGCTCTGAGTGACATGAGACGACTGCAAAATACCTAGCATAGCTGTCATGTTTACAAATATTTGCCCATCAAACCCGCAGTTTCAATTTTGCTGGGCATGGCGCAGAAGCAAAGAGCATGTCATTCCGACATGTTATTATTCCATCAACTTACATATCTACACGAAACCAAACCATCGTATCTTTTCCTAATCCACCATATACGCCTTCAGCAGCTTCTCCAACTCCACGGAAATGGCATCTCCAACCTCCGCGGTCTTGGCCTCACCACCGATATCCTTCGTCCGTACGTTGTTGTCAATGACAATCTTGACCGCCTCGTCGATCTTCTTTGCCAGCGCGGGCAGATTGAAAGAGTACTTAAGCATCATGCTCATCGACAGCACCGTTGCGATCGGGTTGACAACACCTTGCCCCGCAATATCCGGCGCCGACCCATGAATCGGCTCGTAGATCCCAAAGATCTTCTTCTTGCCGTCCGGAATCCCACTCAGACTTGCAGACGGGAGCAGGCCCAGCGAACCCGGGATAACCGACGCCTCATCGCTGATGATATCACCAAACAGATTGCTCGTGACAATAACCCCGTTCAGCGCCCGCGGATTCTTGACCATCAACATCGCCGCGCTGTCAATGAGATGCGTGCCGTGCTTCAAGCTCGGGAACTCCTTCGTCATGACCTCCTCAAACACCTTCCGCCACAGTCTGCTTGTCGCCAGCACGTTCGCCTTGTCGAGACTCCACACAGGCGCGGGCGGGTCCTCGGCCAGCGCGAGACCCCCGGCCAACCGCACGACGCGCTCGATCTCGGGCCGCGAGTACGGCTCGACGTCCCAGGCGGTGCCGTCGCCGTCGTCCTCCTTGCGCTCGCCGAAGTAGATGCCGCCGGTGAGTTCGCGCACGATGTTGAAGTTTGTGCCGCGGCAGACGGATTCTTTGAGGGGGGAGGCGGAGACGAGGGAGTCGGAGGCGAAGAAGCAGGGGCGGAGGTTGCCGAAGGTGGAGAGCTCTTTGCGGAGGCGGAGGATGCCTTGCTCAGGGCGGACGGCGCCGGTGCCCCATTTCTGAGTGGTGTTAGGAAATGGGGGTGGTGAGGGAGTTGATAGGGGTGTGAATAGGTACGTACAGGGCCTCCTACGGCTCCGAGGATAACGGCATCGGCAGCTTTCGCGGCAGCAAGGGTCTCGTCTGTCAGAGGGGTGCCGTTGGCGTCGATTGAGGCCTGTTTGAGAGTGTTGAATGCTTGTGTCGAGTCTCAGTGTAGGGTGTACATACGCCTCCGAAGAGGTGGTCTTCGAACTCGAACTTGATATCTGACGTTCCTTTCTCAACGACTTTGAGGATCTATTCGAAGGTTAGTCCATGAACACTCTTTGATTGATTTCATGAGTCTACTGACCTTGACAGCTTCTGCAATGACCTGTGGACTCGGCTTAATTATTGCTCGTGGAAATAGTGCGGAGAGCTTACTTCAGGTCCAACTCCGTCGCCTGCAATGCTGTCAGCTAAGGCAACATCAATTGGGTACAGGAAGCAACTTACCTCCGAAAACTACAATCTTGAAAGTAGGCATATTAGTTCAACAATGTTGGTTGTGTTGCAAGAGAAGGTCCGTCACGCATCAACTCTGGAGTAATAAATTTAAGCTCATCGGTTGACGGCGGGGATGGACCGTCTACGCTGCGATGTCGGAGACTGCTCCGCCGACGTCGGACCGATGCATCGCTGTGGCATGACGGACGTATTGGAATCGCATGTCCGCGAGTGGTCGAAGGGGGCCAAAGGAACGACTGCAGGAGAAGCAGGAGGCTGTGCAGAAGCAATCATATCTTGGGCTGCATGCCCCGATGCCCGAACCCTTCATCTCTTCTCCAGCCTCCTCCAGTTCACCCTCAGCCGCCAACACGACCCCGCATTGGGAAGACCGACCCCAGCGATCAGGAAACCCCCTTTCACGCCTCACTTGCTTACCATGGCCATGTGATATGGCAGCTTTTGTGGCTAGTAGGGCGGACTGCTGGGTGCTGCGGAGGACTCGCCCTGTTGCCTCTCGAGTGAGCCACGGCGCTTCGAACGTCGTCCCGGCCTCCTAATGAGTAGACCGCTGGCAATTCACGGTATCTGTTTGAAGACTGGCAGCTCTTATTTCTTTTTCCTTTCGGCAGCTCAATCAGGACCACGGCGCTTGGCCGAGCGGACAGTTCTGCTATTTCTGGTCTCTAGTTGCATACGGCTGCAGCGGCATACCCCCATCCGGTGTATCGTGGCTGGGGTCATGCGAGGCCACAGGCGAACGATGGGGATGGAAAGGATAGGGGGCAGCACACCAAGGAGGCTGGCGGCTTACGAGCGCGTGAGTGTTGCAGAGTTTTCTCCTCGTTTCAAACGCGTTGCAACATCGGCCGTCTTGCCTCTTTGAAAGGCAAACGATGGCCAGCTGCCAGGCGTGCCAGGTCATTGTGTTGCTGCCTTGGAAGTCAGGCGAGGCGCTGCCGGGCACTGGCGCTCAGGGCATAGAGAGGTCTCGGTCTATGACGAACACCTGCATTCGTTTCTCGCTCGTCTTCTCTTTGCGGAACATTCTTGCGCGTGCCTTCTGGCCCGGCGGCTACGGTTCATCTCACGCTGCAGCCGAACGTCTGGGGGTGTTGATCGTATCCTTTTTCAGGGTGTTTATATTGGTGGCGTTCATGCTTGCGGGGTCTCCTCCTCAGCTCTCCAAGGTCAATTACTCCTCTGTGCCCAAGTCTCTGAGCATTCCGACATACTGCTTTCTTCTTTTCGAAGCGCTTCGCGCGCAGTTATTGTGGAACTACTTCTGTCGGCCATGGACTTTTTCGGACGACAGGGCTTACACAGCCACCTGCACGTTCACCACGATCTTTGCCACAGCCACATCCTGGCGCGCCCCTTCAGCATTGCAGCCTGGGGAGGCCGCACCCTCAACGGCCGAGAAAATGGCGACAAGGACATGCTCACTGGTTCAGCAGCTCCGTCCATAATATCAACAGCCCCGCCGCCTGCTTGGAGCGGGCATCTAAATTCAACGTGATCACTACTTCGAGACCCAGCCTCATTGCACCAATCGCTCTCCGCCTCATACCCTCACCGATCTTGCCCTTCACGCAAAGTCTTTTGCATTTGCCTTTTGCAGGCATGCAACGATAGCAAGCTTTTCTTCCTGTCCGATATAACAGTATCGGATACTTAAACGTGAGTATGAATGTCGGCTTCAGAGTCGGCTTCATACTAAAGGCGAAGCAGTACCATTCCTGATGTCTGACTCACCATCTGCCCGGCGTCAACCCGACTTGAACGACCACAACACCATGGCTCCGGGAGAAGGCCCCACAGTAGAAGACTCTCCAGGAGAAGGATCAACTCGTGCAGCGGCCGCCGACGCCGCTTCGTCTCCTCCATCCCCAACTTACTCCCCTCCTCGCCAGCTACAGGATACTCCCTCTTCAATCATGTCCGTGTCTGACTATCTGCCCGGATTTTACCAGTTAAGGATCCATGGGAGCTGTCCCAACTGTAAGCACTGGCACAGGACTGCGACCGCACAGATCTCCCGAGATCCAGCCAAATTCTCCGGTGTCCGCTGTGAGAAATGCAACAAAAGGTGGTTCGGAATCGGAGGGAATGCTTCTCATCCTTCGCTTGCGTCTGTCAATACCCTGCCCGAGGCTGAATGGATTGAATCCCCTAGTTACTCTGCGCTGCGTAACGCTCTCTTAGTCAATGTCCAGACCTTGAGTGCAGTTGGTAGCGGCTCTTCTAGACTGGGTCCTGTTGCTGAGGAGAATACCAGTCCGATATCACACCGGCCTGGCCAAGCCCTACATTCCCGAAACCCATCTTCGCGTAGTAATGTCCATCCACGGCCGAGTCCTACCAAGGTACCAGAAAATGAGGAGAAGGCTGTCGTTCAGGAAGTTACACCCCCGGACGTCAAGCGCCATCAAGTCAAACCAAGTCAGACTGTTGTTCCCGAGATCGAAAAACCAAAGGCAACCCACACGCGCAGCTTCGACAAGGCTAAAAGCCGCGTTAAGCAGTTCAAGAAGAAGTTCGAGAAAGTGACTCAGCGAATGAGAAGTGGCCTTACGTCCTTGAAAAAGAAGACGAAGAGGAGCAAGAAGGGAAAAGAAAAGATCGACGAGCCAAAGAATACCCAGGCCGTTCGCCAGGAAGAGGCGCTACGAACTAAGCCGGATATCACTGAGGACAAAGGAGTGGCCGATACTCCCAAAGGCGAAGGCCAGCCCGAAGGATCTGTAGACACCTCGTCAGGTAAAGGAAAGGCCAAAGAAGAACCATTGTGGCCCGGGTCTACAAACGAGGACCCAGGACCGGCGGATACTAATGGAATTCCTTCGCCAGAGCCTTCCCCACCACTTTCTGATCCACAGGCACGGAGGCGTCGTCGGGACGCAGAGATTGACTACGTGCGCAAGGAACTTACGAAGCTCAGTGCCTGCACATGTGGACCCAACTGTGGGCCTGAATGCCGTTGCAGGCACCACGGTCGGCCGGTCGGCCCCTTTCACCCTAGGCGCTCCCAGGACGACTCCTCCATCGACTACTACAGTCATCCCAGCAATCCCGATGCTGAGCCTCCTATACCTCAATTACCACAGACTGGGCTTAGAGGTTTAGGAGGGCTCAGGAATTCTGCTGACTTTGACTATTTCGGCGTCCAGTTCGAACACTCCGGGTCCGAGTCCCACTACCCTGGCAGCATCGCTTCAGGACTCTCCAACCGCGTCTCCATCGGCGCGATCACGATCGCGACGACGCATAGTAGTAGCAACTTCTCAACAGCGAGGACCTACGTTGGCAGCGAAGGTATGACGGCTACGTCGCCTCCGATCACAATGCTACGCCCAAGGCCTCAGTCTCTCCCACGCCCGCACTCTCGTTCGCCACGGATTGCCTCGGCGTCGCCACCAACGTCACCTCTACGTGTTTCGACCTTCGCAAGGGCCCGTGATAGTTATGCGAGCTCTACGGACGACAGAGATGATGATGGACCTGTTCAAGACGGCCTCGATGAATTTGGGACTACTCCGACACAGCATAACTACATTGAGGCACTAAGAAGCTTCCAGGAACACGAACGAGGACGCACCTTTTCACAGACTCACGGCCGCGACAACGATAGCCAGCAAGGGGATGCTATCGCAAGGCACGACCATGCGCCCATAGTCAATGGTCACGCGCCGATGGTCAATGGCCATGAGTACGAACGAAGGCTCAGCGAGCCGACGAGCAGCACCGCATGAGAATGAGAGTTCTCAGCCTTTAGTTCTTCGATGATGAGCAACAGCATCCGTTCCCCGACTTCGATTTATGGTTTCCACGGTTTTTGATGACGATGAGACCATGCTTCCCGATATACCCACCTTTGACATACGCCGCATCACGCCCCGTCACGCCTCGCAACACCTTCTCGTCGCTTTCGCGCCTCAATACACCCGTAACTACCTCCTTCCACATCTACCTGGCGGCACACATGTACATTTTTCTGTATCTCTACCAATACTTCTCCACCACGACACATAGGGGGACCTCTCGGGCATTACTAGGTTGGACGGACGGACGCACGGACGCACGGAAAGATACCCACACCTATGACCTTACCATCATTATCGCTTACCACCTATAATCTTGTTTTCTCCATTTCATTACGCTGTCCTACTTCTCAACCTTCAGCTTGTTGGATTTCGGCTTCCGGTTCAGTCCTGTCTTCAGACGTTACCAGGGTCCCCGGCGATGCTTTTTGGTCATGGCACGTGTATTATATACCCCATTTCATATCAGTGATATAGACCAGGAAGGCTTAGAGGCTGCGTTTGTTTTATTAGACAAAAGCTCCAATGCTTAATTTCGTATTCATGAATGGCCGTGCTTCGTACTTCGTGACCACCTCGCCCTCCCATCTCCTACCTAATATCAGGCAGTCTCTCCCACTCCGACATCGTAATCCTACTCCTCCCCTTCCCAGCCCCCTCTACCGCACCTCCACCCCCACCGCCCAAACTCGCCCTCCCGCTCGTGCTCTGCCTCCTTGTCTCAACTACCTGCTCCGTCTTCCCCCTCCTCACCCCCCTATCCCTAGCAAAGATCTGCAACCCCCGCAAATGCGTATCCTTCCCATTCTGATGGTTCTCCAGAATCTTAACCTGCACCAAATGCGCCCTCAACTCGGGCAATCTCGCGCGCCTGCGGCGCCGTCTCGGCCGATCCAGCTGCATCAGATCCCCCTCCTCCTCATCCTCCTCCTCCTCATCAGAAGAACCACGGTCGCCGCCAGAAGAAAACTCAGATCCATCGTCCTCGCCGTCCTCGTCGGACGCAGACGCAGAAGCATTCGAAACCACCCGCACAGGGCCCGGCCCGCCCTCCCGCCCCGGCGCGGCAACCGCGTCCCCGACGTCGCCCACACCCTCGAAGCCGACCCACACCCAGCCGCGCGGCTGCTCGAGCCGCAGCTCGCCCCACTCCTGCAGGTCGTTGGGGCCCGTGCCGGCCAGGAAGAGGATGCGCGTGGGCGTGTACGACTCGTCGGCCTCGAAGTCGAGGTACAGGCGCACGCCGACGATGCGCACGCGCTTGAAGAAGTGCAGGTTGAGCAGGTGCGGCTGCGGGCCGTCGGATTGCCAGAAGTGCGTGGTGAGGGGGGAGCGCAGTTGGGGGATGCTGCAGCCGGGCTTGGAGGAGGAGACGGTCCAGGAGGCCAGCGAGGAGATTTCTTTGAGGTTTGGGGGGAGCGGGGGCGAGGGGGGGAGGTGCAGGGGGGAGTCTTCTGGGTGGGGGGTGTTAGTTGAGGGAGGGGTTGTGGGGAAGGGGATGGGGGGCGTGAGGGGAGGTTGGGAGCACGTGATCTGGGGATGTGTGAAGATGTGGGCGTTGAATCCCCGGGGTGGTGGATCCCGGGGAAGCGATGAGACAGAACGTGGGAAAGCGGGGGGTGGAGAGTAGGAGAGACACAGATGTTGCGCTCAGCCGAGAGAATGTGATGCTGCAGAGATCGGCGTGTGTGGAAGAAAGAAAGCTCGAGCGGAAAGCAAGGAGGGTGACGATGTATCACATTGCAAGATATAACTTTCTTAAGCAAGTTGGCTTACCTAATGGCTCCTCCTCCTCCTCTTCTTCTTCCTCTTCGCCATCAGCCTCCTCTACCAGCTCATCGTCCTCAGCATCGTCGTCTTGGGTGAGATCGCTGTCCTCCTGCGGATCCACAAACTGCTGCTGGGGCGGCGTAGGCTGGGGCTGCGCCTGGTGGCGACGCGTGCGCGAGAAGCTGAAGTCTGTTCTTGGAGGCATCGTGGCGGTGGGGTTTGCAGACGCGGCGAGGTGTGTTGTTGACGCGCTAACCTAAGGTTTGCGTGCAGGGGACGGCAAGTGAATTATGCGCGGCATGCCGACCCGGGCTAGCGTCGATGTGCCGGGAGGATTCCGGCGGGCAGCCTAGTAGGGTGGTCTTCGGCCTCACCTCCCGTCCCAAAACGCCATCAATTTCTCGACCGCCGACGCCACCGACGATTGTGATAGCTGGCGCTCGCGAGTCAGTTATCACCGACAGAACTAAGTATGGCTATCCCAACAACACGTCTCCACAACCGCTGCTGTTTCTGTCAGAAGCCTGTCACCGGCCTGTCATCCTGTCCTGTCTGTTCTTCGCGACTCGTCAATCAATTCCCCGTCTGCACGAGCCTTGGAGACAGGACATCCGCACCGGGACGGGTGATGCGCAGATCACCTCCAGGGGCCCTCTCGGAAAGGAGATTAAGCTGATCTGGACGTCAACCCAGCGATGCTGGACGCGCGCCTCCGATATTGCGTCCACGGAACAGCTTGACCTCATGGAGCTCTTGACAGACTCCTTGAGAGGAGTCTGAGAAGGCACGTCTATGTAGATGTAGGAAAGCAGAAGCAATGCGGGAGTCTCTCAAAGGCATCGAGGGTCTACCCTGTACGCAGCATCTCCCCGCTGCTGCTGATCTGTCCCAAAAGACGTGCAGTCGATAATCAACCCTGGCGTTTCTCCGCCTGTCACAACAACTGCCGGCGCCTGATCAAGCAGCCTCTCCCTCTTCTCGCCCCACCTGGCCCCGTCGTGCCACCAGTGATCATTCTCCAGGGCAAATGCATGGACCGAGTGGAGCCCCGCTGCACGATCTGCTCACCATTGTCCAAGCAGAGACCTATACTGTCTGCGGCCACAGTCTCCCGGGGCCATGCTTGTATACTGCATCTATCGTCAAACTTCTCCTGCTTTTTTGTACCTCTCGCTTCCTGCACCGTCCATTCATTTTCATTCTCATTCCCATGCTATCACATCAAGTTTTCCCAGGAAACCGGTACTTGACGTCGTCGTCGCAGCTTGTGTCAACCCCCAGACCTACCCACTTGCATCTATCTTGCGTGTAGTACCCTCATCAACAACACCTTATCCCTTGCCTTTTCCACTCTGTTGTCCAGCTACTGAAAGTTATTCGTTCATGTCGATTCTTGTTCACCCACTGCCAAATTTTGAGTGATTACTTGCTCAATTCGGCCAACGTTCTTGCCACTTGCTCAAAGCTTTTTATTCTCCATCTACAAACGCTCACACAATGTCTCATACGAATCACGACGTGGCCAGCCGCGGTATTGAGCAACGAGATGTGGCTATCGCGTTCCTCGTAGCTACCTGGGTATTCGTGCTATTGCGCATATACGTTCGAGGATACATGATCCGCAACTTCGGCTGGGATGATTCCATCATGATACTAGCAAATGTGAGACTTCCTTGCTCCAGTGCTGATATCAAGCTGACTTTTCTCCAGCTTGTCTTTACCATGTACTGTGTTGCCATATTGTACACTGAAGCACACGGAGCAGGCACGCATCTGTCTGACCTGGCCGCTATAAACAAGATCATCAACGTGAGTCAAACATTCTACAAAGCCGTTTGACTTGTCTCACATGCTCTAGTGGACCATTGCCGCCCAGGCCATCTACATCGTCACCATATGCTTCCTTAAGATCTCCCTAGGCATATTCTTCAACCGCATCGTAGTCAAGCCATGGCAGAAGACCTTGATCCTCGTAGTGGTCGTCGTTAGCACCGTTCAAAGCGTCGCCAACTTCTTCTTCGCTATCTTTCGCTGCGGCGCGCCAGTTGGAGACTACCTAACCAAACAAATTGCAGGCCAATGCGCTTCTCGTCGTACCAACCTCATCTTGCTATACATGCATGCTGCTGTGACCACTATAACCGACTGGATATTCGCCGGACTACCAGTCGCAGTAGTATGGGATGCAAAGATGGACGTACGCACAAAATGCTCAGTTGGCTTTATCCTCTCTCTAGGCGCATTGTAAGCTCCTTCCCGGCCCCCGTATCTCGCTCCATCTAACATTCCGTAGCGGCAGCATCTGCTCCATTGTCCGCTTTTTTTACATCGACGGCCTCACACGCACCGACGACTTCTTTTGTAAGACCCTCCAAAACCCCCAACGTCATATTGCCATGGCTAACATTACACTTTGATCAGGGAACGCAACCAACACCGCCATCTGGTCCACCATCGAGCCCGGCGTCGGCATAATAGCCGGTTCCCTCGCCACAATGCGCCCCCTCTTCAAATCTGTGTTCACAAGTGTCCGCGACCTCACTTCCAGCGCTTCACAGATCTCGAAGCGGATGTCGCGCTCCTTCCGCTCACCCCCGGCCTCTGGCGCTGACAAGAGTGTTCTCGATAGCCAGAAACGCGGCTCTGCGTATTTGAGACCGGACAACTATAGTGGCAATGATAGCCAGCACACCCGCACCACGACCACGGCGGTGAGCAAGGACGGAAGATCGACCGAGATGAAGCCGGGCTTCTCGGCGACTCAAACGGCCGCGAGCTCCGAATACATCGTTACGAGGAACGAGGATCAAGACGGGCAGTGGCCTTTTGACCGAAGCGTTCTAGTGACACACATGTCGAATGAGGAGGATGGGATCGAGGTTGATCGGAGGAGCTCGCATACGCTAGGGGAAGAGGAGGGGAATGATGTGAGGGCGAGTTTTAGGCTGCCGATTAAGGGCCAGAGGAGGAGCGAGGATTAGATGGTTTGAAGCAAATTACCTTCCCGACTACTCTCGGACTTTCTTTCCTTTATGGGCCTTGGACGACTTACTCTTTGTAATAAGGTTTTCACTCACGACGTTCTTTTCGCATGTTTCGGCGTTTGCTTGGGGAAGGGGGAAGATACCACTTTTGCGCTGTTTTGTTTCATTCGCTGCTGGCCTGAAGGGTCATTGTAATTACCTTTTGGAGGGAAATACTAGAACGACTGTTCGCGGAGCTCTTTCAAGTCCTCGAATTATTCCTTCGTTGACAATGCAGGAGATTCGAGGGCAAGTACTCCTCAGTTAAGAAAATCGCTAGGCTCAATGGTAAATCTATGAAGTATCCCAGTCCTATTCGCGTTACTTTCTCGTTCGATCTAAACTTTACCTCTTGAGTCCGAACGCTTACTATTTCTTCTTTCCTCGCCCTCGATGAAGGACTAGACCACTCTGACCGAAGGACGCCGCTAGTTTCGGCGCGGGCACATCCTGTGCATATAGGCTGCGTCTTATAAGATTGTGATCATCCGACCGTCTTACTGCCTTCGAAACACCACCTTCTATAGTTACCCCTTTATCATCTCCACCCACCACCATCACCATCACTAAACCCCACCTCCTCCGACCATGACACCTTTCAGATGATGTCTTTTGCTCTCTCCCTCCCATGTCACGTATTTCCTGCGTTTTCGACACCCTCTCACCCAACCATCAGCGCCAACCATATGCCATTTTGCTCAGCTGGAATCTACGCACTCCCGTAGAAACCCTCTCACCACCCGGTGGATCCTATGAAATGGTAGAAGGGTTCGCGAGAAATGTTGAAACTGCGAACTCTGTTTGTCTGAAAAGCAGATTCGGAGCACAGGGGGGGAGGTCTTATAGGTGGCGGATGGTGGGGGCATATGGGGGGCATGTGGAAAAAGGGGGGGGGTGGGGCGGCGTGAGATGGTAGGGAGGTGAGCGGCCTGTCAAAATTGCTCCCGCTCCAATCCCGTGACTCAGCCAGACTCTCCGGCCCTTAAATACGCCTCCTGCCCAAGACTTTGGAGAACTAACAGTCGGAAAGAGAACAACAGAGCAGCAAAACCGAGATAGCTTCAACTCCCATGGAGAGTGCAAACCCACCACTTCGCTCTTCCTCATGTGCTGGGCATCGGCTTTGCCGATGTAATCGGCACCTCTAGACGTTCTTGAAGATGGGCGTAGCCAGGAGTCAGCGATAGACCTCGAGATTAAACCACTGTTCCAGTTGGCATTGTGCTAGTGGTGGTAAAGCCTGCTGTTCAGAGGAGATGGTGAGCGTCATTATCTTAATATGGGGACCACCTCCCCATAGACCTCCGAGGCCGTCGAAGTTGAAAAAAACCGCTCTCCCCAGGTCATGGACCAATATCTGAGGTCATTTGAACACACCACTGCTGGCGCCATAGCATATTGCCTGCAAAGATTTTGATGATCCTACCAGCTCTCCGACCATCATATCCTCCGACGAGACTTTTTAATCTGCCAGGCAAGACCAAAGCCCTTTGTTGCTTCCGAAGAGGTGGGCTGATGGAAGATTTTAAACCCAAGGATAGCTGGAAGCACGTGAGTTGGTAGGGGTTCATGTGATAAGGACTCCTGTGTGGCGCTCTTGTTTGGGATGTAGGATGGCCTAAAGTGAGCTACTTACCGATTCAACAGACTGCATTGCAGAGGGTTGAGCAATGACCTGTGCTAGATGGCTGCAGCGTATCTTTCTACGATCCATTTCCAATGTGGTTTGGGACAGTTCAAGGCATTTCTGGAGGACTCGAGAAAACGCGAGATGGCTGGAAGATGACCTAGAGTATATTCGAAGAATATCTGTTACATTACCTCCAAACACCACGCCACATTCAAATACTAAATCAGCCCAGAGGCCCAACCCATTAAAGCACAACACACCCATCCAATAGCCTCCTGCACTCAATCCTTACTCACCCACTCCCCAACCCCAACCCCTTCCCCCCAATCTCCGATACCTCTCCCCCTCCCTCCCCACCCACCACGCCCGCACCACCGTCGCCAACGAAACAATCTCCAACACGCCCTCTGCCAACGCCCCCCACCACGCCGCCCGCATCTGCCCACACAAACTCCCCAAGTTCCCCACCGCATTATCCAGCGCCTTATCATGGCGACGCGCGCACGTATACGACAAAAAATCATAATGCTTCGTCTTATCCAAGTCGTCAACTTTGAAGTACACAGCCGCAGCAACCCAGACAGCGATGCCGAAGGCGGCGAAGAGCACGGTGACGACGTTGCCGACTTTAGTTATGCGGCGGACCTGGGGGTTGGGGGTGGGGCATTAGTAAAGGCCCTCGCTTTTTTAATATATATCGCTGAGTATGTAACTCGGAGGGAAAGGGGATGATGGGGGGGAAAGAGATGGGGTTCCACACACCGCCTTGCTGAAACTCGCCACGCACAGCACCGCACTCGCCGCTGTCGCGGCGACCGACGCGCCCAGCAGCACCAGCGTCGGCCGCATGTCCAGCCCCCGCGCCCAGAGCCGCTGGTCCGGCGTCTGGTCGTGCGCCACGACGTAGTCTTTGTGCTTGTAGTAGACGGCGACGACCTGGCCGAGAACGATGAGGATGCCGCTGCATAGGAGCAGGGAAAGGATGCGCAGCGCGAGGCGGATCCGGGCGATTGCGGTTTCGCACCGGCGGACTTTCTGGGCGCCGATGGAGACGAGGCGGTCGTGGTTTGCGGAGGCGATCAGGTGCGCTTTTGCTTCGTCGTCGGCGGGGATGTGCGCGTGGCTGTAGCTGTGGGAATGGGAGTGGCCGGGGCCGTCGGGGCGGACGGGACGCATGGTGGGTTGGAGGGAGATATTGGATGGGGGGTGTCTGCTCCGAATGTGGAGAGATGGAGATGTCAACGAACGGAAGGTGCTGTGCACAAGCTTCACAGAAAGGACTGGAGGAACGCGTCTTTGCTCTTTGATTGATGAAAGATGGAGAGATATCGAGATACTGCTTGCAGAATCTAAAAGGAGAAGGCTCACTTACATAGAGTTTAGAGATGGCCTTACTGTCTATCTGAACTTACCGGTGCCGCATCTATTTCAAGACCCCTCATGAAACAGGTGCTGACAGATACAGGAAATGGTAGTTTTCGGGTACGGCTGGGCCATTACCAACTGCTCGACCGGCTTCAATATCAAGCCTCCCTCTTGGCATGGTGGAGAATTCGACTTTCATGGTGCTGGATGTGGCTGAAAGTCCTCACAAACTCCACAGCTAACCCAAACGAGGAGAGGCTTGACGCGAAATAATGAACGAACGGTAAGCTCCCTCATCCACCGGTCCGTTTGACTCTCTTGCCAAGAGGGCATATTCCAACCTTGGAAGATTGTTGTTAAGTTGGTGTGGCTGGGGAGAAAAGGGGGCGGCGTTAAACGAAGTGCCTCATCGACCTTGCTCCACAAACTTTTCTCTTTGATTAGTTGCAACAGCGAGGCTTGAATGTTTAGTGCCTGGCGCCAAGCTCCACTTGCCTAGAATTCGACATAGCAGACGATGATTGATGTTTCTTGCCGTGCTTTGTCAACGGCGAAGCGTGGTGGCTATTGTTGCATCCCCCTGAGGCGGGATTGGTAAGTTCTGGGTGTGGTTCCTGAATATGTACTCCATTTCTGCGCGAGGCTGCGATACAGCAATTTCGCTTCCATGTCTTCATCCATTGTATATGTAGTGGTGGCGGGTAGTACAGCTGTCCAACCCCAAGTTTTATTCTCAGCCTCATCAATCCTTTATCATGCTTCGTCCCACGTCGATCTTCTCGGCCGTCCTCCTCCTCATCTCGACACAGGTATCAGCACAACTGGACCTGCAAGGCGCTGATCCGAAAGACTCCGACGCCTGCCTCAGCCTAAGCTCCGTCAACGAGCTAGGTTTCCTATCCAACGGCGTGGACCTATGGAAAAGTCTCAATATCGATAGCATCCTCACGAATTTTGTGTCTGGCGGTCTGTCACAGACGTGGGTAAAGGACTTCTACCTCAATGAAGCTCTCACGCCCGACGAGGCTGCCAACGCCGGAAATTTCGATTGCACGACAGAGAACTCGACGTGTGTTCCCGTCTTCGGCAGCTGCGATAGTTACCAGTCTGCACAGGCTATGGCGGTAACATTTGCGCTAGTCAATGCGCATCGCCTGTTGAGCATTCAAATCAAGTCGTATGACGAGGCCGTCAACATCTTCTCAGCGGAGTATGTCTTTGAATTCTCCTGTTGCGTTCCAAGCACATTTTTGCATAAGGAATAGCCCACTCATATGTCCTTGTAGTGGTAACTCGGTCGCCAACGACCTGTTCAACCATGTCAGCATGGGCCGCGATTTAAGCAAGTTCGACGTCGGCGCATTCTTCAGTGGATTTGAATTCGGGGTTGAGCTGGCCTTGCCGGCGTTGGGCGGCGTGTTTGTGGATGCTCTGAAAGAGGGCTTAAAAAAAGGTCTGAAGGTACGTGTCTAGCATGAAAAGCCAAACGTGCAATTCGAGCCCCAGCTAATGAGGAACTTTTAACAACAGACCGTCGTCGAGAACGCCGTCGAGTCAAATTTCAATCTCGGCGACGACTCAGCAAAGGATCCCGGGCCCTTCATCAATTCCCTCCAAGTCGCATTTAAGTCTAACCAAGACGCGTTGCGCGCTGTCATGGCTGGATACTTCAACCAAGGCAACACCGATCCGACATTAACCGCTACCCCGGAAGACACAGTCGCCTACCTCGAGCAAGGCCAATTCCTCGCAGGCTTCCTCACCAACGGAACAACAGAAGCATCAGCCACCACGGACGCCGCACAGGAGATCGTAAAGCAAGCAGTCAGTCTCCCACACCTTCTTCTCCATCATTTCCAACCCATCTGACTTGCGAATGCAGGCCGCGCCCATAATTGCAGCCACCTGGCGCGCAGAAAACGTCAAAGTCGTTCTTCTACCGGAGGTAAGCTTTACTGACGCAACCCTTCTCCGGCCCCTTCTAACAAGCCACTCCTCATCCAGGCCGGCTGCGACCCCGCAGACTTCGCCCAAGGCTGCGAGAGCGGCAACGGCCCCTGCGGGCCTTTCGACTTCGTCGCGAACCAAGACCAGCTCCCGAGCGTGGACGGGAAAAACCTGTGCATTGGCGTTAGGCGAGGTTTCGACCGCGAGGCGGACGCGAACCCGAAGCTGCAGTCTTTCTTTATGAATCCGCAAGATGTGTTGTTGAATGCTGTAAGTTGAGTCCCTACTTCACGACAATTTTGGGATTGAAAGGATCGACTGACTGACTGACTGACTGACTGACGATTATAGGCAAAATGTCTCACGTCGGGGAAGAATAATGAGATTCCGCCTGCGCAGACGGAGGACATGGCGAACGGGTTTCCGCTGTGTACGTTTGCGTTGAAATCGTGAGTTACGTTCTAGGGATTTTTAGATGCACATTATTGCCACAGTAACCAAATTCCCTCCCCCTAGCCCCCGCCCCAAACTGGACAGATCTCACAACCCTGCAAAAGGTCACATACGCACCAATCACAGCGCAAAAAACCCACAAAAAAGTTAATCTAAATGCATCTCACATATCCATCTGAGTGATCAACTTTTCACCTAAGTATCTATGAACACGCTGCCCCGAAAAGAGTGAGAAAGGGTAGGAATACATGGCCGGGGTGGTGCCCTGCATATACAAAAGATATGGTGCTACTTGGAAGTGAGACCTTGATTTTTGGAGTGTGGAAGGAGAGGATGCCCGAAGGCGAAGAAGAGAAGAGGGACGGGGGAGGGGGGGGAGTTCACGTACTTTTTCTCAGCTTGCCCTGCCTTGGCTCAGGAAAACCAGATCTCAAGCACGAATACAAATTCAAGGGGATCGGAGCGGGATCGGAGCGGGATCGGGGTCATTCCTTTCGTCTACCCACAGTACGTTTCAGGGAAGACGAGCTGCACACCCATCCAATTGTCGCACGCACGGTAAAAATTATGAAGAACTCTCAATCCAATATATTCATACCACTTCTATCTTCGTATACATATACAGACCACCTTCCTTCCCCCCTGCCCCTCAAACCATCATTCCAATATCGAATATCCAATCATTAAGATATGCGCACACATTAATCCGCCATAAATCATCAAACCACCATAATCTCAGAGATTCTTGGGAAAGAAAAAAGCAACAGAAAACGAGGGACCGACATTATCCAATCTAACGAACCCACTGTACCAGCCCGAAGATTCGCGAATCCGAAAATGTCTGATTATTGCGTGTAGAAATCATGTGGAAAGTTGCAAGCGAGAGTCATGAAGTAGTAGTAAATCTTCGGAAGACATGTTTTTAGATATGAAGATGAGTACCCCTCATGCAAAGAACAAACGGAAACGCTGGATGCAAGAACGCTGTCAAAATAGGACGGGCGAGGAAAAAAGTAGGGGGTAGAGGTATGGGAGATAGGGGAGGGGAGGGTAAGTGTACGGAAGAGATGCGATAGTTTCAGGAATATGAAAGGAAGAGGAGCCAGGTATGACATGGTGTAGTGTATGGTTGGCGGAGTTTTAGGTATTCTAGATCAGGCCGTGCGACCGGGTAGCCGCACTAGATACCGGCTGTTTGAAATGTCGACGATCTTCTTGGCCTTCGCAAAAGAAGTAAAAGCTAGCTTATATGATGGCGTAGATGGGCAAAGTAGCTTAAGCGCGAAGCATGAATGGCAGAGCAGAGGGCGCGAGGAAGGGGTCACCTCCGAAACGCACTCTTACGTCCCAATGGGCTCTCCAACTGCGGCGCCAACGACCGTATCGGCTCTCTGATTCTTCCCCCTCGTGCAACCGGCGTTGTGCCCGTGCAGAAAATACACAAGAACGTCGACGGGATGTTCTGGTGATTTAGGCCTAAGCAGCGAACATGCAGCCACTTAATGCACGACTCGCACTGCACCATCAGCTGGCCATCGTACTCCATCGAATTGCAGACGCAGCGAATGCCCTCGTTCGAGACTGTGCTACGGTCGGTGCTGGGAGTGTTGAGGTCCGGGTCGGCGATAGTGGAGGGCGAGGAGTGGTAAGAGTTGGAGTTCCTGGTAAAGGGGTCGTAGGAGAGTTGGGGACTGATGCCGGGTTTGGAGAGCTCAGCGGAGGCTTGGGCCCAGCGCTGATTGTGGGCGAGGAGGGTGCCTTGAGCGGAGCGCTCTGGGAGGAGTGTTAGAAGGGTGATAGGTAGGCATGTGTCTCTTGTGCTTACCACTCCGTTTTAGGCGATCCTCCACCACTTGCTTCAGAGCGCCTTGTGCGTCGCCTACACTATCGAGAGGGGATATCTGTGGCTCCTCGGATTTTGTCTCGCCAAATGAGCCCCCGAAGCTGGACATGCTGTACCTCCGGAAGGGATTGTTCGATGTCTTTTGGATGTTCGTTTGTTGATTGAGATTACTGTTAGAGCGAGAGAACCCAAACGGGGTCTTTTCGAAAGCCATTGAAGTCGGCCTGGGCACCTTGAACGAGTCAGAGCGGTCTAGCGTGCTATCAGCCCTTGCATGTTTCGAAGCGCGGCGTGACGTCGCAGGAACATTGAAGGATGTGTTTCGACTGAGAACGACGTGATCAGAATCAGACTCGGTGTCCTCGTCCTCATTCCATAGACCAGGATACGGCTGTTGGTGGTCTTCACGAGTGTCCATTTCCTCCTCGACAGGATCCGTTTCAGTCCTCGCATGGCCGGATTCATCAATGACTAGACGAGTCCGAGGCCGTGCTCTTATTTTCTCTGGTATAGAGGTGAGAGAGCCTTGGCTTTGTCGCTTGAGTGGTGATGATTTCCGAGGTATGTGGTACCCGGCACCACTACCCACTGAGGGCCTCAAGTCGACGGGTGACGGCTTGCTCTTTCGAAACCCGCTGTCCGTATTGCTCCGCTGTAGCCCAGGCCCGGTAGCAGCTGGGTTAGACCCCGAGGACGAAGACGTATTAGTTCGTGAGTGTTGGCCCTTCGCCTTCCTGGCCAGCTCCTTTTCTCTATGAGACTCTCGCACCTGATGCTCATACGGCTGCCTATTCTCGTGATCAGCACTTGTATCCGGAGGCAGACCGTTGAAAGATTCGCTGGGAGCTATTTTAGTCGGACTTGAGAAGCTGAATATTAGCGTTGGGTCGACGCCTGCAGTAGTCGACATGAACGAGTTTGGCCTCGAATTCGTAGGCTTGCTGTCATGGTTATCACTGGTTGCAAACGACGCAAAAGTCGGGCCATGAGTACTCGCTGGCAGTCCCGTCAAGTCCTGGAACGCTTGCATGTTCATCTGAGGAGTCGGCGAGTTGAAAGCTTGCCAATTGACCGAGGTATCTATCTTGTGAGGCGTGGGGCCGAACGGGTCAGAAGCAAAAGGCATATCCACATCCATCCCGCTTCCATCGTTAGACTGGTCCCAGAATAATCGCGAATGTGGAAGCGCGGGTGCAGACATGGGGCCTGAATTTGGGAAGGGTGCAACATCTGGAGAGAATTGCAAATTCGGAAATTGGAAGGGGGTAGGCGTATAGAAGTCACCACCCTGCTGTTGGCCTGCAGCAGCAGGCGTCGACACCGTTTGCTGCACAATTGTAGAAGGGGTTGCCATTTCCGCTCCCATCCTCCTCCTCGATGAGGCATCCCGTGTCGGTGGCGGTGTCTGCATTTGAGACATGTCCATGGTGGCAGTCGTCGAGTTCGGTATTGACGAAGGCTTACGATGTGAGCCGGTAGGGTTCCCCCTAAAGCCTGATAGGACAGGGGACGAGGAAAGCCTCCGGGAGGGCTCTACTGGAGGCAACGGCAAATGGGTGTTCGGGGTGAAATGATTGACATGGAATCGAGGGTCGTCTGGTGACGGCACTTTCGAGCTTCTGGAGCTTGAAGGTCTGGGCGTCAATTGAGCATATGTCGGTGTTTGTGCAGGTGTGCGGCGCCCATTGACTCGAGGAGTAGCAAAAGCGTCTAAAAAATGTGATTGAAAGGCTTCGGCTTTGGGAGTCTGGAGAGCCCCTTCGGGAAAGGTAGCCGTAGTCGGGGTCGAGGACGGGCTTGGTAAGTGCCAATCCGCGTATCTGAGGGTACATCATGCATGTCAGCTGTGAAATCCGAAGGTTGCTTGTGGGTAGCTAGTCAGAGATGACGAGTATAGCAGGATAGACGACATGTTTGCAGTTTTACAGCGTGGATGTCTGGGAATGACCATCGGCGGAGCCGTAAAATTTGTAGAGCACTGGCAAGCCTTCCCCGAGGTGGTGGAGGAAAAGTCATCGAGGGGTGACACGAGACAGGAGGCTATGGGCTATATGATGAAATTCCATACCCATATATGTGCTGGTCTGTATTCATAGCAAATAGGCAGGGCCTCTACTGTTCCCTCAATGGCCACACACTCCTATAAAGGCCAATATAAGATTCTCGGGAGTCGGGAATAGGGTCGAGGGATTCGGCAATTGTAGCAGGCAGAGGGCGTGTCGAAGGACGAAGAGAGGAGGCCGATCTTTCCAAGAGGTGTGGGAATCGTGCGGTTCGAAGTTCGAAGGCGAAGCTTTCGGTGTGGTACGCTGTAAAACGGCGAGGGTAGGATGCGGCAGATATCAAAGCTGTGAGACCTCGTGGCTGCAGGTACGGCGCGACGGTCGAATGGCGGGAGAGCTGCAAAACCAGAGGGGTTCAGGTTAGAGCGGATCGGGACGTGGTACTCGATGGAGCCTGGGCAGAATGCGGTGGGCGATGCGAACCGGGAGAGAGGCTGGAGGTATGTGGAGGGCACGTATTGGGAGATACAATAGAACTGGAGATGACATACCGGCGCCCAGCAACGTTGGCTGCAGGAATGCTCCTCCTGAGTGTGGAGCTCTCGCCAGCCCGTGCCTGGCTATCCGTATACCAGCTGTTTAGGGAGCTGGCGTGGGCGTAGCCTCAGCATGGCGGCGGGGATGCATCATGGGAGAACAGCTCTGGGGCCGTTATTGGCAGGGAGTAGTCTGGCGAGGCACAGGGACAGAGCGGCGCCGCCGGGTGAGGTGCCCAGGAACGTTATAATTGCAGCGGCTCTGTGCCTTGCTCGCCGAGAGCTAGATGGACGGGATGGGAGAGGAAAGGTGCGAGCTGAAGGCAAGGAATTCACTGCTTAGCCGCGACTGCCCCTCAACCATGCCGCCACTAGACACAACGTTAGGCTCCTAGAGATCTCGCAGATCATGCTGCTGTTCACGCCAGCCGTTCTCCCGCTCTGGCCCAATCACTGCGAGCATGCTCGCTGAGAGGCGGCGGAGGAGCTGCACTCCTGAACGGCCGTCCCGCGATGGCGAAATAGAAGACGTCAATCCAGGCCTCGAATCAGCAAGTGGGCGCACCCTACGCGGGCCGGGCTGCTGCCAGCTCAGCAGTTAATCTGCCGTCTAATGCCTGCGGTTTGTCCATGCTCCCTCAAGCGAAGTCGCATATCGCTGCCCGCGGCCTGATGCAATTGGCTCGCAGGCGCCGCACTACCGCCTGTTCACCAGAGTCAGCCCGTCTGGAGAAGCCTCCACGCCGAGTTCCGTGATACCGCTGTGCCGCGCTGGATGTCACCAGAAGTTGCCACGGCTGCTGGCCTCGCCGCAACCTCAGAGTCTTGAGCCACTGCATGCACAGCTGCGGTGGGCGAGGCCGTTTCAGCAGCAGCACAGTCGCTTGACGTAGAAACCCTCCGTTGTCCTCCGCTGTCGTGTGCTTCAAGCGCCCTGGAGCTGGGGTCGGCGTACCCTAGGCCAGATGCAGCAACGCTCAGGGCGCGGAGCCAGACTGACAGATGGTGGGACAGGCGCTGACCAACTCAGCATCCTCACTGACAATTATCTCTACACCAGAGCACCAGGTCATCTTGAAGACTTGAGATGATTTACGCAAGTAGTAGAACAAACTATCTATGCACGATAAACACCGTCCATATATTTTGTAGCATCGAGAGCGTTGAAGTGATGTGCACGGTCCAATTCTGACTTGTTCCACCAATCCTGCGTCCTCGCCGGCTTCTGTCTCTGTGCATTCGCTAGGATGTGCCTTGCTGCAAGGTACGCTCGCTCTCCCCAATCGACGTCAAGTCTGCATTCCAGGAGAGGCTACTGTTGGGGCCTCCCAAGGGAGCTGCCTGTATCTTGCAGCTCACTATATCGGCTCACTTCCGAGCGTAGTGCAGGAGAAGTATTGATGCTAGGGAGTGTCTTCTCATCATTACGGCTCCATACGTGCAGGTTGTCGTGTTCCTAGTGGGGGCGGAAATTTCTTCAGCTTCACCGCATGGTGGGGACATGAAGACGTAGTGGGGATATTAAGCACTAAAGGTGCCTTTGGGTTAGGGGTGGCTGCTGGAATTTTCTTCATCTTCACCGCTGTGGGGATATGGGGATGCAGTAGTGGGTATATTAGGTATTTAAAACGATCCTTTAGGTCAGGGTGACTACTGGAATTTTCCACGCTATATATATCCGGTTCATGCCTGAGAATCCATACTAGGTAATTTGTTGACACTCGCTTGGGGCGCTTCGATATATTCCGGAATTTTGAGAAGGTATCGAGGTATCTCAAGCAGTATGATCAAAGGGTGAACACACTGATGCCCTAGTACTCCATCCATTACCAACGCCGAGCTGCCATGCGGGGAAGAAATTAAGGCTAAAAAATACGTCCTTTTCGCGTAATATCATATTCTACAGGAAAAAAAGCACCCCTATCATACTGAAGGTCTGTTAACGACCGGGTCCTGCTGGTAAGAAAGATCTGAAACTACAGAGAGTTCGTCTACTGCTCTTCGTCCATAGTGTGGTGCCGTGGCCGAAAACTCGGAGATGTTATCGTCGTCGTGATGGTCACTGAATGGCGACCGAGTTTGCTCCTGCGCAGCCATTAGGTTTGTTTGAGATAGAGCTGCAGGAGGCGGGCTTCGAAGGCTCGTGTTTCGTGAGAGTGGCGCTAAACTACGAGGTCGATATGGCGGAGGTGGTTCTTCGTGTTGCGGGTCAACAAATGGATTGCCGAGCCCCGTTGGCTGAGGAGGTGGATGAGTCTCGTGCATCGATACCACATCAGAAGTATCGATACCCGTATAGTAGGCTCCATTTGAGTTCGGAGCGATCGGCCCAAGAATGACAGGTTGGGGTGGCATTGGCGAGAGTGCTGGCGGAGGCGTGCCTGATGGATGATGGTAGTATGCTTGCTGCTCGGCCGCGGGCGAGTAATTGTCGGGACTGTGCCTCTTCATTTCCTTCTGCACAAGAGTCTGGTGCTTTTGGCGCCGACGTCTCCGAATATACAAGAACAGTATTACCCCGAGGATAGCCAAACATGCGAGCGGGATGACAGCCGCGGCGACGTGCTTTATGACCTTTGAGTGCTGCGATGAGTCCTCGTTCTGAGGCAATGTAGTCGAGAGTGGAACACCCGATGGCACGGTGCTGGAGCCATCAGTGCCCGATGAACTCGGGCTTGTCTCGTTAGGCTCTGGTGGACCCGTTGACTTATACAATGTAGTCCCAGCCGTCTCTTGCGCTGGAGAAGGATCGATTGTTGATGGAGCCGTTGAAGGGAACAGTCCTGCGAGGAATGTATCGGTATAAGTAGGCCCTGGTAGAGCGAAGGTAGGCGAAGCGTGGTTTCGTGTCAAAGGGTCCATTGGAATATCACTGACTACAATTGTAGTCCAGTCGTCGTCGTCGCGTGAGGATGGCCAACCAGTCCAGGCATTCAGCTCGTGGGACTCGCGAATCTCGACACTAAAGGACATGGCGGACAGACCAAGAAATAGGTCTTCTAGGAATGTCTGTCAACCTTGTCGAGGCGTGCTCAGCGGATGAGTAGTCTGACACACAGCCTCGGGCGTCGGACTTGGTGTGGTATAGGAGGACGGTGATAGGAGCCTGGAGTTCCTGTGTGCAGCAGACCTATCTCGTCTTCCACTCGTCTTTCAGACACGTCGTCAGCACTATGCTCGAGTTCTGAGAGATGGTGGGCGAAGCAGTTGGTGTGGATGGTGGGGCCGAAGTCGGAAACTCACTGAGACAGCTTATGCAGGCAAGTACATATCCAAGGCTTGTAGAACCGACGAGGTGGTCGCGCTAGAGGAGAGACTTTCCAGACGTCTAGCGGTCTGTATGTGGTGTGAAGATGCCGTAAGGGTTGCGGCGAGGTGTGAGGCTCAAGTATCAACGAGAGACGAGGTGACTGTCTGGAGGACGGAAGATAGTGCAAGGTGGCATCTCTTCGTACGAAGTTGGTTTCTCTCGACATCCCGGTAGCCAACAGGAGGACAAGGCCGGAGCTGAGTGATGATTTGGACGAAGCATCTTCGAGGGTTCCAGCATAGCCTCAGAGGATGCAGCACAGTCGCGGAACACCACCCCACCCGCTTGGACGTGGGATATTTTTAGCCGGCCCTTGTACGGCGATCATGAGTTTGGCCTTAAGTCTCTTCCACCCTCAAATGGTGCAAAAGTTTCACATGATGCGCGTTTCAACTTGGACAGAACGCTCCAGCGGTCTTTGCGACTCCCGCCGTCTCTGGCATACATGTTACCACCCACCGCACCCACCGCACCCTCAGTGCAACACAGTAACGTCGGCCACCAGAAAGGCTCGCCGGCACACGTTCCACTAGCCGCAGCCGGCTGCACTGCGCCGATCTATCCCTTTCCAGACTCCTGCAACACCATGCAGACTGTGGTCAATCACAGTCGCAGGCCGACATGCCGAGTCTTCCAGAGCGTCACCGAGACACCGCCCAGACTCAAATTCCTGTTTCAACACCCCAATGTGCACCTTACCCGACCCACCCTGCGCACGTGACTTGGCGCCGCTGTGGCTGAGTTCGGCTCAGGCCCGGCTCAGCTTCGGCTCAGCTCTCCTCAGGTCTGCTCACCCCTGCTCAGCTTCGGCTCAGTTCTCCTCAGGTCTGCTCACCCTTGCTTACCCTCCCTCACCCTTCCTTAATAAAAACTGTTAAGTTTTAGCAAGGGGCCTTAAATCTGCCCCCGGGTTATAAATCAGGGCTCTATACTGTTTTATAAGCCTTATAAGCTTAAGCTACAATTGTAAGGTGACCGGAGCACCTACAGTATATAGCCATAAGATAGGATGTAGATATATCCTTTCCAATTCATGCAGCCTGCCTGCGCAGGCGTATAGCCTGCGAGGCCTCTGCGAGTCACGTGCTCGCTTAGGCCGGGGTATATATAGCCCCAGGCCGTGCATCACAATTTCTTAAGGATTTGTCTCTTAATACACAAAATCGTCAATTCCATCTACAAGCTCCCTGCTGTGCACTCTTCCCTTATATTCAAATCCTTGCCCTCGAAATAACCGTACCCGGCGCAGAGGCCTGGAAGAATTGTTTCGTTGAAGTAGTTCGCGTATCCAGCAAGCGCCTTCTCGAGGCCTACTCCTTCCGCGCCGGGAACGGTTCCACTTGCAACGTTCTCTACGGCATCACAGTAGTCGAAGAAACCCGTGTTTCTGTAGAATTGGTTTCCTTGCCATAGCCACGGACCATTTTCCAATGCTCTAAAAGTAATAGTGTCAGCTGCTTCCTTTGCCGTTGGAGTCGTAACTCGAATATATCTTGGTCTGTCCTATGCGGTGCCACATGGTACGGTCGCACCCCACCCATAGTCTTGGATAAACTTCGTACATGTAGAAATATAGCTCCACCACACCGGAAACATGAAATTCAAGGACTTACGAAGCGAAATCTCGGAAATGCTCAACGTCTCCAAGCCCAAACATGTCCTTGAGAGCAGTTTTCTCCTCATCGGTTCCCTTCGTGCCCACCTTATCAACGTGGTCCACAATGAGCGACATATCTTTGCTGCAATTTTTGGGCATTCCTTCCTGTACGGGGAGAAAATATTGCCAGAAGTTTCCGGTGATCTTGACCACAGCGCTTGAGGCAAGGTATGCCCAGAAGGTTCCTGGGGAAGTCGACGCGGTCCAGGCAGTAAGTGCGCCGCTGTAGGAACCCCCGGCAAGAACCCAAGGAGCCCGATGAGCCTGGCTAGTGCCATGCGGGTCGAACGGCAATTTGACAATTTTGGTGAAAAGCACTAGATCAGCGATTGAGTTCTTCAGCGTCAGGTACTGCAGATTCTCGGTTGATAGGTCGTCGAATGGAGATGAAACACCCCAGTAGCGATGCTCGATGACCACGACAGTGGCGCCAATGGCCTCAGCAATGACACCAGTAGTTCTATTGGTGGTCAGGTAAGAATTGTATCCCGTGACGTTGATTTCTCCGGGGGTCATCAGCACGACAGGCGACCCTGGACCTTTCCAATACTCATTGGAGTAGTAGTGACAAACCCTGGCTTTGGCTGTTTCTAATACCCTGTTGTTGGCCTCGCGCGCGGCTAATCCACAAAGGATACGCCTAGTATCGTACTATGTACGAAAATAGGACCGGTCAGACTGTCGTGGCTCAGAGGGTTTGGGTGGGGGCTAATCTTAAGAGAAGGAAGATTTCTATGCAGTAAGGCTTAGCATTCCTTATCTTTAGCTGACGTAGTTTGAAATCACAATAACACATTGAGTGGATGAAGGATTAATGGTCACAGGACATTTGGAGGCGAACAAAGGTATATGATTTAGGGTAAGAAGATTTCATTGTAACTATGTCAGTCCATGGTGTGGACTAATGTAAGAGTAGACTACATCACGCCCACATCTTGGAAGAGCTCTTGCGGTGAGTCCAGCCCAGAGAAAAGGTAGAGGAAGTGTGAGGGCTTACTCAGTCATCAAATACCAGTGAGGAGTCCATAGACTGAATACCCCACCGCAACTGCTTGCGCACCTATCAGAGCCACCACCAACCTAGAGATCCAGTCAGGACTTTGCCTCCCAACTGTGGTATGCTGTTGCCGTAAACGAGAAAGCCTACTGTTCTCATCCTGGCGCCCTTAGTCAAGCAGCTCAGTGAACACATCCTGTAGAAGGTCAAAGTGCTGGCCGAAGCTGTTGCGGATGATCTGCAACACCTCATTGATTAAGAGGTTGAGAAACTCAGGTTAAAATTGATGTGAACTCTGATTTCTATAGACGTCTAGCTAGTTGTATATATACTAGGGGAAGGAAGGGGGGCCACCCCCTGGGTGGCGCGCTAGTAAGTTCAGCTGTACACTGCACAGCTGAGTTTTCAGCTGGGCCCTCCACAGCTGATGTTCGGAGTAGCTTTCTAGCATATGAGTTGTTGATCCTAGGTTGTAGTGCTGCAACCTGAGTGAGAACATCGACACATTCTCGATTGAGGCGTAGGCGGGCGTCAATCTGCTGATAATGATCTCGAATTTGACGCTGCAGCTCAGCATCATCGGAATTTGGCTGTGTCGGCGAGAGGTGGTGTTCTCGGGGTGGGAGGAGGACCTGGCGACATTGTATGCAAGTGTGACTACTGTTGGAAGTTGAACTGATCCAGCCGCATACAAGTTTGGCCAATTATGTGGCCGCATTTTCGGAGTCTGAAGGGCGGGTCGTCCTCACTGTACCGCTCGAGGCATATTGCGCATCGTATTTCTGGACCACGGTCAGAATCATACGCCGCAGGAGCATCATCGGTTCTTGCGACACCATCCCAAAGGTCTCCCAGTTCATCGATATCTGGATCAGGACCTACATTCTCAACAACCGCGGCATCCTCGATTGCAGCACCCAGAGGATGTAGCGCGATGGTGTCATGGACCAGCCTACGCTGCGTCTGGGTGGTTTCTGCCGCCACGAGAGCAGTTTGCTCGAAGATCGCCTGTAAGACGTCGGCTGCCTTGGACGTTTCAATCATCCACCAGTGTGCATCTGGATCCTCGCCACAGTTCGAATACAAAGACGCATAGTTGGTGAGCGCACTCAGTCCCGAGATCCTCATCTTCAGGCTGTTGAGGGCATCCCCCTGCAATTCCGCCTCCGTCGCGCGCTCGTCCAAACTCCGGACTACCTGGTGCAAGTCAGACTCTGCTACTTTGTTTACCTCGATGATGCGGATCTGCTCGAGCGAGCGCAGCGCAGAGAATGTCAGTCGTGCTTCTAGGAGCGTGCGGTGGTAACTACGCCGGTGCTCCATGAGCTCGTGGACGCATTCTTCTATCGCGAAAAAGGGCCGTGGGTTCTGGAGATTTGTATAGCGCCATACGTAACGTTTGGCGCGAGGGTCGGAGTGGGCGGGAGCCGACTCGCGGCGAGCACGATACGGGCCCCGGCCGGCGCCAAGGGCGCCGGGGAATGACCTGCGTTCTGGAGAAGGTGAACGATCTCAATTGCTTGACATTCTTGAATCTGTAACTGTGATTGTGGTTCTGGTGAAGATTCGAGGTGCCAGAAGAGGAGTTGTCGTGGAGCAACGATGGAGCTATTAGTTCCAATATTTATAGTCATTACTTTTGGTTGAGAATACATTGTGTATGTTTTGTGCACAATGCTATTGCTCTAGATATAGACGATAGACGCTAGGCGAGTATGCAACGACAACCTAATCATGTGAGTGGTATCGAATATACGCATCTCCAGTAGGTGTCATGCGGCTTAATTAACTAGTGCAGTAAGATATGTTCTTTTACAATGTGGAAGCAGACATTTGGTAAAACTATACCATACCTGTTCACGATCTTGGGAGCCCCCTGTACATTTTATTTGAACAAAGGATTTTCAGAGCATCTATTCTTTCTCATCTCACTTTGCTCGGTCTTCACGGGGAAACAGACGCCGAGCCGGTCAAATAAAGCATAGAGAAGAGGAAAGGCTAACCATGGGAAAATGTAGGAGGAGAAAACCACGGACATAGAACAGGTGATGCTCCATAGTCATTTTCCTCTTCGAACTTTTCAAAACACCTCATATGACCTAAAAAGGCACGAGACCAACGCGGGAAGCTGGCATGATCCTTTACCGAGTTTCCATAATTGGACCATTATAGAACTTCCTCCCCCAAACCATATAATACCCTATTCCAAACAGAAACCAAAACCCTGTCATCAACGAGCTATAATTCATGCTCTCCGGTTTCACGTCTATATTCCCTGGCCAAAAGCTGAAGAAGAATGCGAGGATAATCCAAGCCAGTCCAATAGTGTTCAGACATGTTCCAAGAGGCTCAGGTACGCGCCATGGTCCCCAGACTAGAGGTTTATCTGGGTCGGCAGTGAACTCGTCCGAGGTGTAGTGGCGTGATTTGATTCTGCCCGTCACTCGGCTCCAGAGAAGAAGACCGAGGGGAATGGAAGCTGCGGCCTCCCATGAACTCACGGTAAATGAAAGGATGTTTTCCAAGGCCTGGAGTGAGCCGATGTTGATTAAACCGAGAGTCATAGAGATGCAGCATGTGGCCCATACTGCATTCATAGGTAGGAAAGATCTTGGATTTACCTAGTCTACCATTTAGTTTCGTCCTTAATCAGTGCGTAAAGAGGATCTTACAAGAAGAAGACGCTCGGAGAGGGGCGGGCCACGATCTCTGGCAAATGCCCACAGTTGCCGTGATGCACCAGCAAATTGTCCGAATATCGCAGCATACGATAACACAAGAGGTATGCATACCATGAGAGTGGTTCCCGCATAAGACCTTGTAGAATCGAAAAATATCTGGATAAAAGGGTAGTGGGTTGGTGTATCCATGGCTGACTTGAGATCTCCCATGCAGAAGAGCGTTGTAAGAAGCATTCCGAACCCCAGACATCCGTTCAATACCACGGTGATGATTATGTTCCAGGGAACTATAAATGCAGCATTATGGGTCTCTTCGGCCATGTGAACGGCTCCATCGGCTCCTGAGATGATATGAGCAACCTTAAACCTTCCAAAATCATCCAGGGCCCACACTAACGACATACCTATGAATGGTCCGATGTTCGTAATCATGCCAACAAGGAAACTCAATCCCATGGACGGCCATCCACCTTCGTTATTCCATTTTGTGAATACCTCCTCGGCCGTAACGCGCTTAGCAAGTTGAAGAAGTGGAATGAGAATAGCGAAAAATCCGAACACGTGGACATAAAGAATAAAACCCTCAATCTTCGGCAGCCAACGGCCAAGAATCGAGTTGACAATGAAGGCGAAAATTACAGCGGACCAGATGAGGAGCGTTCCATGCCAGCCGTGAGAGGTGTACGAGTCTGGGTGGTTTAGGACTAGCAATCCTTGGATCAAGGTGGCGCAAAGGCATCCGGACATGGCGACCATGGCTTGCCAAACAGCAATGGATAGCCACCCTTTTGAAGGGGTCAGATCTCCTGCTGAAATGATCTCACCAAGGAACAACTTACCCGTCAAATAGCTCAACAGATTACGGATGCTCTTTGGCGCCAGCATGAAAACCCAATGATACTGTCCCGAGGAAGTCGGTGCAATAGAGGCCAGTTCTGCCAAAGAGGTCATGACGCATAGAAATCCTATCCAGGATAAAATGTAGGAGTATACTAGACCGGCGCTACCTCCGTTGGACAGACCAGATCCAAAGTACCTTCACAAATTCACAGATGCTCAGCTAACAGTAAGACGCAGAAAGGGAGTTGGCACGAACACGAGGATACCTTCCCATGTCAACATTAAGGTGGTCGACATACCCAACATTGATACCAGGCCAAATCGTCGCTGTGAATCAGAGTGAGTTCTTCGGAATCCAAGCGAAAAATCTCGCCACAGGTTAAGGTACCTTGAGAACCTCTTCGTCGAGTTGTTAGCCTTGGCGCCTAGAAATTAGAAAAACTCACGCCTTTTCCCAATGCGAGCAAGATGGCTCTCATCTCTTCTCGAAAGCTCTTGCGGCGTCATTGGACCATTTTGGTTGAAGTGCTTCTCGCGGCTGATATTTGATTCTGGAGGTGTCGTTGGAGCATCCATGCTGGCTTTCTTTGGATTCACGACGGTCAAACTCCACAGAGTGAGTATTTAAAAGTGAGAAAGTGTGATGAGAGGAAAAGGTATATTTACCACCTCACTAACTATGTGCAACCGGAGGTGCATCCTAACGTACCCTGTAGAATTCTGAAAGTTTCATTCGCTCATAACGGCGGAAACGAATATGAGCCCAGCACAAGCATTGGAAAAGGTTCATTCGCCACTCGGGTTACCAAAGTGTGGAATCATGCTGTGCAACATATCATTCGGCGAACATACGGACAGTGGTGTTCGGCGTTCGCTAATCGATGGATACTAAACGTCGCCGTGGTCACGCAGTAGTGGCTACACCAACGAACATCAACATTCCCGGAGAGTATCGCAGCTGTTGTGGTACCATGAACCCTTGATGTCGTTACTCCAATGTCCGTTATTATGGAGTTGATGCAACATGTATTTCGGACCCCAGAAGCGTGCTCTTTGTCGTAATGTAGCCGGCCTCAAAGGTGTCTCTGCGCCAATACCTTGCAACGCTAAAACCTCTAACAGGCCCTGACTTCTGAGACTGTGAATGCCAAAAGAGGACTCCACCCTTGATTCTTGACACAGTATTGTTCAGACATGGCGTTATTCTCTCGCGCAACCTACATCACCACCGACAACGAAGCCACAGGCGTCAGTATCGCAACATGGTTTCTCGCAACCACTTTCATTATCATGTTTCTTTCCCGCCAGTCAGTCAGGTACGTTATGCTTCGGAGGGTTCAGCTCGACGATTACTTGATGACCGGAGCAATGGTAAGTCTCCGCGACTGCGACCAATCCTGGACATCACATTTAAACATGGACTCTAGATACTTTCCTTAGGCCTCTCCCTAGCCTATTCCATCGCAGCATCACATGGAATGGGAAATAAGGTTGTTTCGGTTGCGGATGCCCATACTATTCAGAAAGTACGGTGGCTCTACTAATAATCGCACAAATGCTGACCAATGCCAGGCCTATTACGCCGCAGACCTGCTCTACATCATGGCTCTCTGCTGTGTAAAGCTCTCGCTTGTCATTTTCTTCAACAACATCGCCGTGGATGAAAAGCAAAAGCGAGTTATTCTCGGTTTGGGCGCATTCGCAATCATGTCCGCTATTTCTACGCTGTTTGCAGCTGCTTTACAGTGTGGAGGTCCTCGCTCATGGGAGGTGATGACCCTTCACTGCTTCAACCAGGTAGGGCACATATGTTTAGTTTCTGTGGTATTCCTAGATACTGATGATAGTTTCTGGCTAGAGTGCTTTCTGGACCGCATTTGGCGTTCTTGACATGTTCACGGATTGTTCGATTATAGTCCTTTCTATCATGCTAGTATGGGATCTTCGCATTCCGATTTCGCGAAAAGCGGTCGTTGTAGGCTGTTTCGCTCCCCGTGTGCTGTGAGTACAGCTCATTTCCTCTCCATTCGGTGAAATTTCTAGCTGAAGAGATATCCAGAGTCATCGCAGCAGCTGCCTGTAGGCTTGCATATCTAGCAACAATCTCTCCCCATAAGAATCCCGCTTTCAACGTCTGGGTCTCGGTCATCTGTACCGAAGTGCAAATTTGCTTAAGCATCTCTACGGCTTGCATACCATGTATCAAGCCCTTCTTTGAGGGCGTCGAGGTAAGCTACAATCAGCCCTTCTTCTTTACGGATCTCAAAGGTTGACGGGGCTTAGTCTGGTGTATGGCAATCGGATCATCTCCGGCGTCGGGGGTTCTCTATCAATGATTTATATAGCAAGGGATACGCCAAAAGAAGCGAGGCTTGGACGGACTCGCAAAGAACGGGTTCTGTTCCGAAGACGGAGGCTGAAGTGCAGGTCACAGTTCAACACGTTACACCGAGCGAGGACGGTGAGTTGTCCGCGTTGCCGGCATTTGAGGGAGGGAAGTGGGAGGGAATTGATGCGCATTAGTGTACACCAAACGAGTTGTAGATGGAGATACTTGAAAAGACCCGGTCGCTTTTAAGAGTAATATTTCAAGTATTCGAGCTCTGGCGGATGTACTTCTCGCGGATGTACTTCTCTTGAATGAGCTCGCGCAATAGCAGTAGGGCTCTAGCGAGAATTGATCCAGCTAATGTCTACTCAATCATCTAAAAGGTTCAATATCGACTTTCGTGTATTAAATCATTGTCGGGCGCAAAAACCCTGAAATTGCGGACGGCAAGATACAGCAGTTTAATCTTGCGCGCCAGGGACCTTACGCATTCAAACCATCAGAGTCATCTCACTCACTCAAGATATTGAATTGGGCATAAATATCAACCATAAAGCTAAGTAATAAACTTGAATATAATAAAGAAGAAGCAATACTTGTACGGGCGAACTCTTCCTCACATTTGATCATCCATATACCCGCCCTAAATCTGATGCTGAACTGTCCATTCCACCAAGGCATCCCATTTCTTACAAGTCCTAACTTGTCCATCTCCGAAAACTTTCCCATCCTCAGTGTACAGTAGCGTATCATCAGCCTGGCACATAATATTCTGACGGAGCGAATCAAGACAATGAAGAGTATGCATAACCGGTACAGTCTGTTCGACCCCTTCTTGGAAATGATAAAGAGCTGCACGTATTACGGACTGCTCTTCAAAGTTAGCGAGGCTGGAGAAGAAAGCCCGGAAACTTACGAGGCAGTGTATTTGGTGATAGGCAGCAACGAAGTATGTGCTCTCGGAGGAATTCCCGCGGTGTTTTATGCTGGCTGGCAGACGGCGCGAGGCAGCTTCTAGGTTGGTGATGGATACTAAGCCTTCTCCTGCTGCATTAAGAGTACAGTGAATCCCTATTCTGGCCTGGCTCACAAGAGCAGAGCTCGGGGTGACTTACGCGGAAATAGCGCCTTCCAAAGAATGTTGGTACTGGTCTTGTTCTCTTCGGAGTAGGATGTAGACCAATGAAGAGATCGCAAGATTGTCTCGTCCGAGAGCGCTTCTACAGCGAACTTCAGCTTCCGCTTGGTCCTTGAACTAAATGAAAACGTACGAGATACATCTGTCGTATTCTTATCTTTACCCGAAACCTCATGCCAAAGCCACGCAGTATTTGACATTATGAGCGCTAGAAACACGAATCTAAGAAGGTATTGTGTTCCATGATTTTTGCGCTCTCGTTGGAGAGGAAATGAGTCGATCTCTTCATCTGAATAAGTGTTTACAGAGCGAAGAGGTTCGTACGAGCCTTGCTTTGGATCCATGGGTGCTCTGGATTATTGCTGAAAAGAGCGTGAAGTGTTGCGATATGAAGAAGATTTTGGTTCACATGTTTGCAACCAATGGAGACTGAAAAGCCTTACTTGTCGTCGTCTAATTGCCTAAGGTCTTCACGGCAATACCTTCCTGGCTGACATGCATATCTTGTGTTCATCTTTAGTGCATCACCTGCATGCGTTGTGTAACCTTTTATGCCATGCTGGCCATACCCGGGGGCCGAGTATCCACGGGGTCTACTACGGTCGTATTAGACTGTGTTCGAGGTTGCATTTCGACGTTTGCACCGATGAATCGCTTAAACTAGGGACGTTCGCTGGCCAGAACGAGCTATCGATACTACTACCTCACTTGTTCCCGCATTGTGTACTTGACACTGATTTTCGGTGTCCGATGACTCGGTGTTGTCCAATACATGTGCAATATTATGTCCGATGAATCTACAATTTTAGAAAGGATAGACTTGTAGTTGCATGAAGTATATCGGTGAGACTAGAGTTTGCGAAGGCATAATTAACCACAAACCGATAGGTTCTGGACTTCATGCCTGCTAAGTCCCGCATTACTCTAGCAATTTCTTCACCCAGATATTCATCCCGACCTTAGTGCCCTCTACAACGGGGAGACCCGCATGCAAGGACCTCTGATCCCCAGTCCCGTCACTCCTCAGATTCATCCAGAACACACCACTCCCAGCCCTCGGTAGAAATGCAATCCCCTTTCCCTCCTCCAAAACCCTTATGCGTTCCTCTGCCCATCCATCCCGGTCAAAAAGATCTCTCGACACCGTCACATTCGGAAACCACGTCTCCCCACTCACGCAATCGGCACTCAAGTAGATGAAGAAACTAGCCAATCGGTTGCAACTCCTCCCCTGCCTGTCCAACGGGCGTGTCTGATGCCAATCGAAATGCAAATTGACTTTCTGCCCAGTGGTGTACCGAACTAGCTGCACCGCCTCAAGGCCATCGAAGGACAGGCCGCCCATGAAGTGGGCTGCGCGCTGTTTGATGCGTGCAACCATGCTGTTGTTACCGGGTAGGAAGCATGAGTCGGAGGTGCGGCCGGATGATATTTTGCGGTCTGTGATCATCGAGCGGGTGAACAGTGGTTGACCAAGGGAAAGAAGATAGGTGATTTCCGATGCGTCCAGGAAGTTGTCGATGTATAGGACTAGCGGATCGAAAGATAGAAGTTGAGTCGAGTATGTGGGTGAATGGTCACATACGTCTACGGTGTTTTTGGTCTCCAGGGCATTTCTTATGACGCTATTGGGAGAAAGGGAAGGAAGAAAGACTTGGAAGAGTACGGAAATGAAAATGCCAAGGCTGAGAATGACTGAATGCACCAAATATCCCATCTTCGTAATGCTCCAACCAGGTGATACTGAAGATTCTGGTGGCGGAGTGAATGAGCGCGTCCGAGCTTGTGTAGAGATGCTCTTATGAGAAGGTACTGCTCCACACATTTCGGAGAACCCGGTATATGCCCATGGACTACTGCCTTGATGTGTCACTCAAATTGGAACTATCTAATGTATTAAGATACTTGGTATTTAATGAATATGGATTGGCATGCAAGGGTAAAGTTGTACCTGGGATTAAACGCTGCAGAGCACCTGGTCAGAGTGGATATGCCTCATTGTAGGATTCTGTCAGACCGCTGGTTATACAATCACCCGCGCATTATGCTTCCTGGAGGCTAGGTGTAAGCTGGAGAATTCGATGAGCATGGTCCCACAAGATCACTGCCCCCGGTAATGTCTAAGTCCGCTAGCATAATAGCGGCGCGAATTAATCCTGTGATACCGGTTTCCGGTGTGACGCCAAAATTCACCCAGCAAAGCTTCAAGGTTGCAGCGAAGAGGTGAGGTAGGTCCAAATTGACTTCCAAAGGCCTGATCAGTAAAGCACCCGATTTCACCACGCACCTGACCTTCCATCGGCCCGTGCTATTATTCCGTGCCGCATAAACGACCCTCCTTCGTAAGATCGCTCTACCTCTGACTCTGCAGCCTAGTGAACTGCTCGCAAAGTGGAATTCGGTCAATATGCACCCCAAACTCTCGGAAGTCACCTCAGAGGCCGATTTCGACGCCATCATGCCCGTCCTCTTCCGCGCCTTCCACAGCCCCTACAACTCCTTCTCGAAATTCTTCAACCCTATCCACACAACTCTAGAAGCAGCTATCCAGGACTCCAAAGCGCGTCAAGTGGCAATGTGGAAGGGAAATCAAGACTGCCACTGGCTTAAAGTGACGGATGCTGAGTCCGGAGACGTCATTGGAGCTGCGTGTTGGGAGGTCAACGCAACAGGATATGACAAGGGAGGAGGTTCGAAGAAGGCTTTCAATGCGTCTTGGCATATTGAGGGCTCGGAGGAGAAATTGTGGGCTGAGAAGCTTATTGGCGGTTTGAAGGGCTTTTTGAAGGAGAAGATGACAAGGCCGCACTTGGGTATGTCAAACGGAAATTTTACTTCACTCAGGCTTACGTTTCGATTATCTGCAGAGCTCGACCAACTCATCGTAGACCCCGAACACCGCCGCAAAGGCATCGGAAGGATGCTCATCAATTGGGGCGTCAAGAAGGCGGACGAAATGGGCGTCGAGACAGTCATCGAATCCGTGCCGTATGCTGTGCCGGCTTACGAGCACTGTGGCTTCGAATGTGTGGAGGAAGTCCCCTTGGATTTCGCTATTCCGAATCCCAGTGAAAAGTGGGAGGAGTGGCAAAGGGAGGATCACCGTGCGTACTTGATGTGGAGGCCTGTTGGGAAGGACTATGGTGAGGGAGATAAGACGCCCTGGGAGAAGAGTGGTTGAGGTGGTCTAACCGGAAAGAGGTGCTATCAACATGGTGGCCTCTTTTTCCTCACCCACTGATTATGCTCCATTTTCCAACATGTGGAATGTTCTTCTGCCCAATCATTCAGTTTGCTCCAACTCCTACACGGTCTCATAGCCCCATCCATGTGTTTTGTTGAGAGAGGGGTATCATCGGCACGACACTCGATAGCCTGTCGCAGGTAGTCAAGACAATGCCGCCAATGGATTTCAGAAGTTGGTGTTTCCTCTCCTTCCCATAGTGCCAACATCGCGGATCGGACACTGATCTGATCGAAATTAGACGACTGAAGACAATAATTAGGAACAGGGATCAGACATGCCAGACAGTGCATCTGATGGTATGCATCAATAATGAATAGTCCTTTACTCTCGTCGTCCGGAAGACTGAGACCGGGAGAGGTTGCATGTTGCGCCGCCCAAGTGTGACTCAATGCAACCCAACCTGGTTCGCTGTCAAATGCCGCCCACTGTGCATTTGCGATGGTGGAGTTTGAATCGATGAAGAGGCTCCAGGCGCGAAAGGGCTTCCACGTCTCGCCATATGATCGAAGACCACCTGAATAGGTCAACTTCTTAAACACACAACGGTACGGAACGGACGAAGAATGGTCGCTTACTACAGGATATGCGAACTGGCGTGGTGGTATGTTGGATATAACTTAATAGACCAAGACTGATGGTGCTGAACGTGAGAAGCGCGATTAGTGCCGTCTTTCCTCTATCGCGAATCATCGAAGTCGAGATCTTTCGATGGTCGAGTTTAGACATGCTTGATTAAAGCAGAAAGCAAATGAATACGAATTTCGACGGCCGTAATCGTGAAAGCGTTTAGGAGCACCTTAAGCCGTGACCTGGATACTCTGATATTGGAAGTTATTGCATCCAGCAAAGGAGGTCACCATTGCAGAACGAAAATACCATTCGCATCAGAGTCCGAAGGGAATAGTAGCACTTCCTTGATGCTGCCAAGGCTTCTTGTATCGATATCCGGCGATCTGTACTGTTTGCTGGCGACCCTTGCCTTGCATATGCACCTTGGGCAACACAGACGGGGAGTACAGACGGGTATTGCCACCATGCGTGTGCATCAGCGATACTTGCCGTTGTCTGACCTTCATCTGGAACTGATCACACGGAGTATGTGCAATGCACCCCACTCCATAGCCTTTCTTGAACCAGCTTTCAATATATATTATTTATTGAGGTAACGCAGTGATACTTCGGACCTGGACAGAAGGAACCATAATCCTCCTGGAATATCGTATCACGGTTTATATGCCGAGCCTTGATGGTAGTATCTGATGTTTTCATTCATGCAGGTGCCAACTGCTCCCTGATATCCTCCAGGTAGTAATTTGTCTGGAATTGAACGGTGACAGCTCCCCCGGTGTAACGTACTACGATCCTTTTCTGAGGATCTTTGGACGAAGTGGACATTATAAGTTCCCAGGCTACTCTCTTTGACTCTTCGACTTTGGCAAGAACTTTCCTCTAATTTGAGATTTCAGTCTTTCGACCCCATGCACACCTCATAAGATTGCTAATTCACACCAACACCCAACATCATGCACCTGTCCAAGCTCTTCAGCATCGCATTTGTAACCTTCATCGGGGGCACAATGTGCATTGCTATTCCCGAAGCAGAAGAAGCTGCGTCAGTGATTATGAACTTGTTGGGTTTTCATAGCTCACCTCTGGCCAGGAATCCATTGATTGAGTGCGAGGGGACTATAGCTTCAACGTAAGTGGATTGAGCCGAAAATGATTTTGGGAGTTCAGCTAATCGATGGGCAAAGGGATGCGGTTTTATGTCCTTTCGGGTAGGCTATTCTCTTGAATGGAGAGGATATGATGAATCCTAATACGAGTCATGTAGTTTCGAAGAAGCGTAGAGGAGCTGCTTTAGGATATGATATATGATCGATGCTGAATCGCAATGTTGCATTGACTTGACGGATTCATGACGAAGGATGAGAAACGGGTGGGCATGAAGTTTCGGTCGGGAAGGTCAGCGGAGTTGCGATGCTGCTTTCCAATATTTGTTAAGCAGGCAGGGCAGGACTCATGTTATATATATACTGAAAGGAGCCATCGTGCTCACATATACGCCGAGAGCGGTATAATTGAGCACAATAAGTGTTTTGCTACGCCATTGTGCAGCGTGACGACGTCACGCGCTTCAGTCCTTACGCCAACACATAAATAAACTACGACGCCACTTCTCAACTGGACTGCACGCAAATGCTCACCACACCATGCCACGACCTCGAGAGTACTACGACGATGACATCGACGATGGATATGATCAGCGAGCCCCTCCACCGCGAACCTACCGCCCCAACAACGAAACCAGACGTACCGCCCATCGCCCTCGAGTTGACAGACTTCCTCTAGACGATATCATACCTCCCCCGCCGATGGGTTCGAACCCGCTCCGCTAGAAACCCGTAGTCGTCGATCCACTAGCGGCTCCTAGAGGTGGAGCCCGTCGCGGAGTCCCAGATCCGCGATATATTTCTGACGAGTCTGACGACGACGAGCGCCCTCCTCCCCGATCCTCCCACACGCGGCGGCAGAAGAGTCCCCCGGTCGACGACGGACGGCAGCGGGATAGACGGGCTCGAGATACTAGGGATCCGTACGAAATCGACGAAGGGGAGGTCCGACGGATACCAAGAAGCGGGAATCCTGCCGCCTCAAGCCGACCACGCAGAGTAGAACCAGACGAGCGGGAGGCACCCGCGTCTCAGCCACGCCGTCATAGACGTGGCGGAGATGATGTTGGTCAGGAAGCCATGGGTGAGCCATTGCCCGTGAGGGGCAAGCCTCGAGATCTACCGGCAAGCGATCCAGCTAGGGACGCTGCAGTACCAGCCAATGCTGGCCGGCCCCCTACAAACACTCAAGCACTAGACAGAGAACTAAAGCAAGGCCGTGGGAGTATTTCGCGCCTCATTGGACCAAACACAGAAAATCACAGCGTCGGCCGAGGACAGAAGGGAAGAGGACGAACGTGTAGAGAAGCAAGGCAGAGGCCAAGGAAGGCGGGAAAGCGGGGTGAGTGCCAGGGCCAAACTTCTGGATCACCGATTCAACGGGATGAATACTAACAGTAGCAGTAGCAACTTTCAATTGTGGAGGAGCCGGTGGCCTCATGCCCTAAACCACGCCCGAACCCGGCTCAACCAATTCAACCATACACGCGAGCGAACCCTCCACAGCAAAGACGCTTCCATGTCATCAAACGGCCTTCAATACCTGCGGAAAACCCCCCTCTCACAACAAGCCGCAGACTGAGCCCGCTAATATCTTATCATACTATGATTGGAATCTGAGGATGGATAGTATAATGGGTGGGACCGTTGAAGTAGGCCGGCGTGAATCACGGGAGTACCGGTACTATCATACATAGCAGCGTCGTGGATTGGACCAGTACACTTCCCACCAGCATCAACAAGGATCGCGTTGCATATTAGGAAGACTGTTTCGGTGATTCCCCAATGTCGAATGTACGCCAACTCCACTCCCAGGGCAATCTCCGCCATTGGATTGGGGGTCTAGTGGCGATGGAAATAGTCAAGGCCCGGGCGGGAGACTAATGGGTAACATGTACAAGAGAGATTGGTGGAGTTACTCATGCTTTATAGTGGTGTCAGAGAATTGAGTCCGTCTATTCTCACGAGACTAGGCCAGAATCCACGGGATCCGCTTCCTCTCCCCAGGACCGCATTACCGATACCCGTGCCGCCATAGAGGCACCCACAATGTCTTTCCAATTGCCCCCACGATGGCGGCAGTTAGAGACGGCATGCGCTACTGTAGAAGCCCGCAGCAACAGTACTAGCAACGGCGAGAGCAAGAAAAGCGTAATAGCTAGAAGAAAGAGGTATAGTGTCACGGGCTACGCCCTGGACTTCTTCTCATTGACTACCTCACAAGGCTCGGCTCGTCCCTCACGTCAATTCGAACCAACGCAGTGCCAATTCGTATAGCCTATCCAACTCGTGCAGCCTGCCGGTTTTACGAACTTAGCATAGAATCAGTTCTATTCTAAGAACCTGAATTCTATACTAAAACTGGCCAGGCCGTTCCACCCCGTCCAATTTGTAACGCCTTAATTCATCCTTTCCGTTCACGTTATCCGTCCTGGTTTACAAGCCGTCACCAGGACCTATTCTAAGATTGAATCTCTATTTCTAGGAATCGGCTAGGCTGCCCCACCCTGTCCGATTCATCAAACCGTACACTAACACGTGTTCTCACGATCTAGCCGCTCGAACGGCTGCTCAATTGGCTACGCATCCTCTCCGTTTCACGTAGCCTCCTACGAAGCCTCTTTCACATTGCGGCACGGCGATGCAGCACGACATTACAACACAAGCACGATGGTGCAGCACGACGATACCGTACGGAGGAGGACAGGACGGTTGCATCACTCTCTCGACAATGAGGTATATAGGCAGCGTGTATTCGTAGTTTAGATCTTTAATGAATTCTTCTTGTACTTAATACAATCTATTGTTTCAGGCCTACGGCCCTTACATATAGCAGAGGTAGATCTAAAACTGCGCCTAGAGCAAAGCTGGGAACCTCTTCCTGCACTGTTTCGCGAAGGAGGTAGTAGGCAGTAGAATTATTAGCGTGGTAAGTCTTACTTATAACACTTACGCGACTAATAGAAGTGGGTTATTTATTCTAATAATTTTATTAATTGCAGTGCTTTAATCCTAGTAACTACTTTACTAAATTAGAGCTGGGCTAGCCCTATTTATATATACTTAGCTATTATCTATAAATAAAAACTTTAATAATACTATAATTACTAATTTTAACCTAGGATATAGAGGCTTAATAAACTTCCTGAAGTTACTTTGCATAAATTTATACTATAGCAGTGTCAGTCTTTTCTCCCACAGTTAAATGATATATACGCGCATCTAGTCATGATGTCACTTTCAGGAAGCCGCATACTGTGGTGAGGTAGAACGGTACCTGTAAAGATATAGGCACGTGGCCTACGGCACGTGCCTGCGGAGGGCGATGCGCCGCTCCGGCCCTTAGGCTCTAGCTGCCGTTCTGCGGCGAGCTCCATCAACCATCCATCACCACTTCTTGTAGCTAGCTACGCAGCTACGCTGCGCGCCCTTACGGGCGCCGCCTTAATCAATCCTTCTTCTACCTGCATGCACTGCACCTGCTCCTCCTGCCTACATGCACTACGTGCACTGCGTGCACCGCGTGCACTGTACCTCCTCCTCCTCTTCCTCCCACCTAGGTGCTCTGCGTGCACTACACCGCTTTACACCGCTTTACACCACCACAATACGGGCACCCATGTTCACTGCTCGGAGTGGTGATATGTACGCTGCACACTTGGATGACTCCCAAATGTGGCACAGCAAGATGCGGGTGCTCTTCCGAGTGCTGGTATGTGACATGCTTGCTATTGATCATGAATCCAAGCAGTTTCTAGATGTATGAGAAGGTGGAAGTGAAGAGAAAATTCACGTCAGCTCCTGGATGCTTTAGTCGTCATTGCACCTAATTGTGCAGCCTACCACACTACAAAGCGCTCTAGTTATGCTAAGCGTGATCTGAAGTACAACGACGGAATCTGTGAAATTATATAGATGTACCAACGAAGGGATATGCTAAAAGGATATGCAAAGGGTGTCTACCTTTGCAAGGCCTGACAGTAGCTTCTAATGATACTGCTCGCGAGACGTCGTCGTTGTCACGTGCAGTGCTCCATTCTCGGTTAGCTCTTTTAGCTTACTAAGCGCGAAAATCGCATCTCGTTCGCGAAATCTCAGACTCTCTTCTCTCCTCAGAAAGTTGCACCCAGATTCTCGAAATTTGACTCCTCACCCCTCTCCCATGGGCCTGGAGTTGTATTAGCTGGGGAGATCGAATCGTTGCTCCCAAGAACCCAAGCCCCTCCTACTGGGTTGACGTGGTCCCGTAGCTCCGATACAAACCTTTTCGCAAGACCCAAACCTCTTCGCGCACCCACAAACGCCGCCACGATGGATGCATAAACTCCCTCTGAAGCAGCCTTTGCGCTCGCTTTGGAGCCAACCTCCTTCTTGACCTCCCTCCGCCTCTGTGAAACCCCATGGACGGCGCCGTGTCCGTATCGTCTCGCCGTCGAACGGACGTGCGGCCGTTCCGCTTCTTCGACCTCCCCGCCGAGCTGCGTCTAAAGATTCTCGACCGCGTCCTCGTCTTGCCCCAGACGGTTGATCTTGAACCTGATAACTATCGCTATGTTGCACCGCGCCTCAGGCTGTTCCTCGTGAGCCACCGCATGCACGTAGAGGCGGCCGAGTGCTTTTTCGGCAGCAATACCTTCCGTGTCTTCCCTATCCATGGCCGCTTCTTCCACACTAAAAAGCCACTCCTCGTCCGCCTCTCCCCACGCTACCGCGCCTTGATAAAGACAATAGAGCTGAGGCTTGGGCCTGGGTGGACAAAGCCACCCAAGTGCTGGGTTGTGGATGCGCGGCTTGGGTTGGAGCAGATGACGAAAGGGCGGCTGCTGAAAATATTCGCGGAGTGCGATCCGGCGTCGGATGAGATATTCGAGGGGTTCCGTGCCGGCCAGGACTTCTACACGTTCTTCTGCAAGGACCTCGTGCAGAATGTGCTGGAGCAGATTCCGTCGGTGGTGGAGGTCCAGTTTGATGCTTACCCGTCCGTGACGAAGGGCTCTCCGTTGATGCAGGCTTTGATCAACGAGGGCAAAGCGAGGAATAAGAGGATCTCATATGGCCCGGCGCGTGGATGGAACACGGACTTAAGCAAAGCTATGGCAGCGTTGCGTTTTGCGATACCTTGATTGTTCAGAGAATCTGTACATACATGTGCATTTAATCGAAAGATTTAATAAATATGGCCCCTCACATTCCAAGAAAGCACTATCTAATACCGTAACAGAAACATTGGTCCATTCCTTTGACCATCATACCAATATACTGATCAGCAGCGACAGCTACGCAACTTATCAACGACCGCCTTCTGAGTTCCCAAATATGATTCCGATGCATCTCCAGACCCGCCTTCCGGAGAAAAACATGCTATGATTGCATCTGTAAAGACCTTGCCAGCACTATGGCGGACATGCAAGACTTGATCCGGGTCAGAACCAAATTTGAGGAAGTCCGGGAGGTCAACATCCTTTTTGTCTATTTCCGCCTTCAAAATAGCAGCGCCAAGATCATGCGAAGTGAACTCAGATTGGACGTCCACAATACGTTTCCACAGCGCGAGTTCCAACAAAACACACCCCAATGCATATACATCAAACCGCTTATGAAATCGCATCCGATGGTTACCGCGTGCTTGTGGGTGGCGATACAAATCAGCGTAGGGATTTGTATCAGGGAGCTCTGTCATCAAAGCAGCTCCTGTGGTGTCTGGCCTCGAGTACTCATAGCCTACGAGATACATAGGACTTTCCAGTAGAGAGCCGGTTTTCGCCTTTTCGGGTATTGTGAACCTGACATTCTCCGAGCGAATGCCTTTGTGAAGCCATCCGGCAGTATGAAGCTGCAGCAACGTTTCGGAAAGGTCGAGAGCTATCTGGACTCTCTGATAAAGTGAGACTTTGGGTTCTTCCCCGAGCACTTCGTAGAGCGACTTGAGCCCGGTGCTTGGCCCTTCCATCATTGTCGGTGGAAGCTCATACACGATAGCGTATCGTTCCTTTTCTTCCCACGGCAGGTATCCGATGCACGATAGAGCGTGGAAGGAAGAGTCTTGCAATGCTGTAAGCAGAACGGCTAAAGCCTCGACTTGCTGCCGGAAATCCTTCCAGACGGGTTTATCCACGACTTTCCACTCTATCACGACGTCCTCTCCATCATATTTTCCGGTCTCAATTCCTACGAGAGTCTTGGCTTTGACCTTCCGAGCCTTCAGTCTCTTCAAAACTGGCATTTTTTCCTTCACAAGACGAGTGAGCTGTGGCGGAATTTCATCATCCGTTTTGTCGACGCCTATCGTAAGTCGAATCTGCTTCAAACTAGCAGCTGCCGCAAGAGCTTTGTCGCTAATAGCCTGGCCAGGATTGAGTAGTTGCTGTACCGTCTCGACTTCAGAGGTGCTATTGCTTCGGGAAATGATGTCTCGTAGCAATGCGTCAACCCCATTGCGAAGACTTAGCTGTTCTGCAGAGTCCAACAGCTGCCACAGTCGAGTGTTCTGCTCAGCAATATCTTGAATAACGCGGTCCGCTTGTTTTCTGCCAATGGTGGCCCAACGAAGTCTTCGGAATGCTTTGCCGCCAATCCGTACACTTTGGGCAGCAGATGTGGTGTATATATCTGGCCTGAGCTTCGCGACCAACTTCCCAATCCCCGAATCGGGGAAATCTAGTTCGCTAGCTACACTAACGTTCTTGGGGTGTACCAATTCTTCTTCTTCTTGCACTTGCAAATTGTAGAGACGCTTGAGCTTGTCTGCTGAAGTCAAGAGCGCATGCTGCTGCTCCAAAAGCCCGCATGCAACACTCCAGTTCAAACGATTGTCTGGCGTCTTGTTTAATCCAGCCCGTTGCCCCCACTCGACCAACCGATATTGTTCCCACTGCAATCTCGATCGCACAAGATCAACCTCCTGGTCCATGTGGCCCACTGTGTAGAAGAACTGGTATGCTTGGATACAGAGTTGGAAGGACTGTATTGCCAGGGGCACGATCTCAAGTCCGGACATTGTATCTTGATTCTTTGGAGGAGAAAAATATTATTGGGCTTTGATGTGAGCCTTGTGTGATGGGTGCGGCCCAAATTATGGGACTCGAATCGTGTGGGAAAACCAAGGCCAAATATGAGCGAATATGCTAAAAGACCGTCCTGAGCCGCAAGCTGAAATGCAACTTTAGTCCTGGCAGGAAGGCTGAGATTCAGGCAACGAGTTTTAGAACGAATAAAGATGCAGGCTTCTCAGCCTTGCGAGAAGGCTGTACCTTGACGATCGTTGGGCTCGCTCAGCCTTCTTATCATCTACATTGGCCGCCAATGTCATACCGCCCACCACTAAGTCCCCTGGCAGAAGGCGGCCACGTCAGTCAACTATTGGCTGTGCTTTACGTTACACAGAGAGGGGGGAACAAGCTGAGCCTGCTCTGTCACTTATGCCCGCGCTATTAACGCAGGGCGAAGTTCCTGATAACGAGCGCTCACTCCCGGGGTCTTCACGATAATTCTCTCAGCCTCCTCTCCCAAAATCTTCCACTTCACTACAGTGTCACAAGTTGGCTTGATGTCTGCCCCATTTAGGCGCGTACTCGCCTCCTGGCGGAAAGACCCTACCCCGGAAGACACGAAGTCAACTCAGTGTACGCCAAGTTACAATCCTGATGAGGAGCGCGTTGACCAATACCTCGCAACACTTTGTGAACCAAGCCAGCTTTCTACTCCTCCAGCAATAACCGTGATTGCACCCGAACGTTTCGTTACGATAGCAGAGTATCTAAGATGGATCGACCAATGTTATGGAAGAGAAGCGGAAAAAGCCCAATGGTGTCGCCGACCACGAATTTACACCGTTCTCAGGAATATCAAGGCGTTGCATCTCATGTCGGACTTTTGTTCATCGAATTTGACCGACAGTTATCTCCCATTCCAAGCGAAGACATTTCCTAGCTTCTTCGCCGAACAGGGCCTGCGGGAAGCCTTCCTACGTTTCCAACCTCACGTTCTAACAGCTGCTTCTCGGATTGAGCAGGACAGGGATGAGCACGTGAACTTGGAGGGTAGTGGAGATGATCATTACAACACCGGCGCAGGGATGTGCTTGGGGGGCTTCGGGTGAGTATACTCATTCCGAGGTTGACATCCACAGTCGTTCGAGGCCGGTATGTCTCTTTACTAACCAGTGTACTAGGTCAGTGGACTTTGTCTATAGCAGACTGAGTTGCAAGCGCTTTGCAAGAAAAAGAGTTCCTCGTCTAAAAGACTCTGCAGCCAATCGGCGATACCAGCACACTCTTATTGAGGAGATCCGTATCCTGAAATCTCTCTCTCATCAGCATATCATTCGAATCATTGGGTCATACACCGACAAAGATTATATCGCATATCTAATGGAACCCGTTGCTCATGGGAATCTGCGTGAGTTTTTGGACGACGAAAGACCAGAAGGAATCCATGAACCGAAACGCATGTCGCTCCGAAATTACTTCGGCTGCCTTTCTGGGGCTATTCATTACCTGCACCATACCTGCAAGCTCCGGCATCGCGACCTCACATGCCAAAACATTCTTGTCAAAGGCGACTCGGTATACATAAGTGATTTTGGAACGGCGTATGACCACTCCAAGGGCAGGAGTACGACACAGGACCGAAATATCCCCCGTACTGAGTTTTATATGGCCCCAGAGGTTGCAAAACGACAGAAACGAAACTCTGCTAGCGATATGTGGTCTCTAGGCGTTGTGTTTCTAGAGATGGCCACCGTACTCCTTGGAAGTACTGTTTCAGATTTTAGGACGCATCTTCATGACCGAGCAAGAAAAGACCAAACTAGCACCAATCATGTCCACGCCAACTCGGTAGCGGTAAGAGACTGGATCTCCATTCTTACGAGGAGAAATCGTGGTCCGAAGCATGACAACGCGCCGCTCCAATGGATTCAGGTTCTATTGGAGAAGGAGCCCGGAGATCGATACGATTCAAAAGACTTAATGCAGGCCATGCTGGAATCAGGCTCCCTAGAGGTTTTCAGTTGTTCACGATGCCTGGAGGAGTTCACTACTCGGACCTTTTTGTACGATAAACCGATAACACACCATGAGCACTCTGCACCAGCCAGAGATACTGTGAAGGCCTATCTTGCAGAGGATAATTCCGACAAGCCTTCTATTACTGCTAATGAAAGCCGATCTATACTGAACTGGGCATCTAGTGTCGTGGAAAGCACTTCCATCCCACCCAAGTACACAGCAAGCTCTCTCAGATACCCCTCCATGACACTCCCCGGAACTTTCGTTGAAAGCCCACACGAGTCGGACAATGAGTCCTCAGATGATCTGAGTGAGCGGCTCGGGAGTTCAAACCGACATCGCGCTAAAGATTCTGGTCGCGGCTATTTCGTAGTAGAAAGCAGCTCGGAAGAAGATGAGGATGGGGACCCGGATCAAAGCTTCTTCAATATAATCGACGACAGTTCTGGCTCAGAGGACAGTTTTTCCTCCGCGGAGGAAGAGATTTGTCTCAACAGCCTAAGCAGAACGCTTAGCTGCATCTCAGAGTGCCAAAACGAGGGCGATGATAAGGTCTACGACCTCATAGGATCCGGTACAGGCAGTTCTATGATGATGACTACGACTGTTACTCTTCCAAAAGCTGATAATGTTTCAACGATTGCCCCCTGTGGGCTATCCGACCAGAAAATGGAGTTAGCAGCCGTAGAACCCTTTGCCTCGCGCTTATCACACGATTGCTCAACCTCCGTTAAAGGCTTTGGTGTCACAGACGTAACACTCGCGCTAATCACGAAAGAAACTATCGCAGACGACACGCCGCCCTCGGACAGTATGGTAATGTTCGATCGCGGAATGTTCACTTCACCAGCCGCCGCATCGACCTTTTACCCACAGTCTCCGACAGCCGGGCAAGGTGCCAAACCCGACAGCGACACTGTCAAGTTACCTGATGCTTGCGGAATCCCTCTACTAAGTAGTATACAGTCTTCTGTCCTTCAGCTCCAGGGCCGAGATCACGGAGCGAAAGATGTGGAAGAGTGTGAAGCAGCAAGGGAACGAGGCAATCGACCCAATCCACCACCGTTACAGCTGGAACCGTTCAGCGGAGCTGGTCCTATCGCTAGAACTATAGAAGAGCTTGTTGTGACACCGAATAACGGAAATACCGGCCAGCGACCTGAAAGATTGAAAGAGTTCACCTTCATGATTGAAGAAGTCACGTCACCTCTACAATCGCCAACCCTTCCTAAACTCGGTCTTGATCGGGATAAATATCCTATCCCAGATGCCCCTACAGCAGAAATTGCTCTCACCTTAGCCTTTGACAGCCGGGGAAAGGTCTCTGAAATGGACTCAAATCTCGAATCTGACAAACGACAAAGGCGTACCCGCTCCCAGCCGCTACCGAAGATATCCAAGTTATCCGTAGCCAATGTTAAGACCTTGAACAAGCCCAACGCAAAAGATAAACCAAAGCTAGCAAGTCAATACACTAGCCCCAAAAGAACGCCGCCTCGAGCTGGCATCAGCCCAAGTGTCTACATGGATAGCGCTTGGGAGAGAGCCTCTTCGATAGCAACATCCGCAATGAGCGACAGGACCCGGCGCGCATTGAATAGCGTCAGCATAGCCAAGATGTTCAACAAGTCTTACCAATTGCTCGAACTGCATTGTGGTAAGGGTAATGCCCAGGCAGTCCGAATGCTGCTAGCGGAGGGATGTAATCCTGGAACCAAGTCGAAGAAGAATCCGATCCCACTTTTGCGGGCTGTAGCAGGAGGAACCCCTCAACACTTTAAATGCGTCCAAGCGCTCGTAAGCCATGAGGTGAACGTGAACGTTCGCCGCGCGAAAGACGGCAAAACTGCTCTTCACCTAGCCATCGAGAACGCCGACTTTGCTGGATATGCAGAGCAAGTTGGGCTCTTGATCTATGCTGGTGCCATTACGAATACGAAAGATTTGGTGGGCGATACGCCTCTCATTAAGATATTTGCAAGCGGATCTACTACCACTACAGAGCCTTTGGACACTGGCAGACGGAACGCATTGGCATGTTTGCTCCATTCCACTACAAAAGGTGGCACGGATACCAACATCACTAGACGCGGTACGAAGACGAGCCCCCTCCACCTAGCTGTCCGAAGAAGAGATGCTATCGCTGTCGGCTTATTACTACACAAAGGAGCAGACATCAACGCTAAAGATGAATCCGAGATGACACCTCTCCTACAGGCCGCCAACCAATGGCGCGGAGAGCTGACCAAAGCTCAAGAGGAACTTCTAGCAACCTTGCTAAACCTGGATAAAGATTTCTCTTTCAAGATAGACATTGACGAGGTAGGAGGGTCAGCTGGTCGCACCGCTCTGCTGCAAGCCGTCCACGTCGGCGCGTCTTCCGCAGTCATAACCCTCCTGGAATGCGGTGCCGACCCCACCGTGACCGACAAGAACGGTTTCAATGCGCTCGCAACGGCAGTCAAGGCCGCCCCAACCACCGAAGTAGGTGCCCATAACGAGATCATGGCCCATCTGGTCCGCCGCTTTGATAAGGACTGGACGATTGAGCAGGACTGCAACATCATACAGACTGCATGCAACTATAATGATGTTGGCCTGATGAAAGATTTGCTCGACCATGGTCTTGACGTTCACGCTGTGCTGGCGGAGAAATCGCTCGTACACCACGCGGTCTCACATGGAAACATGGATATGGTAGGTCTCCTCGTAGACCGCGGCGCGAGTGTCAGGGATAATGACGACAAGAACCAAAATGCTAAGGTTTATGCGGAGCAACTTGGGCACGTTGAGATTGCTGACTATCTACGTAAAGAGTGGGATATCCTCCAATGAGACCGCCTCTATGATGAGGTTTGAAGACTATATAGATCCATGTTTTATGCAATTTCTTAGAAATATATGGAGGGAAGTCAGACATCGGTAGAGGAGTGTACACAGATACACACTCCTTCCCATTTCACAAAACATATTGAGGCACGTCAGACAGTGATAGCCCAGTACACCATAGCCACTTCTCATTTGATTTTCCAAAAAATGACGAGGCACGTCAGACACCGTCGAACCAGCCCGCACCGATTGCCATTTTGTTCAGTTCCCATACACGCTGTCGAGGCACGTCAGACGCCGTCAAACTGATATACACGGGTTCAAATTTCACTTGAATTCTTGGAAGGCCACCTCGGCTTCTCAAACCGGTGTTCATAGCTTCATGTTTTATCTGGAATTTACGTGATATGTTGAGGCACGGCAGACGTCGTCAAACTGGTATATACACATACATACATTCACATTTCTTTCAACTTCCTGGAAGGCTACCTAGGCTCTTAAAACCGGTGTACACACATTTACTATTGATCTGGATTTTGTAAGATGTGTTGAGGCACTTCAAATAGTGCGATGAAGGTTGCAATTCGAGAAAAGAACCTAGCCAATTCATCCACTCCGTCATAATTATCGCGGCGAGCGCATCGTTCCTGGAAGGTTACTCATGCTCATTAAACAGGCATACACAGAGTCACGTTTTATCTTGATTTCCGAAGACATGTTGAGGCACTTCAAACAGTGCGATGAGGCTTGCAATTCAATTCGAAGACCCAGCCAATTCACCCATTCCATTACAATTACCGCGATGACCCCACCGATCCTGCATAAACTCCAAGACAACCCATTGTTCCGCCAAAACTCACAAGTACTCCCAAAAGCCACAACTACTCCCGCATCGCCCTGTATCCAGCGGTACGCTGCTTCACCAACCGCTCTACCTCCTCCTGCGCCCGCGCCAACGCTTCCGCCTGTAGATCCCACTTTCTGTACATATTGTACAGCAGGTCCTCCCTCTCTTGGTCCTTCTTCTCCAGAGCCTCTGCGTCCCCCTCGTGCTGCTTCTTGAGGGCCTCGATCTCCTCATCCTTCTCACAACAAGCCATGCCAAGGCGCCCCACAGCCTCCTGCACGCTCTCCAGCTCCGCGTTGAACCTAATCGTTAAACAAACTGCACAACGCGTAGGGACTTCCGTGATACCTCTTGCTTAAAGCGACGATAACGTCGTGCTTCGCCTCGCACATCCGCTCCTTTTCCTCACACATCTGACCGAGTCGCGCAGCCTCCGCGCACGCTCCCTCCAGCTTCTTCTCCGACTTCTCCAACTTGTCCCCAATGCGCTCGACCTCCGCGCGGGCTTCTTCCGCCTCCGCGTGCTTCGCCTGGACCTCTGCGTGCGCTTCTTTGAGCGCTTTGGCGGCCTCCCCGTGCTTCTTGGTCATCTTCGCGACCTCCGCCTGCATCTTAGCGGCTTCTGCGTTTTTCTCCGCACACGCGGCGTTCAGCTGGGCGAGCTCGTTGTCGGCGCAGAAAATGCGGAGCTCGAGGTTGATGGCGGTGAGGGCTTTGGTGGGGCGGTGGAGGGCGGCGAAGAGGGTGGATGTTTTGACGGGAGCGCCGGTGCTTGTGTTGGATGATACGGACATGGTCGATTGATGGGCGAGAGTGTGCGTGTGATGTGACGATGCGTGGTACGTTGTGTGAAGCTTTGGTGCGATATGTGGAAGGTGTGGTGCGCGGAGGGTGGAGGGTGGCGCGAGGATGGGGTTTTGTTTACATTTGGGCGACGAGGCTTGGCGTGTTGTGCGGTGGGGGATGGTGATGGCTGAGTGGTTTCAGTGGGTTGATCGGGTGTGCCAAAGAGGTGAGCGCGCGGTTTGGGTTGATGGGCTGAGGGACCTCAGACGGCGGTAGGATGGTGTACATAGGTGGCTGTGCTAATGATGAAACTTTGCGATCGAGGGTGGAGTAGTGATGAACAGAGATGAAGGCTACGTATTGAACGTCAATTCAGAGTGATGAGATTTGTAGATGCCGACGTCTGAGGTGCCCCAACGAGCCTTCAGATCTTCCAAAACGGTCGACTTCGGATTCTTCATAGTGTGTTGAAGCACTCATGACAGCTGCGAGAAGGTGTACATAGACGAATGCCCGAGTGCTATGAATCGGGATTAACGGTAGAAGATGATAAGGATAGGAGAAGAAGTTGGGGGAAGCCAAATTGAAGCGGTGAGGTTGCAAATTTGGCGTATGTGACCGTGACCAAAGACAACCCCTGACCTACTCAAAAGCTTGGGATTAGAATCACATGGTGGCGGTGTGATTTGCGAGCTCTAGAGATCGACATCATAGAATCTAGATGATGCTACACGTATTTCCGGGGACTTTAGGTTAGAAAGGCGAGACTATAGATTGGGGGTAGAGGACAATGATTACAGACGCCCCTCGACATACTTAAAGTTCTGGTAATAATATCACATGGTAGCGGCGTGATTTTTGAGCTCTGGAATTGGCATCACAAAACCAACGTGATTCTAGCATCTATTTTCCGAAGACTTGGAATCAGAGCGGCGAGGATATGAATTAGCGGTAGGGAACGGCAACCAAATACTCCCCCCGACATACCTAAAATCGTGGGAGAATGATCATATGAGATTGGTGTGATTTGCATGACTCAGCGAATGACATCCACTTGACCACACAATATCAGCATGCATTTTCTCAAGACTTCGAATCAAACCTGAATTTATTCGATAGAGATATACATATTAGTGCATCCCGAGAAAGTCCTCATAGACGTGAACGATCTGCCAGAGCCTACAGCTTCGCCGCCAGACTCTTTTGCTCCTTCGCTTGCTCAACCAGTTTCCAGCATATCTCGGCGGCCGGTCTCATCTCTTCTCCTACATTCTTCGCCTGCTCGCTACTCGCCTGACGCACCGCATATCTCGCCGCAATACCTTGAAAAATGACACTGTCTCGCCACATAGCGAAGGCAGTTCCCCACGCGATTTCGGGGGCGGGGTCCCAACCAGCAACATCACGGTACCACGAGATGCATTGAGCGCGAGACGGAAGACCTGCGGGATGGTTGAAGGGGTGGAAGGCGGGATGAGAGTTCCGGCGGGAGGTATCGAAGGCGGTGATTGTCCAAGGTACAATGAGATTCGAAAGATCAGAAAGCGGATGGCCGATAGTTGCCATCTCCCAGCTATCAGGGGTCAGTATTGAACTTTTACGAAGAAAGAGTTGGGAAGTGGCTTACTCTAATATTCCAATGACGCGAGGCTCTGTCTTGTGGTACACTAGATTGTCGATTTTATAGTCACCATGGATTGGATTACCCCGATCTTTCGGCTGGCTTTTGGGATCGCTGAAATACTGAACTAGCTCGTCGAAGCGTGGGACCTTGCCGACTGCCTGGCCTGTCTCGACGTCCTTTGCAACGCTCTGTGCGTCTCCGAGTTGAGTGAAGGTGTTGATTTGACGATTGTAGAAGCCAGTTGGCTTTCCGAATGTTGAAAGTCCAATTGAGGCTGGATTTATCCTGTGAAGCTTGGCTAATGTTCGTACCGCATCGTGCCACCTGATATACGCGTTAGCATCCTTCTCACCATCATTGAGAGTCGAGCAACCCTACATCTCATTTCTCTCTTCGGGGGAGACTCCAGGGAAATGCGGCTCCGTCACGATCCTTCCATCCAAAAATTCCATGATATAAAATGGTGTTCCAACCACCGAGTCGTCCTCGCATAGCCCATATGTCTTGGGTACTGGTACGTCCGTGTTTTGCAACGCGTTTATGATCCGGTACTCCCGCTCGACCTTGTGCGCACTCTTCGATACAAGCTTCCCCGGCGGCTTCTTGCGCATCACAAACTTGGATCCCCGCGCGTCAGTGATTTGGTATGTGGGGTTGGACTGGCCAAAGCCGAACTGAAGTCAAAGTGTCAGCATTTAGGTGTTCGAGAAGGGGGAATGGTATACGTACCTGCTTGAGAGTAATTGGAGTCTTGATATCAGCGACATTCTTCTCAATGTACTTCTCCAGCGAGGAGATATCGATGGGTTGTCGAACTGGTCCTGCCATGATACTCGACGCTCAAGACGCAATGTAGTTGTGGAAGGTATGGATAGGAATTGAGAATTCGGAAGCTATGAAGGATGAATCTTTTGGTAGCTACCCGCTAAAGCGAGATCAGAGACGCGCATGGCTGGACCCAGGCTCTGCAGCTCCGTTGTCTGATGCTTTGGTCCCCGCGACTTGCTCACCTCGGCTTTGTGGTGATTCAGTTCCCGCGAGAGGCTAGGCGGTGTTGGGTTTAGTGTGGTGGTGTTTAAACCGACGTGGGGATGTAGTCGGGAGATCTTAACCGTTGCCCAGCCTTGAAAAAATTAAGATGTCAAAACTAACATCTCGGATTCCATCAACTCAATCGGTACCTGAGAAAACACTGTTTTCGTCATAGTCAAGCGGTCAAGCCGAGTCATGCTCTCGCAAATGCCCGTACTATTCTACGCACAACGCTATAAGATAAAACCCACTTTCCTGCCGCACCAATATTAGCAAGTTACAGTATTCATCGTACGCGGTTAGAGAATCCCGTAAAGTACTGATAAACCCCTTTTCATCACAATGTCACTTTCCTCTTTCTTCGCGAAACGTTGAGAACCCGTGAAACCGACAAGGGGCTCAACAACAACAGCCTCTAGGTAGTTATCGAAGGTAGCCTTGCCGTCTAGTGCGCCATTGAACTGTACCTAGAGTGTTAATTGAGCTGAGATGACTGGGATCAATGTCGCTATACCAAGCAATGCAAGAGAGCCGGCTTTTAGAGCAGGCTGGCTTTTCCATGGCGTTCTTCCGGTTCCACTCTTTGAAAGCGATCTTATATTGTCTCTCACGCCAAAAGGAGAAAGTTATTGATATGCTTGCCCGTACCCTGGATCACTTCTCAATCTTTTGTTTTCCTCCAGACAGACGAAGATGACTTTTGATTCCAGAACTGGGAGGCCATCCGTGTATTAAGCCAGCTGGTCTTTCCAAGCAAGATCTTCTTTTCTTTTTGGCCTAGGATGGCCAGCCTTATTAGATGGATGAGTGGTTCTTGCTGTGGGGCGTTTCCACGGGTCATAGCGTCGAAGTTCTAGAAACGAGTGAATTTCACGCTGGAATCGGGAGCCTCTTGCAAGTTGCGGACATAAGCCGTAAAACGGACAGCGACTCTTTTTACCACATGTATTTGGCAAATAATCAGAGCTATTCTCATGACTTCATCCATACCCTATGATTTGTGTGCACGTGTCTCCACAAACATCCAGGTATTAAGTCTCCATCTGTCTCGCAAACTGTGATCTATCAAAGGTATAAGAGACATCCAGGAAAGCAAAAACGTACAGGAGTTAGTCATATGTCTTGTAGTGTGCAAACATACGTAGTCATAGCTCCTATGGCAGAGCGCTGGCGCTCGTGGAACCCCCGATGCCGGTCGTACTGTTGAAGTTCAGGTCCTTTAGACAACGATTGTAATTGTCGTTACGTGCTGCACCTTTCTATTGCAATCTTTTCCGTTTAATAACACCGCTCATCTTCGCGACCAGAGGTTTCTCATTCTCCTTAGAAGCATCCAGGGTGATGGAGAGCATCGTCAGTCCGACGTCCACCCTCTCTTCCAACTCCTCCAACTCCATTCATGAAGAAATTTTGTTTTGTTGAAAGCCCACATGGAACCCTGAATTCCACCTTGTTGATCTAACAGAACTTTAGACTTCCACCCCGAGCCCACGCCGAAGCTCCACTGAAGAACAGGTACGCGAAAAGAAAGAATGGCATTATATACCCGGCCGAATATAAAGGTCCTGGGACCACATGCAAACTATTCTTCGTTGCGGACTGGATAGGCACTGGTCACGTGGGTTGAACATGCAGTAAATGCCTCCTTCTCTCCAGGAGATCCATCACGCTTTTGCACACGTGCTATCATGTGCTGAGGGAGGGCATAAAGTTTCCTCTGCCCTCTCGGAACTTGCTTTTCTGCCATGGAGTAGGTTGGTTGGCTTCGGGGTGCAAAACGGACCGTCGCCGTACATGATGGCTGGTGGTGTTCTGGGATCAAATCGTCGAATTACTGAGCTTGATGGAGAGCGTTGTGGACTGGAGTTCACCTTTTAACTTCCCAACGCTTGCAGCTCTCTTTACTATTGCTCTTCGCCACCTTCCCTTTTACCCCTCCTCATTACCGCTTGAAGATACCCTCCAATATAAACATCTGTAAGTGACTTTTAAAATCATCACTTTCACCCGATCAGCTCCCCAAAACTACTTGAAAGCAATCTCTATTTGATACGATCCCCTCTCCGTGATTCAGAGCATCACCATATCCCCTGCCCACCACTCCATGGCGCATCAATGTCATGCTTTTCACACCCGACACCACCACAGCCATGGGACGAACACATGGGCAGTTGATCTGCACCCTCCAGCTCTCCATCGCAGCTTTTGGTCGCATTGTTGCCAGCACTCGAACCAAACAATGAACGAGGAAATCATCCAGGTTTGCTGCCACCATATGGAAAACTATCTGTTTGTGTGAAGGTCCAACTCCAAGTTCATGAGGAAGGAAAGAAAGACGAAAATTGGCTTTATATACCCTAGGGGAGGAGAGATTCACGGTCATGTGGGTGCTTGATTAAACACGTGGGAAAGAGGGTGGTTGGGGGTCAGACCGCGGTAAGATAGTCGGAGATGAAGCGGAAAACGTACACGCCAGATGTGATATGATAGACGTTGACTAAAACCGCACGAAGTATACTTGCCCCTAAAATATGATACAACCATTCTTCTTCAAGCCGTCGTTATTGAATCCCTCATCAAATCAAAGTACATACATCTCTTGTAATTCTCATTCTTCTCGCAGCCGAACCTCCAGTTCCTCGTGATTCATCTCTTGCATTCAAACCGCCCATCAACGTCATCGGTGCTCAGACTCGCTAGGGCCAAGCTCCATTTCTTTTCCCCTTCAAGCTCTTCAAATTCCCCATCTACCAGTCCGGAAGAGTGGAGTATATAGCCCCTGAACACTCATCATCGTCGGGGTTGGACATCCCATCCGCATGATACGGCATATCCTTAGCATTCCCACAAAGATACATCACCGTCTTCTTCCAGCAATCCGTGCTTCCACCACAAGTCCCGTCGTCGTTCCCTACACGCTTCAGATACGCCGCGTTTATCGGGATCATATGCGTTAAATCGCACACAGGGAGGTTGAAGGCCGTAGACAATTCCGCCTGGCCCTGGGACCCACCATTCGCCTCCAGTCTCGAGACCATATCGCCGCCCGATAACTCCGACCTCCAAGCCTTGGTGACGCTCTGCGTGAACTCGCTCGAGAGCACGACCTGCTCGAGCGTGAGAAAACAGTTGCTCAGCTTTTCCACACCTCTCACGCCTCTCACGCCGTCCGCGGGGTCTTTAATGTTGTGGTACGCATGCTGGAGTCGCTTTTTCAGGCCATCGGCTTCGCCTTCCGCAGATCTTTTCTGGCCGTTTTTGACATACGGATCAAACTGCGCGAGCGTGTACGCGTTACCATCGCCATCGCACCGCGTGTATTCTCCCCACAGCGGCGTAGCACCGCAGACTTCGGCGCCAAACTGCGCGGCGTTGATCTTGATGACAGCTACCTTTTTGTGGTTCCAGAGCCAGCTGATGGCGACGCTAGACAGCGCGGCAATCATTTCGGGCGGGTTGAGGCCAATGGCTGAGGTGACGTCGGCGGCGAAGACGCCGTCCATGAGGATCTGTGGCAGCTGTTGGGCATCGCTGGCGTACACGTAGCCGGGGGCGTTGCTCGGGACTGCGATAAGAGTGTCGTTTGCTATGGTGTAGATGGCATTTTGTAAAGAGATGATGGATTGACTGAGGGCGTCTGATGCTTGAGCGAACTCGTCGAAGAGTCTGTGTATCAATGTTAAGTGCTATTAAGGTAGACGAGCATAAGGCAAGGGAATGGAACTCGGCGAAGCGCACAATTGCGGTGGATTCGTTCCCAAAGCACCAAAGACGCCTCCTAGGAGACTGACACCGGCGCCAACGAATTTTGCTTCGGGTACGGCCCATGCTGCGGCAGGAAGGAAAGTGGAAAGTATGCTCATCGAGCCAACAGTGTTGTCTTTCGGGACATCTCCGTCATCTGTGAACACTTCAGGCATACCGGAGAGAAATCCCGTCACTGCGCCGTGGACATTGCCGATATTTGACACCATGCGCACGAGATAATTGCTGTAGTTTTGCATGGCCCACAGCACGAACTGCTCGCAATGAAGAAGGTTAGCATAAACGGTACTGTGTATGGGAGAAGGGGTTGAACTTGAGAAGATTCGGCTTACATATCCCATTCCACCAGCCACCTTGCAGTCTTCTTCATTAAAGGCCATGTTGCACCTTTCCCCCAGCGAACGACATTCAAAGCTGTTCTGGCCTGGTGCGTATCTCTTCAACGTACTTTGTATGTTCGCATCCCATGGCGTAGTAGCGACGCCATTCTTGACGCCATATTGGTTAGTAATTGTCTGGAACCAGATGCCGACGTCGTTTGAGGTCCAGAGATCTTGAGTGCCGGCGATTGAATCGTAACAGAAGTCATTCACGTCCCGTTGCTGGAATATAAGTGACGCTAGACTGCTTCCTATATTCACTACTATTAGGCTTTGCTATTTAGCGAAGGGATAAGCAAAGACCAACCTAATAGCGAGAGAGCTACGAAAAGCTTTGAAAACATGTTCGTGGAATATTGACGACGGAAAGGGGGCCTAGAGGGTTCGTATAAGATCGTACCCTTTGATTGTTTTGAGTTGACAATGAACACGTTGGAAAGGAAAAAGTTGATGAGAGATCGTGAGATGATAGTGCTGTGAGATGAGGAGGAATGGGCGAACCGGAGAACGATTTATATACCTCTACTCCACAGGCTGCCGACATAGCCACAAGATGTCTCCGTTCATGAAATTTTGTCGTTCTCGCTGACGTAGTTGAGAATAGATGAGCAGACTCTTCTTGAGAGATCCACTTCCAACAGAGCCTCCTCCCTAAGGAAGAACTCTCTAACCCTTCTAGGGACTAAGAGCCTCATGGCCAACCGCGAACTGCCCACTACCAAGCATACTTGCTCTACTCAACTTAGTCTGATTTCACTTATCTGCTTCCTTCCGTCTAGGATGGGGGCATTGCGCAAAATGTGGGCGTCCTTACCCCGGGGTACAGATAGGGGCCAAGACCAGTGGAGCAAGATTGTAACGGAGGATTTTTAGACCCACATAGGAACCCGGGATACGCAAAGGGCCTAGGAATTTAGATGACGTCTACGGCAGTTTTGGTACTCGGGATATAGCCGTGCGGAGAATATCGCGTCCAGGCTTGGATCTTCAGCGTCGAACTGAGTTGCCGCATCATCTTCTCTTGGATATCTCGCCGCTGGATGGACCTAGAAAAGAATCCATAAAGCTCAATTAAGTATCTCTTTCTATAGAATCACCTAGGAAGCGCAGAGAAATGGTGGATCATCCCATTACCGAAATGAGTCTGATCAGATCTCTGACCCTAGTCTTTGTACGATCGTAAATCTGTAGGATGTGAATAGAAGGCTGCGCCATTTGTAAGTGACGAACATGCGACATTGCATGCGACACCTGCTGGGAAAGATTAGTTTGACAACCATTGGTGGACCCTGAGCACAGCCTTTAGATATACCATTCACGCCACATTGTGACAATCCCTGGTCCAACCTATCGGCTCACTGCGGTGGAATCGTAGGCTAATTGGGGTCTACACCTTATTTCCAGCCTCATGACGATATGTGCTAGAGGCTCAATCTTCTCGCTAAAAGCAGCGAAAGTCCAAGGGTGGGCCCTTGGAGGAAGGAACAACGTCGTATCGTAATACTATCATGAAACTCCGCTGATGAGCAAACCGCTGGTATGCAGCAGGCTTGCTGATAACAAGCAAGCCGTAGATAAATTCATCGGAGCCGCCGAGTGACTTTGAAGAGCCAGATCCGAAGAATCATTCACCTTCCCTTGACTTTCATGGTCGTCGTCAACTTGGTGCTACCCAAACTCAAGCATTCAGAAACAAGCAAGCAAAGCGTGCGTGAACACTTTCTTTTCAGTAACCTAGGCTTGCCATCTGTTGGCTGTGATATTATTCAAATGAGCTCTGCCCCATTTCAGTTTAGTGGAGGCTGCTGCGCCCCTGCTTACCATCTAGCATGGCCGCAAGGCTATCAACCTTATCAGACTACTTGCGTCGATCAAACATTGAAACATCAACTAATATTTTTGTAACTTCGACGAAATCGCATTGACAAAAGTGTACAATAGCGTGATAACCAACACTAGCCGGTGGATATTTCAAACGAGGGTAGACATGATATAATTAGAAAGATAGGCTTGCTCTAAAGATTTTTGAAGAAGTGGATCAGCTTGACTGTATTCACCAGGCGGAGCTGAGCATTCGGTGGGGCAGTTGCTCCATATTCCAAAGCAGAGGTAAGTGGCCTGGTGGTCGAAAACTTGAAATTACAGACGTAGGTAGAATACAACAACGAGGCTGATGCAAAACCATGCAAATATCTGTGCCCTTGCGCGATTTTCGATTATCACGCTTGAGCTGTGGAGAGGAACAAGTAACGCTAGCCATGAAGAGGAGTAACGGGAGGTAGAGATGAATGAAATGATCGAGAGCGAGAGAGAGAGAGGTGTTTGATCTTGGTGTGGAGATGCAATGTTGTTTGAGCTTACTGGCGAAAAGAACGCTAGGTCTGATGAGGCATAGCCAATCCAGGTACATCTTTACAACTCTCGTTTTCTGCTCAGAAGATGGAAAGCTTCCCTCTAAACGAGTTTGGCTTTCCAAGCGTAGTATATAGTTGAGTCTAGGTTGCAAGTTGGAGGCCTCGGTCGCTTTGACGTGAGATTCTATAGTGCGAAGATTTTAGGCAATTTGATTCCGAATCATGGTATTGAACATCACGTATTTAAAGCGGAAGTGGGCAATGTGAATAAGGTACGAAATCTGGGTAATAGCCATTTCCGACCTCACAACTCTTTCCAATAATATAATCTCAAGCTTCACCATGACGGTCCAAGCACACGACCCTCCATCATTCAAGCCGCATCCACTATACGCCTCCTTCACCTCCTTTCCACTCTCGCCAACGGCTACGCTCATCACTGTAGCAGGCCAAGCCGCCTAAGACCCAGAGACGGGCGAAATACCGTCCGATCTCTCCTCTCAGATCGATCTCTGTCTTCACCGCCTTCAGGTCATCCTCGAACATGCGGGTGCGGGCAAGACCGATATCACTCGCCTCATGTACTACATTGCTCAGGCCGGCGTCGATCAGGTAGAGAATAGTGAGGGCAAAGGCGCCGCACCAAAGTTCATTGGAGGAAAGGTTGGGGAGTGGCTTGAAGGAAATCGACCCGCTAGCTGTTTTCTGAGAGTCTTTGGGATGAGTGACGAACGGTTTCTGTGCGAGTTTGAATGCACGGCTATCGTGTCAAAAGGCAACGAAGATAGAACAGTGAAGACTGTCTCAAAATAGAGTAGTTGATGGATGCTACATAGAATCTATGTCTTTTCTTCGCTACTCCGTGTCAATCTTAATAGGGGCGCGGCTCTCATACAATTCCCCAGAACTCCTCTGGCTCCAACTCCCACTTCTTACACAGCTCCTGATACTTCCTCGTGTACTCTTCAAACCTCGTCCGGACACCCTGCGCCGTCTTCATCTGGTCCCTTCCCACTTGATGCCTGTGCGCCGCATCCGGTCCATCCGCGACACGCACGAATCGCGCATATGTCCAAATCTCCGGTAGCGGAGTATGCTGCGTAAGGCCCTGCCCACCATACATCTGCATCGCCTCATCGATCACCTTCAGTAACGCATTCGGAACAAGGATCTTGCTCTGTGCAATGGCGTACTTGCCCGCCTTGTTACCGGCGTAGTCCATCGTGTCGGCAGCATTCAGCACTACTAATCGCATGCTGTCAATCGTCATGCGCATGTCCGCAATCCGCTCGATGTTGCTGTCGAATTGGCCGATGAGCTTCCCACGCGGCTTCTTCCTGGGCTCGATGCACCGAACGAGCGCGAGCTCGTAGGCACGCTCGGCTTGCCCAATCAGCCGCATGCAGTGGTGGATGCGGCCGGGACCAAGACGTCCTTGGGCGATTTCGAAGGCGCGGCCGGGGCCTAGAATGATGTTTTCCTTGGGCACGCGCACGTTGTCGTAGATGTACTCGCCGTGGCCCTCGGGCGCACAGTCGAAGCCCATGATGGTCAGGTTCCGCACCTGTTTTAGACCGGGTGTTCGTGCTGGGACGACGATGGTTGTGTGGCGGTTCCAGGGGTTGGGATTCTCGGGGTCCGAGCAGCCCATGAGGATGTAGATGTTCAGGTCTTCGTTATACTGGCAATTGGCGTAGAGCTTGCGGCCATTGATGATGACTTCGGTGTCTGTGATCTTCATGCTGCAGGCGATGTTGGTGGCGTCGGAGGAGGCGACATCAGGCTCGGTCATGGAGTAGGCCGAGCTCATCTCGCCATTCATGAGGGGTTCGAGCCATTTCTTCTTTTGCTCCGGGGAGCAGTATTTGGCTAGTAGCTCGATGTTTCCAGTCTCAGGGGCGTGGCAGTTCATTGTCTGTAAAGCTCTCAGCACTTGTTTAGAGGAGCTCTTGAAAGGGTATATACCTGCGGAGCCCAGTACACCTTTCCCATGATCTCGGCACAGCAAGAGTACTCGAGATTGGTCAAACCAGGACTCTCCTTAAAGTGATTTGGCAGGAAAAGGTTGAAGAGACCCTGTGCTTTTGCCTTTTGCCTCAACTCGTGGATAATCGGAGGGTTCTTCCATCGGTTGTCCTTTATTTGTGCTTTGAAGATTCTCTCTGCGGGTATACATTCTGTCTCGACCCACTCGTAAACTTGCTTGATCTTCTCGATAGCAAAGGGCCGTAGCTTGGCCTTCACCCACGGCGGGGTGCGGGCAAAAGCCGGGTGGTCCATCAGCGACTCTGATGACATGATGGTGGTGGTTGGGTTCAAGGAGGTGAATTGGAGGTATGAGAAAGACGAGGCTTCGCACGGAAAGACCTCAATTGCTTTTGATCACCACAGGCGCGTATTTTTCGGTCCATGGTTAGCTCGAGTATGGAGTGATAGATCTGGGGCCGAGGTGGTTTGCGGGGAGAGCTTCAGGCGGCGCGGGCGGAAGTCGTTAAGCGTTGGAGCTCCCCAGCCTTCGTCCCCACCAACGTTCGACCATCCCCGGATCTGATGATTCATTGGCCGCTTGGTGTTGAAGAGGCTCCTTTATGTGCCAATCGGTCAGGATGAAGATAGCTGTCAGAAGGCACCTACCTTTCTGTCGTGAAAATGGGAGATTTCGCACAGCCCTGGATTGAGGTAGGTACTTCCATACATCCTTCCTCAAGAGCTTCACACTGACCCCCTTCAAGTTTGAGAAAGAGTTCGGCCAACGTCCTATTCTTCATGGTCCTCTCCAGAGCTGCCTCGATGGCTTTGCAGGCATCGGCGCCGCGCTCGTAGCCAAATATGAGTTTCCTCCACCCGATGCATCCATTGCAACGGAGGACAGGGTGACAGAGGACGGGCTGGCAGTACGTGTCTATACCCCTCCTGGCTATGCTGGAGGGAAACCTGTCGGGGTATACTTCCATGGTGGTGGGTGGGCAATGGGCGACATTAATGGAGACGACCCCTGGTGCCGGGCCATGTCGAAGATGGCTGGAGTGGTCCTCGTCTCAATCGAATACGGCCTTGCTCCAGCAAACGAACATCCCGGCCTGCTGAATGACTGCTTCAAGGGCTTCCAATGGACCCTGAAGAACGCGGTATCATTGGGTGGCGTTGAAGGCAAGATATTTACAGCTGGGATATCTGCGGGCGCAGGCCTTGCTTTGGGAACCGCTTTGAGGGCCATTGATGAAGGCTACGGTGGCTCTCTTGTTGGAGTAGTAGCTCAAGTGCCGGCAACCTGCCATCCTGATGCTGTTCCAGAAAAGCTCAAGTTGAAGTTCACATCGTACACAGAGCATGCTGAAAACACCATTGATACGAATTCAGCGATGAGAGCATTCTGGGGTATGGCATCACCATTGTCTTGTACTGCAGATTTTGTGATGCTAATTGTAACCTCAGACGCATTCGGAGCGCCTCCCACTGATAAATACGCATCACCGCTATTACACGACAAGATCAAAGATCTGAAAAAAGTGTATCTTACAGTCGCTGGACACGACACGCTTCGAGATGATGGCCTCCTCTTCCAGCAAGCGCTTGATGAGAATAAGTAAGCCTTTTCATGGTAACTATAACCCTACCGGAAGATACTAACGTCCTTCAAGAGTCCCTAATAAAATCGATTTCTACGCGGGCTACCCACACTACCACTGGGTATGGCCTTCGAAACATCTTGATGAACCAAGGGCGGAATATCTGGATAACGTGGCGAAGGGGATTGAGTTCGTTATTTCGTGAGCTCCATCTCATCCTCTTTGCCAAAGTCATGCTTGCAAACCAGATCTTCCGCCTTCATAAATTCGATTCTATACAACGAACAAATCGCGTTACCTTCAAGCTCGTCCTTTTGAATTAATTGTCCATCGTGAAATCATCCCAGAGCTTCCTGCGAGCCTTCTTCCTCGTGACTTGAACTCCTCGCGAAAGTTTCTCCGGGTTATACATGACTCGCCAAAGCAATATGGGGTTGACGCATGTATCAGACCATGCTCAGCTTGCAAGCCCATTCGCAAAAACAAATTAATAAAGATCTCATGAAGGGCTCTATATTCAACATGACGTGCTTGAACATCAACAGTATAGTGTGTAGAACGGCAGCTAGCCCTAACAATGTCGAGGGGACGTAAATTACGTGACTAAGCACTACCGCTTCAGCTTCTCCACATATTCAACCTCCACGTCTCACTTCAACCCCGCTCCAAGTATCATGCCCCACCACCACCTGACGGTCTTGGGGGACTTGCATCTCGTTCTCCGACCTCAGCCAGAGCTCATCCCCGCCAATTAGCTTGCGATCCTTAATGCGAGCTTGTAGTAGCCATGGCACCGGTGTGTGTTTTCCGCCGCCGACTGCTGCAACGGCAAAGAGCTGGCAAATTGCATGGGGATGGCTAGCCTAGACTGAGAGCACTCTCGCCGATTGTTCCAGCCGCTACTTACTGTTAAAGCTCATATCAGACACAGAAGAGACCCCTTACGACGGCCAATACCACCTCCTCTACTACTCCCTCAAGCGTTATTTGCAAACCTCTTGGGCAATTTGAGCACCATACTAGACATATTCAGCACAGATTAGCAAAGATGAAGGCTGGCCAGTGGGATCCGGTATGTATGAACACGAACCACGACCACGACTGCGCTAATGCACGTCGTCTAGAAACAAAAGAAGGTTGTTATCAATGACATTCCCAAGCCGGAGGCTGGTCCGGGCCAGTTCCTCGTAAAAATACAATCTGCTTCACTATGTCACTCCGATTTATTGATGGAAATGCGGCCAGACTACAATGTCACACTGGGTCACGAGGGCGTAGGACACATTGAGACCATAGACCCCGCTGCGGAAGGGAAGGGCTTCAAAGTGGGCGACGCCGTTGGCTTCGACTACTTTATCGGCGCCTGCTTTGAGTGCGAAAACTGCATGGTTCACAACATGTGGTGCAAGACGGGAAACTCGCGCCTCCAGGGTTTCATGGTTGACGGATATTTTGCGGAGTATGCTGTGGTAGATTGGCAAAACGCCATTCTTCTGCCAAAGGTACTGGACATGTCCAAGACCGCACCATTGTTCTGTGCTGGAATTACAGGTCAATACACCCCGGCATTCAATTTCTCCATACAACTGCTAACGAAAGCACCAGCCTTCCATGCTGTCGATAGCTGCGAATTGAAGCCCGGCCAGTGGCTTGCTGTTATCGGGTGCGGCGGACTTGGACAGTATGCAACTCAATACGCAAAGGCAATGGGTTTCAAGGTCATCGGCATCGACATCAGCGACGATCAGCTTGCAATGGCTAAGAAAGTTGGCGCAGATGCCACCTTCAACTCTATGACAAACAAAGGGTACTTGGACGAGATTAAGAAACTTACGGACGGCGGCTGCCATGCGTCGGCTGTCTTCGCTGCGTCCAACCCTGCTTATGCTGGAGCAACAAAGGTGCTTCGCATAGGAGGTCTGTTGATGGTCATTGGTATTGCACCAAAGCCCCTTGAGTTCTCCACATTCGACCTTACTACAGGTGTATACCGTGTGAAGGCGGACAGCACGAGCATTCCTCAACGCATGAAGAAGGCAGTTGACTTCACTGCGAAGCACAACATTCAACCTGACGTTGATTTCAGGAAGATTGAAGATTTGCCTGCTATGGTTGAACAGATGCACTCCGGCAAGGCTGAGAAGAGATTGGTTGTCGTATTTTAAGCTCGCTTCCCACCCTTGTAGAATCATCCTGGTTACATGAATATATAACCATCACAAGAAAGCTCCCTTCGATGCCACCTTGAATTTTTCATTTGTTCTGTATTGTCAATCCTCATAAGATTGCCACTAGCCAGGCACGCATGACCTTCTTTCTTAATATCTAATTTGGAAAGTGTCACGACGATAACCCCGCTCCTAAATTCGGTCTGCCAACCCGCGTAACTAGACTAGTGCCCTTACCATCGCGTATAAGACCATGCTGACAGTTAGTATCATTTCCGAAATCCACCAGGTACATGTCACTGCTCACTCAACATGGTCCACAAAAAGATTGACCACCAGTTCGCTTTTAAAGAATTAGAATATGAGACAGAAGAGAACTATCAACGTAAGACATCAAGTCCTAAGCAACGAAAACCTGCACTGACTTCCACTAGCATGCATCAAGCTTTCTTTCTTCTTCAGCAAGCTTCCACACGTCTCATATGAGCACTTTCACAAACACTACGCTCATGTACATGCCGACTTGACCGTAGCCTCAAAGAATTTCAACGTGTGCAAAATTCAAAGATATGTACAGGTAATATTATCTTACAAAATTAAACCTGTCCCTATTCACGATATTTCAGACGCATCAAACGCCCGAGATGAAAGAAAAGGTCAAGTCACTAGGAATGGACCTACTTGACTACGACGGATGCTCTCAGATATGGGTCAAGTCGTGGGATGATTGGGAGAAGTTCTTCACAAGTCCAGAGTACGCCGCAGGCAAGTTATCTGTCAAGATTCGACCACCAATATAAACTAACACATTGTAGCCTTGGGCCCTGACTGTGCTAACTTCATGGACACCTCGAATGGAATCAAGGTTATGGCCGGGTACGTTCAGCGAGTATCTTGAAGGAATGGAGTCATTTCAGATGCTGACTTCTAACTCAGGACCGATCTCATCGTGTTCGGGAAAGCTATTCCTGACTGTGATGCCAAGGATGGACTCGCTAGCACTTGAACGACGTTGATCCTTCAGAACACTGTTATCATCAGCGATGATAAACCCAACCAGCTGGCCTTGCCTTGGACAAGTAGATCTAATGAACCACTTCATATTGAGTCCAACCTTTAGGGCGTTGCTCATCCCTCAAAACTGGAGAACCGTATCTCAATTTAAGACAAGAATTGCAAGCGAAATTCTACCTGAAAGGACTTCCTCCTTCATTCATCTAACTTCTCGCACGTGAAGATCAAATTAGTAAGGGTTAAGCGAATACTGGCCACGAAGCCATGAATGTCCTCGCCTTTCATCTACCTAACGTCTAAGAAGGCGCAAGACGTTACTGCTCGACGTTAGTCTACCATGTGTCAAGCATCATCCGCCGCCGTCCGACGTCAAGCCAAGAAATTCCAGCCCCATAAGCCTCCAGAGTGGTAACGACTGACCAATAGCACCCTTTCCACATTTCAGCTCGGTCCGGATCTTTGGTCTTCCAGCAGCCGGGTACTGTGATCCTGCAGGAAAAGGGCACCCGGACCCCAGATCTGACCCAGTTTCGGCAAAGCGTCCCAGCCTCGCTACCCCAGACAATCACAAGCCTCCACTTTCTCCAGCTGGCGGTGCGCGGGATGCAGCTTTTGTGGAGCCTGGCACGTTTGAGGGCGGGGTCTCGACCCGCTAGATTAGGGTCATGCGGAGGGCCATGGCAAGGCTAGTGCTGGATGATCATAAAATGTCATCTCTGTCGACGGATTTCTGTTCGTTTTTTCCTGCCATCAAACTCAAGTTCGCTCACTTTCGTCATGGCCATCGAAGAAGAAACGTATAGCCGCCCCTCCTCTACGGAGAAGGGTGATGATGAGAAGGTTGAGGAGATCCATGGAGATCTCGTTACTACGGGTGCCCCAGATGTTCCTCTTCAGATGACCTGGAAGACATGGGCAGTCATTTTCGTAAGATTCATCTCTCAACTTTCAAGCTGGAGACTGAAATGATAATGATCTTCAGGTGCTCTCCTCGACATTTGGACTCAGTTTCTGGCCCGTTCCTACCACCGCTGCGCTCCAAACCAAGCTTGCTGCAGAATGGGTCTCTCCATTATCATCCTCCTGGTTTGTCCCCGCCTACACAACCGCCAGCGCAATTGGCTTCTTACTGGCTGGTGCCAATTCCGATCTATTCGGCCGTCGTCTGTTTCTCCTTTTCGGCAATGTTACATGCTGCGTGGGATTCCTCGTTACCGCCACATCAAAAGGTCCCGCCCAATTCACTGCCGGATTGGCTATCACTGGATTCGGAGGTGGATTCTGCCAGATGGCCATGTGAGTAGACCCAGAGTATTGGATTCTTGAGTCCATTTTCTCACATTCTACACCAGGTGCTCGATTCCTGAGCTGATGCCGAACAAATTTCGCCACATCGGTGTGTGTCTTTCGGATGGATTCGTCTTTGTCATTGTTGTTATCGGTCCCATCGTCGGAAGAGTAAGGTCTATTTCGTCTGCCTCGAAGCTGGAAATGCTAAGAAAAAGTCAGTACGCCATCGATGCCGGAAACTGGAAGTACATTTATTACGGAGGATTCGTTGCACAGTTCATGTCTCTGACTGCCCTCTTCCTCTTCTATAAGCCACCAAAGCACCCTAAGGGTATTCCGTGGCATGAAGCGCTCCCCGGCTTGGACTACGTCGGCGCTTTCCTTGTCGTTCCAGGAATCTGTCTCACGCTCGTTGGTATCATCAACACCACCGTAAGTTATGATAGGCACCCAATTCGCAGTCTCTTCTGACAAAGCCTAGTACAAGAAGAGCACCGATATCCTCGTCATCGCCCCAATGTGCGTTGGCTTTGGCGTCTTAGTCCTCTTCGGTCTCTGGGAAACCTTCTCCAAGTAAATTGCCCCCTTTATCTCCCCACCAACCCCCTCTCACCCAACTTCTAACGCCCACCACAGCGTCAAATACCCCCTCTGCCCACCGCGCATCTTCCGCTCCCACAACGGCCGCGAGTTCACCGTCCCCTTCATAATCGCCTTCATCGTCACCATGTTCTACTACGGCATCAACGTCATCTACCCGACCATGATCAACATCTTCTACATCACGCCCACAACCTCGCGCTCCGAAACCCTCCTCCTCACGCTCCCGGGTAACCTCGGCCTCGTCTTCGGCGCACTCCTCCTCATCGCCTTCGGCAACCTCGTCGGCCACTGGAAATGGAGCCTCATCGCCTCGTGGTCGGGCATGACGCTCTTCGGCGGGCTGATGGCGCTCGTGACCCCCTACAACAAGGGTACCATGATCGCCTTCACCTTCGTCATGCAGACCTTCTTCGGCTGGGCGCAGTACGAGAGCGTCGCCTTCACGCAGCTCGGCGTCGGCCAGCACGACCTCGGCATGAGCGGCGGGCTGGCGGGCGTCGCGCGGTATGCGGGCGGCTCGCTGGCGCAGGCGATCTATGTGAGCGTGCTGGCGAATACGCAGAGCGCGCGGGCGGCCGTGACGGTGCCGGCGGCGGCGATGCGCGCGGGGCTGGATGCGACGGCGGCGCAGGAGCTGCTCGCGGCGTTGCCGCTGGGCGCCGAGGCGATTATGAAGGTGCCTGGTGTTGTGAGTTGCCCCTTGTTTTTCTGTTCCCTAACTACCCATTATCATCGATTGTGTAGGGAGCTTGTGCTAATCTTGCGTTTGCGTAGAACGCGGATATCATTGCGGCAGCTAGCGCGGCATTCAAGTGGTCGTATGCCCATGGGCTCAAGATCACGGCGCTGAGCTCGCTGGCGTTTGGCGGCCTGGGGCTTGTCATGTGTCTCCTGGTTGAGAACATTGATGCGAAGATGAATAATAAGACGGAGATTTATCTGGAGAATGATGTTTATGGCGAGCGGAATGAGTTCCATTGAAGGGGCTTGGTTGGGTGTGGAACTAGTAATGTGCAACGCCGGTTCCGAAGAGATATACCTATATCAATGATATTTTCATGTTCAGGAATGGTTCCTTGCTACGTCACTAACTGTCACCCCCGAGATAGTTCTATAATGAAGTAAGCTGGCAAAAGTACTGGTTTCACGCACCGCCTAAAGTCATCAGAGGACGTTGAAGCATTCCGGCATGGTCCACTACTTAATAGTGATCAATCACGAGAGGAAAGAGTAAAATCTTCGAATTCCCTTAAAGCCTCATCTACTCCCCTAACCTCCCACACTCACGGTATAATCTTCGCGGCCTTCATCCTTTCAAACACCGGCCCCCACGCCCCCATCACGCTCCTCTCCTCCTCAAACCCCGTCCCATACATCTTCGTCATATCATACTGCCTATCGAAATCAAACTGCGTCAGCAAGAAATACTCGAACCCCTGAAACGTCCTCTCCGAGTCCGCATGGCCCTTCTGCAGCCCATGCTTCGCCTCCAGCTCGCTCCATTGCTTCATGTGCTCTTTGATATACTGCCGCACTTCGGGTGACTTTGAAGTCGGCGCCGTCCCTTTCAGCCCGAAATACGCGCAGAGCTGTGGCCATTTCGAGCTCCACGTCTCGGGGGATTTGGCGTCGGCGACGTTGTACCCCTCCCCTTTGCTCTCCTTTGGCAGGGTGAGGGACAGATGCAGCGTTTGTCTAGCAATCATATCGGAGCTAGAATCGTTGCTTTTTGCGGCCCAGCTGGCGTCTGTGCCGGGGAAGGGACAGTCCGCGCCCTCGCCTTCCACGGCGCGGTACAGCGAGAGGTAGATGCCGAGGACCGTGCCGAGGGAGTAGAAGTTCTGGTTGGGCACGAAGCCGATGATGATGTCCGGGCGCGTGTCGCACCAGTTCCAGCGCTTGTTTTTGGCGTAGGCGGTCAGCCAGTCGAGCTGGGGGTGGTAGAAGAGGGCGTCGTGGTAGGGGGGCTTGAGGCGCGGGAGGGATTCGGCTAGGGGGACGTGGATGTAGTCCGTGGGATGGGCGGAGAGGAGGTGGCAGCCATCTTCAGGCGATGTGTTAGCATGCGTTGTGAGAGTCTGGGAGATGGGGTTCCGAGTAGCTTACACATCTTCGCTCCGGTCTGCAATACCACGAACTCGAGCTTGGGACTCAAGTGATCTACCGCTATCGTACTCCTCTTGAACATGTCTACCGCGTCTTCTAGCTCTTGCTGCAGGTCCTTGTTCGCCTTGTACGCTAGGTAGTACACATGTGTGACCTCTTCGATCCCATCAGTCTTCTCTTTCATCGCTGCTTCTAGCTCTTCTTGGCTTCCCTTGAGCAAGTCAATCCCGCTGACGATATTCAGCCTCGAGTCTTTCGGCCATTTGGAGTCTTCCAGTGATAGTGGTCGGTTTGTCAAGGCGTGCACTTTCGTCCAGACGCCCTTTTTGGGGTAGTCGTTCAATATCTCATTCACGAAGGCCCATCCCGTAACGCCCGAGGCGCCAAAGATGAGGGCAGATTTCCCTCCTGCCATGTCTGAAGCCGATGTAAGGTATTTCGAGGGATGATGACTTGTTATGAGAGAATGGAAGGTTTGTTTGCTGCTTGTTTGCTCCTGAAGTGTGACCAAAGGGAGTGACGATCGTCACCTAATATGGGGAAAGTTGAGCAAGGGAGAAATCGATGGTACGAAGATTCAATTGAGACGCAAGGACACTCCGACATCCAAGTTACCTAGTATTGGGTCTTTGAGAAGACAGTTTCATTCAAGGAAGACGGAACCCAGCCGGTCTCCAGTCGTCCTGCCCCTCCCCCGCGTTACCTAGGTACACGACGCCGCAATTCGCTCCCGAAACTTGCATACGCGCTAGGTCGTATTGACAGGATTGTGCCATTGTGCCATGTTCATCACGAGACTCCTAATCTCAATCCTCGTGAAGATCAATGTGGTAAATTTTAGGCACAGCCCCTCCGACGAAGCTCTGCCCCTGCTGTTCATGAAAACCGTCGAGTCATGCCGTAAGCAGGGGCTGGGGATATATGAATCATGGATCGACAGTGCATCGAGGGGCACATCTGCGTAACTTTATCCGCACTTCTGCTGTCGACCCTGGGCGACTTCATGTACGAGAGTCAGGCATGGAGTCGGAGATGCGACGTCGCGACTCGTAGCGGTAGGCTTGACTTCGATTAAAAAAGAAAAGCACGGGATGCATGACTGCCGGCTTCGGAGGAGACCCTGGAAGGGTTTGAGTGTGATTAAATGCAGGGCTGGCAATATGCACGAGATTTGGTATGCTTAGAAGAGCAGAATGATTACGAGGTCGTACATAGGGTACCTTCGATGAGCAGACCAGACTCCGAGAACTCCTACCCCCCGCTGCGGGGGAAAGCAGTACTGTACCTTTTGAAACTTCCTTTCCAGAAAAAGTAAACAACATGTTATATTTCTTTCTGTTAATGACGTATTATACCCTTCCCACTTCAATCCAAACCAACCTTACCACAATAGCCATTCTCACACATTGAATCGTGATCGACATCTCAATAGCCTCACCCGCCTCACTACTCGCCCATCATGACCACCGAACCCCCCACCACCCACACCCCCGGCATCTTCTACGTCGCCTCGCGCATCTCCAACCCCAACCTCCCCGTCCCGCTCTTCACGACCTGGTACAACCTCATCCACATCCCCGACATCCTCAAAACCTCCGGCATCCGCTCCGCCACGCGCTACACCTCGCTCTCCCCCGCCACAGCACCGAAGCCATACCTCGCGCTCTACCCCTGCGAGCTCGAGTTCCTGTCATCAAAGGAGTTCCTCACGGACATCCCCTTCGCGAGCGAGCTGCTGAAAGTGCCGGATGAGAATGGGGTAGAGGGGGACGGGAGCAGTTTCAAGGTCGCGGACTTCGATACGAGGGGGTTTGAGACGTTGGGGGAGTGGAGTAAGGAGGAGCGAAAACGTATGTGTTATATATTTCCTTTAGTCCCATTCCTCCCATTCCTCCCATTTCCCTTTAGCTCTTCCACGTCCCATTGACTCTTTTCTCGCCCACAGCTGGACCCTCCCCCTTCCTCGCCACCGTCCTCTTCAACAGCTCCGCCACCTCCACCGAGCGCCTGGCCATCGAGTGCGCGCTGCACGGCCTCGTGCCGTCCCGCACGCGGCTGTATAAGCTGAATTTCGTGTGGGGCCGGGAGGAGAAAGCCAAGTCTGAGGAAGAGGAGAAGAAGCCCGCGGGGTATTTGGCCCTGCACGAGTTCAGCGAGGAGGAGTTTTCGCGGGACGCGTTTAGGACGGCGCAGGGGGCGATGAATGGGGAGGAGGTGGAGGTGCAGGGGTATGAGTTGAGCTTTGCGGCGGGGGAGGTGGAGTAGGAGAAAGAGACGGTGGGGGGGTGAGGCGAGAGGGGTGATGGGGTGATAGAGATGAATTGGGTTGACTGAATGACGGTTGTAAAGATTAGTGTAAGCATAGCATTCAAAACAGCATCAGAGCGTTGGTTCTCATTATATGTTCAACATTTGTGCCTACGTAGCGTACATATACATTTGTGAGACTCGCCCAGTCATCATTGCCCCTTGGACGCAAAGAGAGAGTTGGTCAACCTCGTCATAAAGCTTCTTTCAACAATTTTTTAGTAGTTCATGTTGACCATGATGGTCTTCGTCTCCGTGAAAGCCCGTAGGGCATGAATACCGCACTCTCGGCCAACACCGCTCTCCTTGACTCCGCCGAACGGCGCACACATGAACATCATGCTGACGCAGTTGACACCAACCATGCCAGACTCGAAGTCAGACGCAACTCGCAGAGCCTTGTTGATATCCTGGGTGAAAACACCCGCCATGAGGCCGAAGTTGGTGTTGTTGGAGAGCTCCATGATCTCTTCCTCGGTCTTGAACGACCTGACGACTGAAACCGGGCCGAAGATTTCTTCGGTGTGGATCTCGGACTTGATGTCGACGTCTGTAAAGACGGTGGGTTCGAGGTAGAAGCCCTAGAGGGGGCGTGTTAGCTGCTGAGGCTTCACTCGTCGAGAGGGTGGGTGCTTACGCTTGTGCCGATCCTCTTTCCACCAACCAACAACGTGCCCTGTCCCTTTTGGCCGCGCTCAATAAATCCAGTGACGCGCTCGAACTGGGCCTTGTCGACCAAGGGCCCGATGTTCGTGCCCTCGGCCTCTGGGTCACCGACCTCCTTAGCCTTCGCTTCCATCGCGGCCTTGTAGCCGGCGATGAACTTCTCGTAGATGCCTTCTTGGACATACACGCGGCTGGCAGCAAAGCAGACCTGGCCGGTGTTCGCCGTGATGGCATTGGCACACCACGTAACCGCGTTTTCGAGGTTGGCGTCGTCAAAGACAACAGCAGGCGACTTGCCTCCGAGCTCGAGTGTTACGCGCTTGAGATTCGACTTCGCTGCCATCTCCTGAATCTTCTTGCCCGTGGAGATGCTTCCAGTGAACGAGACCTTGCGGATGCGCATGTGGCTGGCGATGAGGGCGCCGGTGCTCCCATCACCGGTGAGAATCTGGAAGACGCCGGGGGGGAAGCCGGCTTCTTTGATGAGAGTACCCAGCGCCGCTGAGGAGAACGGAGTCTTCTCAGATGGCTTGAGGATGAATGTGTTGCCGGTGGCGAGTGCAGGAGCGACCTTCAGACCGATGGTGCCCACGGGGCCGTTCCAGGGGACAATGCCAGCGGTGACGCCCAGAGGCTCGTTGCGCACGATCTTAAGGAAGCCGTCCTCCTGCGGCCAAGACTCGCCGCCGAACTTGTCTATCCAGCCTGCGTTATACCGGAAAGCCTGTCATACGAAGGTTAACGGAGTGCTCCATTGCTTTCACAGAACAAACGGGGATATCATACCTCAGCACAAAGTCCAATCTCAAAGGCACCGAAAGCCCCGTACGGTGCACCCAAAGAAATTCGACTTAACGCCGCGATGTCTTTTCCATGCTTCTCGATCAGATCGGCGAACTTGTACATGATGTTTCGGCGCTCGGTGGGAGCCAGCTTCTTCCAGCCCTTAGCCGCGTTCTCTGCGCCTGCCACGGCAATATCGACATCCTCCTCGCCGGCCAGAGCAACGTCGTCAGCGATCAGGGAGCCATCTTTGGGGTTGTAGAGGGAGAGCTTCTTGCTGTTCTTCGAGTCGACGAATTCGTTGTTGATGAAGAGCTGCTTGGGGAGGTTCTTCTCGTTCCAGGAGAAGGCCATATTTGCAGAATTTGTGGTGTGTGGATTTGAGAACTGCGGTGCGGGGATTGAAGAGTTGAGGGGTGGAGAGCTAGGAAAGGGAAGGCTAAGGGGAGGCCTTCGAGCTGTTGTGAGGTGGTTGATTTGGAGGAGGAGAAGCAAATGGCAAACGATTTGAGAGTTACGAGACCGTTAATATGCTCACAGCGGGGTAGGTACTGAGTACATGTGTTTCTCACACCAATGCGCATTCCCTATCTCCATTCTCTAACCCCGGGCCAGACCTCTGTTGGCGGGGCATTGCCACGACTCGGAGCTTCAGCAGAGCCACAGCTGTGCACCTCTCGTTTTCTTCGGCCGGACGCACTTTGTTTTCCGCCCTGCGCCGGACGTCACCCGGCAGAAGTTAGCTGGGATGCGTGGTGGGTGAGTCTAAAAGAGGGGCGGGAGCTTGGCGACATCAGATTCGAGCTTTCCCCCTTTCAGCAGCCTCATACTCATCCCCACCAACCACCACCCCTCTACGTGACCCCAGACGGGAGCGACGGCACGGCACCATGCGGGGTGTGCTGGAACGCGTTCTGCTCCAGCACCGTGCGGTGTGAAGTTATCATAAGAGGCTTCATTATGCCTGACTGTCAATTCCTGCCCCTGACTGACCTTCAACCCTCAAATTGACAAAAAGCTGATACATAGCCCTCAAACCCATCCTACAGCTACTATAACGACAAAATGACGACCAAAGTCGCGTTAATCACTGGTGGAGCAAGTGGAATGGGCCTCGCGGTCGCGCAGGCTCTAGCAAAGCGTGGAAACTGGACACTACATCTCGTCGACCTCAATGCTGAAGCAGGAGCCAAAGCGGCGGCAGACCTCCCCAACGCCCATTTCCACAGGACCAACGTGACCTCATACGCTTCGCTTGCTTCTACTTTTGAAGCCGCTTTCAAAATCTCAGGCTCGATCGACTTTGTATTCGCGAACGCTGGCATTGTAGAACGAGATGACTTCTACGCAAAGTCAGATCTCGCTATACCCCCCGAACCGAACCAGTTGAGCATTGATATCAACCTGAAGTCGGTGGTCAACACAGCCTATCTAGCGCTACATTTCTTCCGGAAGAGCCCCCACAAGGGAAAGGATGGAGTCTTGATAGCGACGGCGAGTTGTGGTGGACTGTACCCATCTGAGTTCTGGTAAGACTTCCAAGCTCTCGAACTATTAGAGTCTCCTGCTAACTAGAGATGTTACAGCCCCATGTACTCCGCCGCCAAAGCTGGTGTGATTCACTTCATCCGCAGCATCGCCTACTCCTACCACGCAAACGACGGAATTCGGACATACGCCATCTGCCCTGGAACAGTCAAGACGGGTCTTATGACTGGTGAGGAATGGAAGTCGTTCCCAGAGGAGTACTTCACCCCGATATCTACTCTCGTCAACTCGGCGACAACGCTGGTTGATGGCGGTGCCCTGGAGGACGCGTTTGGCGTCAAGTTGCCGGCGGAGAAGGCGTACAGTCTGGCTGTCGAGATCAACGGGAAAAACCACTACTTCAGGAACCAAGTGCCTTTCTGCGACGACCAGATGGCGGCAGTGATGGCGAAGACGAGCATGGAGGCGCAGGCTGCGAGGATTAACGGGACGAAGTAGGCCTGAGCCGGGTTGACTGCTTCGAGGGTACGACGTTGCAATTGTCGCCTTTTGATACCCTACATACCAATAACCAGAAACCACTATTGTGGTATCTACTCATCAGCTGTCCTCCATCTACTTCACTCAACATCATCATAGCAGCCATCTCGCTACCGCCATGCATTACCTCACAAACATGACACGTCCCACCCAAAATGTGGAGAAAGTGGTCGGGCCAGCGTCGTCGCGTGGGTGGAAAATATGATCCGGGGAAAGCTAACGCGCCTCATTACTCATGCTGCAGGTATAAGCGGCATAGCATGACTCGATCCAGCCTTCCCTCTCAGATTTCTTCTCGAGAATTCAACCAAATGCATCCGAACCCAAGCCCGGTCTAAATCCTTGTCGTCGGCAATTGATTCTCAACTAGAGAACTGCCTTCAATTGCCGCTGCATCTAGCTGAGCCTGTCTTGAATGTTAGAATGGTTACCTCACCTGTTTTATACTCTTCATCAGATCATCGTCACTCTCTACTAGTTTAGAATCTAGGACAGCAATCTAGCATAGCTTTATTCTTCAAATGAAGAGCATCTTTGATCGGAACGGCACGGAGACATGTAAAGTAAGAGATCACCGAGGGTATGTGTGCCACGCCGCGTGCATGTCACCCCTACAAAATTTCTCTACGCGGTTAGATCTGTAAATACTTGCTACAATACTGGACAAAGCATCGAAAAGCTCTTCACCGCGTACTCCACTGCGTACCCACCGCGTCTACACTAAGTCTCTCAACAATCGTGTCACGCAGTCAGTTCTGTAAGTATTTGCAATTGTTACGGGCAATGTCTGAAAGATTCTTGGGCAACATGCTACTTAATGCACACTACGTATTTGGTAAGAGAAGAAATGATCAAACCCCCAATAACTCCTGCCATACTATATAACAATTACAATTTTGTCTGCCGTCCTGCGGCAAACCGCATGCCACCGTCAACGTGGATATCCTCACCGTTGATATAGTTGCCTGCGGGAGAGCAAAGGAAGACCATAACGCCAGCTATATCCTCTGGCTCTCCCAGCCTCTTGCGAGGATTGGCATCTTTCAACTCCTGCTCACCACCCAGAATTTCGATTAAGCCGTTTGCCAGCTTTGATGGGAAAAATCCTGGTCCAACGGTGTTGGATGTGATATTTCTTGGGCCCAACTCAATAGCCAGTTGCCTCGTCAAGTGATGTGCAGCGGCTTTAGAGACTGAGTACATGATGGTGCCATGGTCTCCAACGTGTGGTACCGTCACGCCCGCAGTCGAACTGACGATGATGATGCGAGAGGGGTCCGTGCGAGTGCCAGCTTTCTCGAGCATCGGCGCGAAGCTGCAATGCTATCAGATGTAACTCATCAATCAAGAGAATCACATCACTCACAGCCGCGCCAGGTTGAACACACCCCGGACATTGAGATCAAGCACTTTCTTCGACGACCAGTCTGGTGTTGGATCGAAAGGACCGCCCCACGTTGCGCCCGCATTCGCGACTAGAATGTCCAGCTTCTCCTCATGCTTCTGGATTTCCTTCACGAGCCTCTCGATGTCCTCCGTGTCTGCCACATTCGCGGCAATGCCAATGGCCTTCCCAGTGATTCCTGGGAGCTTGTTGAGCCTGTCGACGGCTTGGTTGATGCCTTGCTCGCCCTCTGCTTTCCGCGCGGAGATAATGACTGTCTTTGCGCCGGCGAGGAGAAAGGCTGTGGCAGCGTGAAGACCGAGCCCTCTCGAGCCTGTTCAATATCCAATCAGTATCATACCCCTGGAGCGTGGGGAAGCGGGGACATCACGTACTGCCAGTAACCAGAGCTACCTTGCCATCGAGGCGGAACATGCGACTGAAGTTCTTGAAATCAGACATAATCGCGGATATAGAGAAGGAAATGAGTCCTAACACAGGAAGCAAATAAATAAAGCTGCTGTCTGAGGAGGCTTCATGTCGAAGAGCCGCTACCTTGGGTATGGGGTTAGCTGGCGGGAAGCTGGTGGAGCTGGAGATCGATATCCTCGGTCAAGCTTCTTGCGAGGGGCACGCCGCCGACTCCCCCGGCAGCGACCTGGCTGTTGCAGCCCACGCTACTAAAATGCGTAAAGCTAGGCCTCATACTTAAGGGAGATATGGACAAAAGCCTCTCCAATCCCGGAAGGCTGTTGTCAGCCAAACTGTTGTGCCGATTTTCTTTCATCCGTCGCTCAACCCTACTCCCTGAGCACCACGACCATGCCATTCAAATCACCCTTCCCAAACCTTGATATCCCCAAGGTCAATTTGCTTCATTATCTATTCCCCGATGATGCTGCGGCTTCAGATACACCGATATGGATCGATTCGAAAGACACAAGTCATCACCTAACCCCAAAAGCGCTGCTTCAATGGGTGAAGCGGTTAGCGATTGGATTGGACCGAATTGGCAGCAAGACTGGCGAAGTTGTCATGATTTACACCCCAAATCACATCTTTGTGCCGGTCGCGTACCTGGGCATTGTTGGGTCGAAGAGGATCTTCAGCGGTGCAAACCCCGCGTACACCCTTTCTGGTCAGTTTATCTGGATATATCTCTATCTATATCTCTCTGCACGTGCTTCTCAATGCATCTTTACACGATCAAGAAACTGGGTAGTTGGTAGCTAACAATGACCAGAAATGGTTCATCAAATCCAAAATACCCAAGCACAATACATCCTCGCACATCCAACCTTCGCCAAGACCGCGATCGCCGCAGCCCGGAAAGCAGGTCTACCTGACGGACGCGTGTCCCTATTCTCCGACGTCCCCAACCCTTCAGTCGAAGGCCTCAAAGACTGGCGAGGCTTCATTGGCTCCCCAGACGAAGCCGCGCAATACGATTTCCCACGCATGACCCCCGAAGAATCCGTCAAAACGACAGCGACCGTCAACTACTCCAGCGGCACCACCGGCCTGCCCAAAGGCGTCGAAGTCAGCCATCACAATCTCATCGCGAACCTGGATCAAACAATCTACATGCGGTATCTCAAGAAGCCCTACAAAGCCCACAACCGCCCGCCAGAGCGATGGGTCGGCTTCCTCCCCCTTTATCACGCGTACGGGCAATTGTACACGATCGCCATGGCGCAGAAGCTCCAGATCCCGGTGTACATCATGAAGGCGTTCCAGTACGAGGAGTTCTTGCGGATTATCCAAGATCACAAAGTCACGCATCTTCAAACCGCGCCGCCGATCTTGATCATGCTGAGCAAGCGGCCCGAGACCAGCAAATACGATTTGAGCAGTGTGACCGATATTCTGTGCGGTGCTGCGCCGCTGTCGAAAGAATTGCAGAACTCGGTGTCGAGTCAGTTGAATTGCGAGATTGTGCAGGGCTGGGGGATGACGGAGGTCACGTGTGGAGCGCTGCATGTTCCTGGGGGTACGATTGACGAGTGAGTATGTCGAGGCTACTCTTGGGAGCAATGCTGACGCTCAATAGCTCCGGATCCGTTGGGTTCCTCGACCCTAATACCGAGTGTATGCTTGTCGACGACGAGGGAAAAGAGGTTCCGGATGGTCAATCTGGTGAAATGTACGTTCGCGGGCCGCAAGTATGCTTAAGCTACTGGCGGAACCCGCATGCAACGAAGGAGTCGCTGGATTCAGAGGGTTGGTTGAAGACGGGCGACGTTGCGGTCGTAAAGGATGACTGGTTCTGGATTGTAGATCGGAAAAAGGTATGGTGATGGCCTTGGCAGATTGGAGATCTCCATTCTAACGCGCAGTATAGGAACTAATCAAAGTTAACGCACTGCAAGTGGCTCCAGCGGAGCTAGAAGCAGTCCTCCTTGAACACGACTCGATCGCTGATGCTGCGGTGGTTGGCATCATCCTGTATGTATCCTAGCTCTCATATCTGCATTCAATCTCTAACAAACACAGTGATGATGACGAATGGCCTCGTGCCTATGTTCACGTTAAAGACGAGGCGAAAGGCAAACTCACAGAAGCGGAAATCCACGCCTTCATGAAGGAGAAAGTGGCCAAGCACAAGCAGCTAGTAGGCGGCATCTCGTTCGTCGACGAAGTACCTAAACTCGCGAGCGGCAAGATTATGCGGAAGGTCATAAAGGAGTGGTCGAAACGGGATGCAGCGGTGATGAACGGGAAGCTGAAGGCGAAGCTATGAGGTGGCAATGTATTTCCTTCACAAGACATGAGTCCCTCCTATAGAGTAGGGCTGTGTCTTGCAGCATTTCTAGGAGTATAAATGGATTACTATTGTTCTGGTTCCGATTACGATTTCACCGATGAATGGCAACCAGATCATGGGATCACGCGCGTGGCCGAATCTCCACGGTATTTAAATAGCACGCGGGTAGTCTTCCGGCTTTACCCTAGCAGCACGAATCCCAACAAACCACCAGCATCCTAAATTGATCCCACCAGCATAACGATATACGTGATTTACAGCCACGGGAACGTGTTGCTCCTCCACAAACTATGAAAAACACGTTGCTGGCTGACGGTTTCCGAGCATCTCACACCACGCTCGCTATAATTGTGGACACTCATCACCATGACCGCTCGAGCCATCATCGCCAGACCCACGCCGAAGAAGCTGCGATCAGAATATATGGAGCATGATTAAAAGTGGTAAATAACAACAATATTAGTCAGTTGTAACGGCCCGTCTGGTTGCTATCCCCGCGTCGTTGTTCCTGTCCCCGCCTCGCGAATGCATTTCCGCACCACCAAAGCGCGCGCACACCCTAGCCCCACGCACGCTGGAGTTCGTAGCGTGTAGCTCTGCATATGGCAAACACACCATGTGATCCCGACTGGAGCTCTTCCGCTGGCGGGATATGTTTGGCCGACGAGTTGGAAAGGGCTGAGCCAGCTACCTAGGCTTGCGGATGTCCCTGGCCTGCGCTGCGGGTCCGCTGGCTGGATATGATATACCCTACCCTGGCCCGCCCCGAGGTGAAAGAGGCGGTTAAAGCACTCCTGGGCAATACCTAGCTGAGAATATCAGGTTGCTGTGGTCTGATACTGTTTTGATTTCATCTACCTCGTTTCTTTTAAGAGCTACTTGTACGGTATATTCTACTTTTTGAGGTTTATATACCAGCACGCAACTCTACTGGTCATCTTTTCTTATATGCCCTGTTCCCCGCTTCTTGTGGTACCTAGAACCCGCCACGCTTCCCGCAATTTGCGTTTCTCAATTGAGCGTTTAGAAGAAAGAAAGAAAGACAGACAGACAGACACACGACCTCAACCCACCATGGCTCCCTCAGCCACCGCCCCAGCTAACGGCACCAACGGCCTCACAGCGCCGGAGTTCGGCTACCCGCCCGCCAACGTCGAAGGCCCCTACAAAGTGCTGAACCAGTACCACTCGAAGCCGTCGAAGCTGCGTGTCGCGTGCTGCGGCGCCGGCGCCTCGGGGCTGTGCCTGGCGTACAAGATGGAGAAGATGCTCACGCCGGGCTCGTTCGAGCTGACGCTGTTCGAGAAGAACCCGCAGTTCGGCGGCACGTGGTACGAGAACACGTACCCCGGCGTTGCGTGCGATATCCCGGCGCACGACTACGTGTTTACGTGGGACCCCAAGCCGGATTGGACGCAGTTCTTTGCGGCGGGCAAGGAGATTCAGGGGTACTTTGAGGGGTTTGCTGAGAGGCATGGGAGCAAGAAGTATATGAAGCTGAATACAAAGATTGTGGAGACGAGGTGGGATAACGCGGAGGGGGTGTGGCATATGTGAGTAGTATTCTTCAGCTCTGGCATCGAGGTCTGCTGTTGAGTGAGTTCTAACATGGTCCACAGCACAACGGAGGACCAGGTGACCAAGGAGAGATCGGAGGACTGGGCACACGTCTTCGTGAACGGTACTGGTATTCTGAATAGCTGGAAGTGGCCTGAGATTGAGGGTTTACATGACTTCAAGGGCGGTCTGATGCATTCGGCGGCCTGGGATCACTCGGTTGACTTTGAGGGCAAGGTCGTCGGTGTTATTGGTACTGGCTCTACCAGTGTGCAAATTGTCCCCTCATTGCAGAAGATCTGCAAGGAGGTGCAGGTCTACATGAGGAGTCCTACGTGGATCAGCCCGCCCTTCGGCGCTGGAGCTCTCGATGACGTGCACAAGGGCGAAGATGTCAATCCCGGACAGCGACAGTACACGTTCAGCGAGGCGGAGAAGAAGCGCTTCGCTGAGGACCCGGAATATCACCTTTCGTTCCGCAAGAGCATTGAGGCGGAGATCAATGGTCTTTTCGGCATGTACCAGCAGGGCTCTGAACTGTCTAACCACTTCCGAGAAGTCATCACAGCAGAAATGAACCGCCGCATGGGCCCAGGAAACGAACAACTAAAGTCCTTCATCATTCCAAAGTGGTCTCCGGGCTGTCGACGAATCTCACCGGGCGATGGCTACCTCGAGGCGTTGGTCCAGGGGAACGTAACACCAGTGTTCGAAGGGATTGAAAAGATTGTGCCAGAGGGCCTTCAGACAAGAGACGGGAAGGTGCACAAGGTCGACATCATCGTCTGCGCCACCGGCTTCCAAGTCGCTTTCCAGCCTGCGTTCACCGTGATCAACGGCGCCGGCAAGTCGATCAAGCAAGACTGGACTGACGGTCCCAACCTCTACTTTGGCGTGTCAGCCCCGCGATTCCCCAACTTCTACACTATTGTGGGCCCGGGCGCGACGTGGAGTAACGGCACGCTGCTTCCGTCGATCGAGACGACTATCGAGTACTCGATCAAGTGCATGAAGAAGATGCAGATGGAGGGCATCAAGGCCATGGCGGTCAAGCAGGAGGCGCTCGATGAGATCTACGCCCACTTTGACGAGTTCCACAAGGCAACAGTGTGGAAGGAGGAGTGCCGCAGCTGGTTCAAGGACGGCAAGATCAAGAACCGCATCTACCTGTGGCCCGGCGCAGTAAGTTTTGCGGTGCATCCCTCAGACCCCGCATTTGACGCATGCTAACGAAGCTTCTTCCTTCACTAGACGATCCACTTTCTGAAGTCCATCAAGGACCCGCGGTTCGAGGACTATGACTTCACATACCGCTACAAGAACCGCTTCGCGTTCCTGGGCAATGGCGACGTGAAGGCAACGGCGTCGCGCGACGTGCTCGGGCTCAGCACCTACATCAGGAACTCGGATCACGAGTGGTCGGTGGAGTAAGCATTGGGCAAGCATTCGCATGTTTAGCACGCAGACTACATTTGGCACTGTCTCCCTTTTTTCAGCCTTTTTCAAAGTGTTGCAGCCGTTTTTCTCCAGCTTTTCGGTACCCCAGATTGATGGCGTCGTGCATGGCTGGGAATGAGCATTGTTTGAAGACCGGCTTCCTTTTTTTTTTGGTGGATGACGGGCAGCGACGCGCGGAGATCGCGGATGGTAGGATCCCCTCGTCGGGTCTGGTGCACTGCATTCGGTAGCTTTCAATATGCCTCATGGTGGGCGTCATGACGGGTTGCGGTCCAGATCACGTGCTGACATGACTCGGCGCTGAATCAGTAGCGTCTTGACAGTGCATGGCCGGCCTCGACGTCGGCTACGGCCAGCCAACCACGGCGTATATGCAGGAGCTCGAGGAAGACCAGAGCCGTCGAGCTGAGCGCGGCCCCGCATTCAAAGGCCGCGCTATGCTGAGTAAGGCTACCCCGTACCGCTGCACGACTCCAAGCCCTCCTGACTCGTGCCGCCAGCCTCAACACCAGCGGTACCACCATCGGCGTGGGCCCCGAGCAGTCGTCTCTTGGATCCTACCCGATCTCCGCCCTTGCACGCGCCCCGGCATGCCTGGAAACCACTCCAGACGCGGTGCGATTGGCTATGCAATGTCCATAGCCGCCCCCAGCAGCGATAGTCTCGCACCCTCGACGCACCCTGTGACTGCCCTGACGCAGGGAAGCTGTCTGGATGCCCCTCGCCACCGGTCTGATGGATACCAGGCCCTCCGTCGTCGCTCATCCCTAGGGCTGCTGCTGCTGCTGCTCAATTGGCCTAGAACCGCTTCCGCACCGGTCAGAACGGCACAGCAAATGGACCCCCCCAAAACGCGGCGACGGGCTTCGTGATTGTGGAGGTGGGGTCCCCACAGTCCTTGATCCTGGGGCCCACCGGTAGCGTGCATCATGCACCGCCGTCGACGTCGGCCTTGGTGCCCTTTCACTGCCGTCGGCCGTGGGTCTAGCTAACGCCGGGCACCCTGACTTATCTGCATCTTTCTCCAGCTTTTGAGCTGTGCCCTCCCCCGCCTCCGCCTTCTCTCTCATATTTCCCCTTGGATGCCTGAAGGACTACGCCTTGTCTCCACTATACTGTTCAAAGTTGAGTTGAAAGATGCAGTCCACGCCCCCGAACTCAGGTAGTGTGAACGGTGAGCTGCTAGACGAGAAGAACCAGCCCGAGCAGGCTCAGACGGCAGCGCAGAAGCGCCAGAAGTCGCGGCATAGGGCTTCTGTCGCGTGTGCGAGTTGCAGAGATCGCAGGATTCGGGTATGGATGCTCCCAACCGGCCCGTTTCGAGCGGTATCAAACACTGACTTTTCGAAAAGTGTGTAGTGCCACCGGGCGACAGCGAGTGCATTCAGTGCAAGAGGTCCGGAGTCGAGTGCATAATCAAGAACGACGATGAGAGGCGGCGGTAAGTGGTTCTGACTCCTTTTGATGGGGCATTTCTGACTTCGGAGTGAAGGCCGATCTCTCGGGCCTACATGTGCTCTCTCACAGAGCGTGTGGCGCTGCTCGAGACAATGCTGAAGGAACACGGAGCAGAGCCACCGCCGGCTAACCACCCTCCCAAAACTCGTCACGGGCTACCCCAAGATGGTGACCCATCCCCACAGCGAGGAGCCAACAAGCCATCCAGCAATGCCCCGGACAACTCGAGTCCAGGCAGCCAGCAGGACGACTTCATAGATGTAGACCAACTAGACAACCAAGACAGCGGCAGCCACCGCGGCGACGAGGTCGACGCTCCATCTCCTTCTTCAGTCCTTGCCCCTGGGCCTCCCAGGAAAGACGGTATGGTCAACCGCCTCCTTTCCACCCGTGGCCATCTCAGCTTCGACCAGCTGAGCGGCCGCCTGCGATACTTCGGCCCAACTACAAACTGCCACGTCCACTCCGAACTAGGCAACTCACATGGCTCAAACTCCGAGTCCTCAGAACAATCCCGGCGAGCAGAGAAAATCGTACGCTCGCTTTCGCTAGACACCTACGACTACCTCATGGACATCTTCTGGCACCATTATAACTCCGTTATCCACGTGCTGCACCAGGAGGCCTTCAACGAGGACCGCGAGACCGGCCGAGCGCAGTTTTACTCGGGCTTCCTCCATGTGTGCGTGCTGGCGATGGGGTATAGGTTTGCGGATAAAACGAGGCCTGATATTCAGAGGCTGTCGTTGCCGCAGAAGGAAAGCACACTGCATCGCGAGGCGAAGTATATGCTTGATCATGAGTTGGAGAGACCGGGGGGCATTCCGTCGGTTGTTGCGTTGCTCTTGCTTGGAGATTTGGAGTGTCAAGGTATATTGATTTGAATGAGTCTAGGAGTTGCGGGGCTGACGGTTTTAGTTGGGAGAGATAATTTAGGCTGGCTGTATGCTGGTTTAGCGGTGAGACTGGCGTTTGATATTGGGTAAGCTGGAGAGATCCGAACTAAAGTCATGGTCGCAACTAACACTCTTTGCAGCCTTCATCTTGATACACGTCTCTCTGGACTCTCGGTGCGAGAAGTGGAGATCAGACAAATGACACTCTGGGCTTGCGTTATCTATGACAAGTAAGTGGTCAGCTCCATTTTCAAAAACTTAGCTAACATCGTGAAGGTATTGGGCACTTTTCCTAGGCCGACCAACCAGTATGAAAAGTACAGACCTCGAGATCTACTCGCTGTCGAAACAATTCGAGCGCCTCGGAACATGCCGACCGGCCGGCGTCGAGAAAAGCCTGGAAACTCAAATCTACGAAGCTCTGCTGGATCTGATGGAGCTGGCGGGTAAGATCACAGAAAACATGGACCCCAGATCCCAAGGACCAGACGCAGTCATTGATCGCAACCAATATCTTCGAATGGCAGCATTAGATAGGGAATTCAGCAACTGGTATGCCCGTCTTCCAGACACACTACGGTGGACACCGGCAAACATCAATGCGGCACCCTTCTCCTTTTTCCTTCTCCACCAGCAATATCACTCTGCTCTCATTCTTCTCCATCGTCCATTCGCCATGTACGAGGATTCTCAGCAAGCCGACGATGAAGCGAGTGGACCTGATAGCCACTTCTCTGCTCTATCTCGAACTGTATGCACCAAACACGCCATTCGGGTAGCCCGGATATTCTGGCAACATCGCCAACGATTCGACACCAAGCAGATTTTCGTAACAGGAATGCAACATGCCGTAAGTTAGGCCCTAACGCCCCAACACAACCATCCACTAACCCATCTCCAGGGCACCGCCGCCACCGCCCTCGTTGCCGCCCTCGCCTTCATCAAAGACCCCGTCGACCGCGCCAACAACATGCAATACCTCGAATGCCTCTCGGCCGCCCTCCAAGACATGGCCTGCACCTTCCAGCCCGCCGAGCGCATGTCCGTCGTCCTGCAAGCCGTCATGCTCGAGCTGCGCGGCGAAAGCACCGCCACGGGCCAAAGCCCAATGAACCTGTACAAACCCGCGGGCGCCCTCGTGCCCGCGCGCCGCGGCTCCAGCAACGACGATATGGCCGACCCGCCCGTCTTCAAGCGCCGGCAGACATCCCGCCCGCGCGCCAACACGGCGAGCTCGAGCAAGAAGCTATTCCGCTCGCAGAGCATCAGCACAATGGCCGAGTTCAAGATCAAGCCGCCGCCGCCGCCGAGCTTGAGGGGTGGCGGCGCTGATGCGGATGCGGGCGTGGGCGATGGCTATATCATGGTCACGCCGCGCTCCGAGATGTCCAGCGCCTGGCCCGCGCTCCACGACAGCAACAACGGGGGGCCGCCCATCGACCCAGCCATCACGACGCCCTCGGCCGCATCCCTGTCGTCGTCAGCAGCGCCTCGCGGCGGCGGCGGCGGGCAGCAGAACACGTGGATGGGCGCGGAGCTGGACTCGGACTCGATTGTGCAGATTGCCGGGGCGCATTTCCCGGAGATGGGGCTGATGGGGGCCTGTGAGAGCGCGGGGGATGCGAGTATGAGCCATCTCGACTTTATGGCGCTGGGCAGTGAGGATTGGACGGAGTGGCAGGCGGGTGTGGGCGGGGTGGGCACGGATTTGGATGGGTTTCCGCCGCAGGCGGGGTTTGGGGGGTTTGAGCAGGGGGTCGTGGGCGGCGGTGGTGGGGGGAGGGGGTATGGGGGGTTGATTAATGGGTGACTAGCCGAGTTGGAGAAAGAGGTGGGCGCCGTGTTGGATGTTTAGGGGAGGGGTTGGGGTTTGTGTTGGGCGAGTGCCGTGCAAGTTCTATGCGAGAGAGAGAGAGAGAGAGGTTCTATGGGATCCGAATAGGAGTTGATTGATACTGGGGGGCTTTTTTGTGAGCGTTTGGGTTGCAGGTGTTTGGGTTCGCGGGACAGGGATGGAGTTCGAATCTTTCAGTGTCTGGCTTTTAGTTGATATCGACATATCTCTATCGCTCATTCTGCTACCTTTGTATCATTCGTGAACGTCCCCTATCACCCTACCCCCTATCTCTACCCTATCATATCCTCCTGGCCACTCACCGCTCCCCCTTTTCGCTAGCACCTACGTGGTCCAACCCCTCTCACATGCCCTCCCCCTCCTTCTCCCACGGCTGGATGCTGGGTATATAAACCCCCCCCCCTCCCCTTTCTCCTTTCTTTCCTCGGGGAGCTGAGAGCTGGAATGGGCTCGGCGATGGAGATCAAAAAGCGATACCTGAATGCCCAATGGCTGGGTCTGGTCTCACGCTGTGAAAATCATACGTGACAGCACATCATGGGGGAGGCGGATCAACAAAACGGCCCGCAATCGCTACATGGGGTGGAGGGGCGGAGGAGAGGGGGGGGGGGCGGGTGTCAACAAAAAACTTTCAATTCAGGTCCGATGTGGTGGGGGGGGTCGGGTCGGGTCGGGTCGGGTCGGTGTCAAAAGATATGACCAAGACGGACGATGGAGGGGAGGAGGAGGGGTGTCAACGTCGCGCAACGAACTGCTCGATGGAGGGGTGGGAGGGGTGGTTGTCAAGTCGTAACTGTCATTGCCTCGATGGAGCGGGGTGGATCATACTCAACATACCTAAAGATAATGGGGTGGAGGGGAGGGTCGGTGTCAACGGAGTTCAATGACTTTGACGATGGAGTGGAGGAGAGGAGTGGAAGAGTGGGATTGAGTGGGAGTGGTGATAGTGTGGACCGAAAAGACGTAGTGGTAGTAGCGCGCTCTGGAGAGCGGAGGGTATAATCTGCACATTACGATACGGAGTATCTGTTGAGGGCGATACTAGAGAGCATCAGCGGAAGGAGACAAGTCGGGTCATCAGGAGGTGATAGTGGTGAAGGAAAGGGAGACCCGCGGCCTTCCATGGAGCTGTTCGGGTGATAGTTTGATCTCAACGCTTCCTTCCTCCCAACATTATCCTCTACAACGCGCCTTTTGCACCACTCTACTAGCCATTGCATAGTTTTCTGGCCAGTTTTGCGAACTCCGAAGTCGATCGACCTCCTCCATGAACGAAACTCAAATGGCGAGAGAAGGGAGAAAGTTTTATACCCCTTAGCGCATGAGAGCACGTGAGTCTCTGCTGATTCAGAGTAGGTAGTCCACGGGTATTGTGAGTGGACGCGAATTGTTCAGGGAGAGATGGAGTGACTGGTAGCACGTGATATGCACGTGACTGATTTCAACTCAGGGGGCGGGGGGGATAAAACTTTCTTTCTCGTCTTTTTCTTTCTTCCTCATCAGGGTCGCGGTCGATGGAGGGCTTCAAAACCCACGAGAATTCGATGTAATGTGGAGAAGACTGTGGGATCAAAATGCGGAAACAGGATCACCGTATGTCTGCGGCGTGGGGGACTTCGGTAGAACACCTGGAGTTCAAAAACAATGGTGCAGACTCTGGGAGAAACCGAAGTTGACCTCGCCTGATGGCTGAATTTGTATGGGAAATGGTGATGGTGGATGTCGAGGTTAAGTGGAAGTGGGTAGGAGTGGTCTGTGATTGTCAACTTAGTGACTCGAAGGTGGAGAACAGCGTTTTGAAGGCGTCAAAGGCACTCCAACTCCATGATGAAAAAGGGACTGCATTTTTTGCACTGCAGCCCGCACGGGGTTTTAACGAGTAACCCTGATCAAAATCAGTCTGCACATAAGGAAGCTGGATGCAAACCAAAATTTATACCACTTCGAAGAAGTCAGGGGGTCAGTTTCACGTGTTGATCACGTGGTAAATGAAGACTTCGCTGAAATGATCCATCTCAAGTCAAATGTCTCGTATTAGATTAGTATTAACTATCAAACAGAAGAATTCTGTTGAAAATAGATCGGAGTTCGGGTCCTACAGATCTCATCCGTCCTCATCACGTCCCAACAGTGTTTTGATCGTTCCGGTTATGCAACGCCGCGGCCACATCATCCGTCATCCGATCCTCAACATTCGGCACGAAACAACTCAACACCAGTGCCAGCCCTGAGAACGCAATCGTCGTCAAGAAGACCGTGCGATACGCGTCCGCATTGGCAACCTTATACGTCCTCAACCCCGCCGCAGTAATGTCCGCCGAGATCCCCGGCACCGCGGCAAACGCAGCGGGTGTGCCAACCGTGATGGCAGAGAGAAAGTCAACGACACTGCTTGCGGGCAGGCCAGCCTTGACGAGCGCTGGCGGCACTTGGGAAGAGATGGTGCTAGTAAGGCGATTGGAAAGCACGACGACGTAGACGGTCTGCGAGATGGTTGAGATGGCAGCGCGTACGGAGCCTGCAACACCAGCGCCGGTACCGATTTCATTTTGGTCATCTAGCGCGATGGTGGTGAGGGAAAGGCAGACGTTTTCAACCCAGCCGACGAAGAAGCAGCCCATGAAGACGAGACCGCATGCCAAGGCTTTGGTGTCGGGGGTGCAGACTGCGACGCCTTTTGGAGGTCAGCATTTAGGTCAGTTGGATCGGATGGCGAAGACTTACAGCCGAAGAAGATACCAGCGGAAAGAACGGCAAACATCATTTGGAACTTTGTCTTTCCGAGAGGAGTGGCCAGAAGACCGCCGATGATCTCACCGGAGAGAAGACCGAGACCGACTAGACTGGCGAGAATGCTGGCGTACATCGGGTCGCCGTTCGTGTAGAGGACTGCTACCATCGAGGGCCCTAGAATAGATGGTGAGTAGAGTTTCAACGCCACTCGAAGCCGATAGTAACTCACAGATTATAGCAAAAGCGTAGTACATGCCCGCGCCGACACCAAGCACAATCGTAGACATTACCCATGGCCCGTTCCTGAAAAGATGCATAGGAACGAGAGGATCCTTGAGAAGAGATGCCGGTGCAAAGTTCTCCCAAAGTACGAACGCGACTATAAGCATGAATCCGACGACGATAGTGGCGATGACGTGTGCGGACTTCCATGGGTAAGTGCTACCACCCCAGTTGAGACCTACTGCACGTAAGCGGAAGCCAAGGCGGGTCTTGCGTCTTAATCATACCTATCAGGAATAGCAGCAGTCCGAGAATGAAAAGTACAGCTCCAACATAGTCGAATGTCTTGACATATTCCATCACCTTTCCGGATCGGTGCTTCATGTGGAAAGTTGGAGGATGGTAAAAGAGGATCCAGAAGAGTGCTGCAGTGCCATTTATCGCAATCAACTGCCAGCAGTCAGTATAAGAGAACACGAAGATATCAGAACCCACCACTTACGAGGTAGTAGATGCCCCTCCAGCCAACGTTCGTGTGCTGGATGAAGCCTTGTGCAACAGCAGGCCCAAAACCAGATCCGGGAATGGCAAAGATGAAGATAAGGGCGTTCCCGTAGAAACGGTACTTCATAGGTAGTAGTTCGCCCACGACGATGGGGAATGAAACTTGCGTAGCAGCCGCGATGCCTGTACTGGTCAGAAAACTTCAGGTTCAAGGCCCATTTCGAACTCTCCAAAATACTCACCAATCACCGTAGTTCCCCCAATAAGCGTTGGAATGTCCTTAGCAACAGCGCATATTATGCTGCCAATAACCCCAAGACAACTGCCGCCAGCTACATATTCGTCAGTCACTTCCAATCACGAAGCTAAGAAGTAATGAACCAACTCACCGAAAACCCACCGCCGCCCAAACACATCACCCACTCTCCCCACCAGCGTCAAGAATACCGCCAGCATGAGCGTATACACGAGGCCAACCCACGCCAGATTCGGATCCGGGCCGATATCCGCATCAATGACCGCGAGAATAGGTGCTGCGTATCCAAACCCAGCCACTCCCGCGAGTAGACCGAGCGCGGCCGCTAGCATTGTGCCGATGAAGAAAGAGCTGGTGAAGTAGCCATCGGGAAGGCTTTCGAGGCTCGTATCGAAGCCGGTCATGACATGACATCCATGTTCGGGAGTAGCTTTCTCGAGTTGGGTCTCGTGGGAGAAGCGAGTCGCTTGAGGTTTCTCGGCAGCTTCTTCCATGGCGATGGTAGACGAGAGGTTTCTTGTGTTCGTAGTGGCAGTGGGGATAGTTAGGGATGAGTGAGGGAGAATGACCCCAGAGTCCAGGAATGCGGAGAGAATATGGGGGAGGGGCGCCCCGTTAAGTGCCCCAGAATCCCCAGATGAGGCTGTCGGTCAGTCACAGGCCCGGCTCCGCAGCGTCGGCATTCGCGTCTTCGCGTGCTAGCCATGAGCTTGAGCTTAGGCTTGAGCTTCGCGTGATGAATCCCGGGCGGGCACATGGCACTGACAGCTTGGGACCTCGTAGCGCGTTGCTTAGTAGGTCAGCATGCCAGAAACGATCCACGCTGTGGGGTGTCCCTGCACTGACTCATTCCTCCGCGGGGGACTAAGCAAGGTTGCATTAGTAGGGTGCGGAGAAAGAATAGCGAAGATCTGGGGTTGGAGATCCGTGCGGGGATATCAAACTCCGGGCGTTAAATCCTGAGATCTGGTCCCAGCGATTTGGAATCTCTCGTACGACGGACAATACTTTTAGATCTAGACCGGTCTTTGGTAAGTACTCTTAGCCAGATGAGATGTTCGCGATAGGTTTGATCGACGTACTTAGCGTTCTGCTCTTGGTAGGGTACCGACGAGTTTATCACAGCACGTCAAGTTCGAAATATCATGAGTATGATATGACTTTTTGCTATGGAAGCTTTTGTTCTCAGAATACCGAACTAATCTATGGGTGCGAAACCGAAGAGTTGTGGACTCAACTCCCAATCCAATCCCCCGAACTCCCTCAACGCCCGACCCCAAAGACGTAACCTTCCGCACTGTGTAGCGCGGTCGACACAGCTATCTGCGTAGCATACAGGGCGTGGGCACCGCCGAGGCGACCCCTCGCTTGCTGCTCGCTGACCTACAATGTCTTGCGCGCCACTTTGCGCGGAAGGGTTGGTCCTTGGGGGAGAATGATGAGGGAGGGTGGTTGTATCTGCAACAGAGCCATGTTGAGAGACCACAATGAAACGTCCAACTGTACCCTCGCTCGGCACAAGGCCTCACTCGCATAGAAGACAGGAATAAGGACTGGTATGGACCAAGCCTGTGAAACAAAAGAACGCCATGTCAAGGTATGGCTATTACTGCAGGAGAGCTCAACCTCCCGCGCAATGATGAAAGACAAAGGAAAGGTAAACTACAAACAGCAGCCAGGAGTCTCTAGAGTCAAGCGCTCGGCTTCTGCCTGTCCCAGAAACCAAAGAAGACTTGAGCCCGTTGCGCAATGTAGCGCAAAAGCTCGCTGCCGTGATCCGTGATGGGACGGGGTCTCCGGCTCCAATCCTCCAAGATACTGGCAACATATGAAAAGGAAGTGACGAACGAGAAAAGGAAAGAAAGTCGACATCGCTTTTGTGAAATCCGCAATACGTTCGACAAGTTCGTATGCTGATCAGATCTACCACCCTCCTAATCTTCTTCACTCTCGTCCTTTTTGCTCTCATACGGTTAACCCTGGTTGTAGGAATTGAGCAAGGTAGACCGCAGAGCAACTTCGCTGTCGGATGGCGCTGTGACGGAAATATTTGGAACGCCTAAGCTGTTCGTCTCCGGCAGTCCGCTTCGACCGCCAGACATGAAGTGCGCCGGGTTCGTGCTGACTGGACCGGTCACGATGACACCCACGTCTTCGTCTGGATCAACGATGTGGTTGGGCTCGGGTCGTCCTTGGTTGTCGATGATCTTCTTAGAGATCTCCCACAGCATCTCCGCAGGATACTTCTCCGGGCCAATGCCGTCTACAATCGAAATTATGTTCCTTCCACCCTTTGCAATTGCATCGATGAATATTTGTCTGCCTTCATCTCCAGGCTTGGTCCAAAGCCAAAGTCGCGCCAACTCGCTTGGCATCCAGTCTTCGAGTATGCTCTTCGCGGCATCGATATAATTCGGGGCGCCGCTGACCCTCCAGGTCCGTCGGTAAATCTCCGCTGTCCACATCATCTCTATAGCCTCGACGATGTTTCGAACTTCTAGCAGTTTCGCGATTCCATATACAGCCAGCATCAAGTCGATGTTCCAGCCGATACTTGTGGGACGTGAAGCTTCCTCTTCACAATGCTTCCGTTTACGTGTAGACTCACACTCCTTCACAGTCGGTGTCTTACGAGACTCTTCCGCGTCTTTTATGACGAGCAATTGTATAAACTGCTTTAGAGCCACTGGCGAGACGTCTTCGATGTCAGTGCTTGCGCGTTGGCCCTCTATAGTGGCAAAATGTTTCTGGATAACGTTGGAGAACTTTTTAAGCGGCTTCAGCGGGCAGTCAATGAGTTCAGATCGTCCCTCAAAGACCGTTCTGAAGATGAAGTTGTCTTTCGTATGTTTAGCATTGTACCAATCAGGTGTTGGTGAGCGTTGCCGCTCGTTGGGGCTCGGGAGATCAGCCGTGGCGGAATCGTGACGCGATGCATTACCGTCGTTCAGGCGCATTCGTTTTCGAGGTTGATCGTCGTCCTCATCGTGAGAGTCCGAGTCCTCGCTTTCGTCCGATGAGTCCGTCATTTCCTCGTCGGTGTCTTCACGACGACGCTTTAAAGCAGCAGCAGCGGCAACTTTTGCCTGTTTTGCCATTCTCACAGTCAAACTCTTTTCGGCTTTCAGGTCCCTAGCCTTCCTCGCCAATTCCGCTTTTAAATCTCTCGTGACTCGGCTCTTTTCGTATTGGAAACGCACTTTTTGCTTCGCTAACTCCGTTTCTAACACGCCCGCAGCCCGTCCCCTTTCTTCTTTCAAAGCCTTTTCTTTCTTCACTACCTCAGCTTTCAAGTATCTGACCGCACGGAGGTGGTCTAGAGTAAGAACCTCCTCTTGCTGAGCTTCTTCATCAGTAGTCTGATTATCGTCATCCTCGATGCTTTCGATGATGCTCTCGTCGTCTTGTGTTTCGTGATCTTCTCTATCTTCGTCTTCCTTAGCGTCCCACAGGTGCGCAGTCAATGCTGAGATTTGTTTGATGGACTTGCCCCCTGTCGTAGGGCGCACACCACCAAACTCTGCCCAACTCTCCTCTTCGCTGTCGCTCTGAGCTTCACGCTCGACCTCATCGTCTTCTCCCATTTCAACATCTTCATGACTATGAGTGTTCGCGATCTCTGCGCTAGCCTTCGCAGCTTCTTCTAATTTTTCACCGTCTTCTTTATCGGCTCCTGACTGTAGTTCCTGCTCTTGGGCGATTCTTGCCCCAGCTCCCGCACCATCAACCTCTTCTTCTTCCGGTTGCGAACCAACTTCCAGCTGTCCATGCCCCTCGCTGGTGCCCTCGGCTTCACCACTAGGCTGAGCTTGCTCAGTCGCGGCAATCTCAATGCCCAAGATATTGGCAAACTCTGCCTTCTTTGTCGGAAGTTTGAGCATAACCACGCGGCTTTGCGGAGCCCCCACCTCGACCTCTGCCTCTACCTTCACGGCAGCCTTCCCCTTAGCCTGTCGCTTCGGCTTCACCGCTGGCTGCGCCGCTTGCCCAAGCACCTGGGGCTTCTTGATCAGACGACCACTCGACGTGTACTTCGTATCATCAATAACGCCAGCGGGAACATCTTCGACCTCGTCGGCGTCATCCTCAGCCTCTGGCTCGCGGATAGATGCAGTATTCTTGCCGCGAGCGGCACGGGGCCTTGCGGGAGCTTTCACTTTCGAAGCAGCCTTTGGCTTAGGGGGAACTTTGGCCTTTGGAGTGGCCTTTGGCTTAGTAGGGGCCTTCGCTTTACCCTTACCCTTCGCCGCAGGTGCAGCGACCTCTTCCGCTTCACCATCCTCGGGCTCCTCAGCGATAACGCCGCGATTCGTCCTCGGGGCCTTGGCGGCTTGCGTGCGGCGCGGCTTCTTCTGGGGTGGGAGCGCAGACGTATCGGCATCGTCAGCGGGGGGCGGGAGCTGGCTTCGGTTCGACGCTGGCGGAGCGACCGCGGCGGAGGGGTGGCTGGTTTGGAGGGGCGGTGGCGGTGGGGTTGACTAGGGAGTGAGTATTAGATGGTGCGATGGATGGCTTTGGAGGGTGACGAACCTTGCTGAGGAGCTTCAGCGGACTGTGCGAGTGGTAAATCGGAAGCTTCTGGAACTGCAGATCCGGTGCGAGAGCGCGCGGTGCGCTTCGCTAGTGCTTTCTTGGTGACTTTGGCAGTGGCCTGGGGCGCTCCAGCTTGGAGAGTAGGCTCGGCACTGGCAGAGGCGCCGCGACCTCGTTTGGAGGCTGTGTTGGAGGTGTTGTCGGCGGCGTTCGCGGATGGAGTTCGGCGTGGTGCCATTTTGATAGAGAGTAGATATCTGACTGAAAGAGTGATGGTTTTGAAAGGATATATGTGTTTGTGAAAGACTTCAAGAAGTGCTATGGTGTTGGCAGGCTGTGAGAGAAGTGGAAGAGAAATTTGTTGTGTGGCAGCCAACTCGGTCGTTGATGTCAACACGAGCTCGCCAGCAGCCACACTTGCTAAACGAGGGTGAATTCACCGTCGCGCACCTAAATGACGTCGCATTCTTTCATAGGTTACCGCGAACCTCATGGTTCTAGAGATTTCTCTTGCAAATTTCAGCTAGACACCCGTGAAGATGCTTATATGATTGAGGAAAGTGAAAAAGAGTCACAGACAAACCTCATCTCCGCGCTCAGGGGTCAAGAAACGGTAATTAATTACAAACGCCGCGTTGTACGCCACGCTCTATGGATATCTATTCTAAAGCCCTTCCCTCCTCATGTCTAATCATTGCTTAGTCTAGAACATAAACGTCATTACCTTCTTATCTCAATTTACGATCAAAAAAGGACCCCTAAGCCTGAACTCCCATCGCTGAGGCTAAACTCCCATACCAGAGTCGCCCTTTTTTCAAATTCCGACAGAGGAGTAAACAAGCGCTCGTTGTCCAGCCCCGCAGAATTCCGTCTTATCCCCGGTGCAGAACATCTTCTTGCAGTCTTGAATATCCTCCGACGTTGCCTGGGTCGACAACGTCGTTCCACAATAACACTCCTGTCCGTACTCCACCGCCGCCTTGACATACCCTTTGCCTTTACAAGTCGCAACACAACTCTCCACCGTCATGCCCGTGGCATTCACATACGAATAACTCGGTAGCGCGCGCGGGTTGATCGGATCATAATAACACCCTTGGAGATTATACACGTCCACCTGTGGCGAAACTTTCGGATACACATAGCTTGGGTTAGTGTACTGGTAAAGGTTGAGTCTGGAAGAGCCGCCGCAGGTCTCGGATGAATTGCCCGCACACTTCATGGTGCAGCCTGTATAGCCAATTTTTGAGCCAAAGGCTAGTCCGAGGCCGCAGTAGCATTCATCGCCGTATTCAACGCCGGCGAAGGGGTAGTTTTTGCCGATGCAGTAGGCTTGGCAGGTTTCGATGGTCACGGTGGTGGCGGCGAAAGTCGTGCCGTTGAGGGCCCGGTGGGCGATTGTATCGTTAGCGCAGCCGACGTAGGACCAAGATGAAGCGGAAGCTGAGGGTGTGGAGGATGATGAGATAGTTGAGGAGCGGATTGAGGAGGTGGAGATCGTCGACGATGGAAGGGTTGAGGTCGAAAGTGTCGATGTTGGAAGGGTGGAAGTCGAGAGTGTCGTTGATCGAGTTGAGGCAGTAGATAACGTAGAAGAAACGCTGGGCGTAGAGGAGGTGGAAGAACTCGGCGTAGAGGAGGCGGTGGAGGATGAGGAGCTGGAGGAAGAACTGAGGGTGGAGCTGGAAGAGGAACTGGAAGAGGAACTGGAGGAGCTGGAGAAGGAGCTCGATGAGCTCGACGATGGCGAGCTAGATGATGTGCTGGAGGATGAAGTTGATTTGAGGCTGGACGTGGCTGAAGTCGATATGAGGCTGGACGACGCTGAAGTTGATACGAGGCTGGACGCCGCTGAAATTGAAAGTAGCGAGGACGAGGAACTGGAAACCAGCGAGGAGGATGAGGACGCGACGCTAGACGACACAGACGACGAAACCGATGAAGAGGATGAACTAAAAGACGAGCTGCTCGACGGGAGGTTCTGCAGCTTATACATTGTCAGACCCTTTTGGCCACCACAAATCTCATTCACATTCCCAGCACAGTTCATTTTGCATCTTCCATCTGTTGTAGCAAAGCTTCCAAAACTCAGGGTATTCCCACAGTAGCACTCATCTGAGTACTCCACTCCAAAGTAGCTGAATCCTGCGCAGGTGCTGGCACAAAGCTCAATAGTCATAGCGCCGTTCACCCACTTCAGCCCAGTCAAGGTTCGAATGGTTATGTTGTCTGAACGACAATCGGAGTAGACGTAGGCGCCGACGCTTGGGGGTATCGGAGTGGACGACGCGGAGGGAGAAGTAGAGCTGGCGGAGGATGACGTTGATGAAAGCGGTGCCGAAATTGGGCTGGATGAGGACGAGGATGCCGTTGTTGTAGAGGATGTAAGCGTGGACGATATTGAGGAGGATAGGACTGTTGAAGACACGGTTGTTGAAGACAGGACTGTTGATGAAGTCCTTGTGGAGGTTGTACTCGAGGCCGCGGTGGACGAAGAGGCACCAGGGATCAAGATGTTCCCCGAGACTGGATCAAATCTCAAGCTATCATAATAGATAGAAATATACGTTCCAACACCACCGCACATCTGTGTAGTATCTCCCGCGCAAGTATAAGTCGTGCACTTCGATTCGTCAGCCTTCAATGAGGCCGCTGGTATTGCTGAAGCGTAGAAACATTGCGTTTGATATTCAGTGCCAGCGAAGATGGCACCGGCGGTCAGGGCCGTTTGTTGGCAGAGGCCATTCTCCATAGCGGCATTATTGTACTGCGTGGCCTCGATGCGTGGATTCTGGGCATCTTGGTAGCATCCGAGATACTTGTACCTGGCCTCGCCACCACTGCCTAACGTAGGGCCGACCTGCATGGGTGCCAAGGTGCCGGTAAAATTCACGACATGGACACCGAAGGATAGATCGTTAGTATTGAGAGTCCATGCGCCGAAGTACACGACGGGGTCGGAGTTGAGGGGCAAAGAGCCTGGTTGGAAGTAGACTGTAGCACTCGAGGAATTTCCTGGTGGGATTGACATTCCCTCTGATAGATCTGTGGATGGGTTGGTGGCGCCTAGAACAGTTCCCTCGGGAGGTTTAGATTTAGTAACGACGAGGTCAGATCCTCCATTGTTTGTAAAACGGATGGTCCTCAGAGCGGAGCCGACTCCGGGCAGAGTCCCAACATCGAGCTGGAAAGTACACCCATCGGCAGGTATCGCGCAATCTGCAATAGGGTCCCATCCATTTTCGTTCGTCTCATATTCAAATTTTACGATGGGGGATGTGTTTGCAGAACCGCTGAGAATAGTGTACGCAGACCCACCATTTGAGAAGACAGTGACCAGAGTGAAGTAGTCACCGACAACTGAAGCTGCAAATGTAGCATCAACGGTCAATGAACCGCCAGCCGGGATCTTCGTGTTGAGAGGGGGGAGTCCCGAGGTAGTGAAGTAGCCATCGTCGTCAAGATCCACCGAAACCCCCTGTCCAGCTAAAGTAATATTGGTATAGCTTGGGTCATCATCATCACCAGCACCGTAGGCGTAACCAAGAATAATGAGGTCAGACTGTCCAGCGTTTTGTATGATGAATGTGGCAGTTGATGCAGCAAGGGCTCCTCCGATGACAATCCCAGGAAATCCAACTTGCAATGGGTTGACGGCGAGGAAGGGATCCTGGCTGACAGCCGTACCGGTTAAAGTAATGCCTTGCTCGGTAGAGTATCCAGCAATAGTGTTGTTCGTGAAAATGCTCATGGCAGTCGTTTGAACTCCGGGGGACACGGAGGGAGCACTTGTGCTGCCCGCATTGAGCACGTAATTGGTCAAATTGAATGTAACGGGAATGTTGAAGCTGTCCCCAGCCTTGAGCGCACCCTGTGGCAAACTGGAATTGGACGCTTGGTAAAGGGTTTTACCCAGAGTCAATCCCAGAACCTGGGAAACAGCGATGTTTGCTTTGCAGGTGACGTTCATGGTACTGGCAGCACCAATCGACACGGAGCCAAAGTCAAGAGGAGAGGTGCATACGAATGGAAGCGCAACAGGAGCCCCAAACCCGACAATGGCACCACTCAACGTGGCCACGTAATATTTCCCATTTCCAAAAGTTGGGCGCTGGAATTTACTAGGGTTGGTTATAGCCGGAAGTGTAATACGTGTCATCTTGCCGCCAACAGGTGCAGCACTGTAAGCTCGGAGGCCGTTCGTATCGACAATCCAGAGGATTCCAGTGCCAGCCTTTCCTTTGAAAGAGGTGATTGTTGCAGGCCCAACACCCACCGCACCAGGAGACTTCTCGTCCGTTTGCGCAACTTGGGTAAAGGTCGGCCTTCCACTCGTATCGAAGCCCAGGGAATATACGTAGGTTGGAGCACCGACTGGCGTGAGGTAGATGTAGCCGCCTTCGAGTGGATATGCGCCAACATTGCCGAAGACCGAGCCTCCACCTGGAGGTGCTATGGTCTGAACAATCGCGTCCCCGCCAGCTGTGCCCATCTTGTATCCACCGAGGTTGTCCGCATTCGCAACGTAGCAGATTCCATTTTTTCCACAAGTTATTGCGAGACGAGCGATTCCTCCACCACTAAACACCTTTGGATCTGGTAGACAAACACCACCTGAGCCGAGGTCGCGATCACCAGCATCCATTCCTAGATACCCAAACGGCTCGAAATAATCTTGCTGCGTAAGAGCTCCAGTGTTTGGATCGATCGCTAGATTAACAATACACTCGGACAGAATATCCAGATAAACTCGGCCAGATGCGGGGACTTTGTTGTTGAAACCACCACCTTCGGCATTTCCAGTAGCAAAGAAGAGACGGCCAGAGTTATCAGACGAGATCGCAGCGCCAGACTGCCAGACTCCCGCTCCACCTCCTCCACCTGTCCATGTACCATCTTCCGGAGGAGAATCGGGGCCAGCGTTGGTGCTATAGCCGGTCAGTATCTTGCCGGAAGTGCTCATACCGATGACCCATCCAGTGTAATTGAAAAGATCGCAATGTCCTCCGAATCCAGCATAGACGGCACCGTTGATGAGGTTCAGTCCGGTTCTCTGGAGATGAGTTCCGCCTGTAAACCATCGCGTATTGTCATTGTCCGCTAGGATGCGTTAGTAATATATAAAGGCGCATAACTGAGCGACCCACCTGGGTAACCTTGGATGTTTGTAGGAAATCCAGGTCTCTCAACCAATGTTGCAGCATCAATGGCGTGGAATCGATAGGCACCATTCTTGTATCCAGTCTGACCCCCTGGCAGGTAGCTCTTGGCCCAGAAATACACCGTGTCGGTAGCTGGGTCGATAACAGGAGTGCCAGTAATTCCGATATATCCTCCAATATCGTTGCAAGACGGAAGATCAGAAACCTTGAACGGCATCTCTCCCTCCAGCGCAAGATCTCTTTTCGCAATTAGGGAACCATTGACAGCGTCGACTGCATAGATCCTGTTGGCCTCGGAGAACGCAAGAACGATTTGTTGACCTCCCAGACTTGTAGGCGTGTAAACCAGAGGTTTGGCGTAAAACTGGTCTGGCGCACCGCCGGATGGTATTACATTCTTGTACTGCCATAGCTGACCAAAGGAGCCGCCAGTAATGACTGTGGGATCCATGTTGTGATCCGGAAGGTAACCGGACTGCGAGGAGTCTGTGGTTCAAAGTTAGACGGTATCGGACGGGCGTCGCTGAACACCTACCTCCATCCATCAATGAATCTGTTGGGTCATATCCGAACACTGGCCGCAGAGAGCCAATGGCCCAGAGGCCGAAAATGAAGGGTTTGAGGTACATCTCCAATACTCCCTTACTAGCTGGCTACACGCTGCAGCGAAGACAAAGAAACCCGGGATAGAAGACCAACGAGTGTAGGGCTGCAAAAGAGCGTGGCGCCCTCGTATATTCACATACAGGACAAGGAATGCATTGACGGAAAAGACAGTTGGCGCTGATGGCACGATTCTTGTCAAAGCTTGTATTGACGCGTACCTGGTACGAGATATGTATCCAGCACGCCTCTGGCAAGGAGGCGCATACTTGTGGAAGAGCAAGACCTTCGGGTTCTCCATGGTGGTAAGCTAGGTCCAGGCCGCACGCTGTAGTTTCTACACCATTGAAATGCCAACCGCGTGCGGCTGCGGCGTTGACAAGTGGCTGGGAAAAAGCTCGAGGACAGGCCTGAAGGAGATTTAGCAGCGCTATTTCAGGTACCAGAGCAGGGTGTTTAGGCTTGGCTTAAGGTGGCTTCTGGCGCTAGATAGACTGAAAGGGGTTCTGCCAAAGGCTTGTTCCAGGCCTCTCCCGTCCCTTGCATGCCAGCTCGTGGGCGCTCAGCACGGCCCATTAGCTGCAGCCCCTGAGCACCCACGTTGGTGCACCTTGTTTCGATGATAGGCGCAACGGTGCGGCTGATCTTTGTGGTGTGGCTTGTTCTATGCCTTGAATTTCCTCATCCACATTCCCTTCTGCCCACCCCGCGCACGACTCGCCGAGGCCTAGGCGCCGTTCGTGCCCGGCTCTGACTGCTCCCCCGACATGCCAAGTAGTCGCTGCGAGTTCGCCGCGGTACCTCCGTGATAAGAAGCCTTTGGAGGAGCAGCGCCGTTGACGCTGCCAATACTTCTAGCCGCGGTGGCTTCAGATGTGTCGACCTGGGATAGCATCTGCGCGAGCTGCGATCAAGCGGTTCGGCAATGGCGTCGGGGAGTCCTGGAATGCTACATTATCGAACGTCGCAGAATACAGACCCCGTTGAGGGCGGATGGACTCCATAATGGTCGTCGCGCTGCTGTCAGTCCGTCTTGCGAGAGCTGAGACCAGCAGACGGGAGATGGACAGCGGCTAAAAATGCTAGCGTCAGGGGTACACAAGCACCGACAACTGAGCCAGCCCTGGACCTCCTACAATAGACCTCAACACCAATCAGGGACTAATTATATAAGACCTTTCGAGAGACTCTGCTCATATAGCCGAGACATTCGTCTTTTGTGCTCATTTTTTTGGTGGAATTTATTCGACAGGACCGTGGGTGGTGGGAAATTGCATGAGGTTGAGCACGTCACGTGTAGCTTACCTCAGCTCTTCTCTCCACCTCAATTCACACCGCCCACATCAACAAGAGGAGTAGTACGTCATTGTTGATTCCATAATGCCGTTGAATTATCAGGCATGTCTAAATGTTCTGCTTTTGAAAGCTGCAATATATTCAAATCGTAGATCTTAAGGCCGTATTGTATTCAATCGAGACCTCAAAACTACTCTCTACACTCATCACGAGACCATGTCATCAACTCCATGTCTTCGAACAAGAAGGAAGCGTGTAACGAGTCTTTATTCTCCATGCCCAGTGCAATAATAGTCTGTGGTGCATAAGTCCAATTATCCGCAAACGGCGACCGAACAAAGGACACCCTGCAAAAATTGCATCTTTGTTCTTCAGCAGCTCCCTCATACCTCAACTCTTGAGATCATGATAGTTTATTATCTAGCCGTATACCGTTATTCCTAATCCTTGTTTCAAAACTCGGGAATACAGACACTTAAAATTGAGCTTTCATCATGGCTAGAAGGCAAAGACCAACCCAGAGAAACGAACCCCAGAGAAAATTGCCCCCGAGAAGAGTAAAGCGAGGAACTGAGAACGCTCCAAATGAGTCAGACACTTATAGGCGTGGATCTGACCTTCCGGACCCGAATGCAATAGCAAGGGCGATCAATAAGGAGAATAGAGAGAGGAAGAAAAGAGAAGCAGCAGAAGCTAATGCTAATACGGCTGCTCGACAACAGCAGCCACAAGCCTCTCTGACGTCCCAAACCAACACCCATGGTACGTTCCAAAGTCCCTAATGGTATTGATTCTCGATCTCCTTCGCTGGAAATGCGTTGAGAAACTTCGGAAGAGCCTTGAAAATTGACAGAAACGATGAACTGATTTCATCTAAACAGAAGACCCGCCGTCGCCAATACCCACATCAAATCCCCCTTCACGCCGCTCAACCAGACAGAGTCAGACCGAACGGCGGTCAAGCCATCGATCTCAGCGTTCAAACACAAGTCAAAGAAGTCGTGGACGGTCGGGAGGTCAACTTTTAGAACCTACACAGAATGATGGAACCAGGCCGGAGGTTACACACCAGCCGATCGAGGGTCCTACAAGACCTTCCCCAAAGCCTCTGCCGAGGTCTTCGCCAAGGTTCGCTATCCAAAGCTCCTCCCAAAGGTATGTCCAAAGGTCTACCCCGGGGGTTCTCCTAAGATCTATACCCCCAAGGTCTCCTCCAAGAAGCCCCCTACGACCTTCTCGCTCGCCGATCCAAAGACGGAGCAATGCAGGTCGCCCATCATCTCGCCGGCAGGACCCAACCCCACCCGTTAGCCAACCCACGCAGCAGGATATCGACCAGCCGCAGGCAGGCTTGCCTCAGAATAGTCGCGCCGATGGGTTGTTCACCCGGCAGCAAATCGACGAGTTTGGGGCTAATTGGGGCCCCAACCCAGAACCAGGACGCCCCATTCCTCAGCCTCCTAATAGAGACAACCCCGCACTCCCCGACGCAGCGGCTGAAAGACAGTGGAGGGCTGGCATAAGGCCCGGACGACGCGCCATAAATGATATCTTCAACACGTATATCCCTTGGCCACGGGCACCGCTCCAAATCCAGCGACCAGTACCACTCTTACAGCCCGGCGCAAATGACAACCCGGACGATGGAGAACTCCGCGATTCGGCGACCCTAAGACGAGGCAGACCTGGCTCAGGGGCTCAGGCCGAGCGACTACCCTCACAGCACGATCCAAACGACGAACTAGACGAAGGAAGACCGCAGCCGGGCGTGCAGTACTTCCGGGGCTATAGAGAAGAAGGTATCGACCCGCCGTCAGCGTATAATCGGGATGATGAGCTTGATGAGGATGATGATGTGCAAGCCCAAGCTCGGCACGGGAGCCGCGGTGGAGGATTGCGGCGAGCCGGTTTGGCTGGGCAGGGTAGAGCAGAAAGAGAATCTCCGGGCCGCGGTGATGCTGGAGGGAATGCAAGCCGTGGCCGCGGGTCTGCAGGGCGATGTAGAGGTACTGATCGACGTCCAAGTCACCCTCCACCTTCTTCCGGTGGCAATTCTCGTACTCCTAGTCCTACCAGTGCTGAGATCGAGACACGGGGATACCGATATCGCCCTCACGGTATGGGAATACAACCATTACTGGAATATCAAGAACATCAGAGGGCGCTCGCCGCGCAAGGTTTCGCGCCGCAAGGTCGCCAAGCGTTAAGGGGAATATTTGCGGCAGGAGCACAGCGTCAGGACGAAGCAGACGAAGACGCCGATAATGGTCAGAGGCCACAAAATCAAAATCCGCGAAGAAACCAGCGCGCAAAGCCATGGGAGGCACATGGGAACGCGCAGGCAGACGAGGGAATACAACAACAATTAAGGAGAGAGCAAGGCGACAACGTGGATCACGGCGCCAATGACCAGGAGCAAGGTATGCGATTAGTGATCAAACCTCGTCTGCGTCGCGTGATTAGTGGCCTAGTTGCGGGAGCCGTGGAGAATTTTATATTAGGGATAGAGGGATTGGAACGTTCAGAGGTTGTAGGACTTATGGTCAACCGTTGGGTTGTCAACAGGGTCGATGAACTGTGGCCAACCGCCGAGCGCAACATCAATACGACGTACCGTCAGGACCCGGATAATGCTGACGTAGGTATGTGGTTCTGGAGAGAGGACAAAAGAGGGCCTGTGGACGAAATCCAGTATACAGGCATTGATGACGATAGGCGTTGAGGATGGGAGGCTAGGAGTAGCAATGATAGGAATAAAAGCAGCATCCTCCGTGTTTCACTATTAGCTTTCGCAGGCGAGAAATCAACCTGACTTCAGCTCGCCCAATTACTAATGCATGCCTTCTGTTGGCAACATTCTCCGCTTTCACGAGTGCCAGAGCGACATTCTCTTGGTGATACGAAGGCACGTGATGCCCACGTGATAACCTTCCGGCGTCATCGTATAGGGAGCGATGAGGGGCATTTGCTTGTGATATGAGAATGATTTGCGATGCCCACTCCTATCCAGTTGTGAGAGATCAAGAAGAAGGGGATTGTAGCAAGCATCTAAGTACTCGGAAACCCTTTGTGAAGGGAGTTGATGCTGTCTAGAAAGTACCACGAACAATTTGATATTGGACTGTGTCGCAAAAGAGCGCATCATATAGAACTCAGTGATTGACTCGGCCTGGACTGCTCCAATCACCTCAGCATTATAGCAATTCTTCAACACCGTGGAGCTATTCCACAGCCGGAAGAACTTGACGTCTTGAGTCTGTTCCCTGGAGCTCTTCTAGAGGTGCTTCGATATATTTCCAAAGTCCGTAATTCCTCCGCAAATACGCGCCGAATTAAAAGCTGTGCTTCTTTGCCCACTTGAAACTACCCTTAGTGTATGTGCCTATCCCAAGCACGTGGTGGGCTGATTATATCCATCACTGACTGATGCCAAGAATTGGTATTCACTCATGTGACCACGACTGACCATAACAAGCACGGACCGACCCGCAAGCGAACAAAATAAAGCTCCGCCGTTGGAACTTCGCTGCTCCATCGACCTTCCAACCTTACACACCTGTATCACTCTTTACCTACACTTGTGTCAAGCATTTTGGACGTTGTTCCTACCCTCATATCACGCCTTCCAGCACTTCACTCCTACGATCAACTCGTTTGCACGATGGCGCCGCGCAAGAAGGCAGCTGTCGCAAGCTCCAACCCTGACCCCGCCCCGGCTGGCAGGCGCTCGACTCGCGGGAGTACCAGAGAAAAAACGGCAGAAGTCACGAAGAAGGTACCCGAACGCGAGGCCGTTCGCAAAGAGCGAGCAGCATCGCGCGAAGCTTCAGCACCTCCTACAGGCCGTGCTACTCCTAGGGCCGTATCGAAAACACGGGCCCCGGCCGCGTCCAAGGCTCCGGCTTCCTCCACTAGAGCTTCTCGAGCTGCTTCGAGAGCTTCAGCTACCCCCGAGTCCACAGTAGTTAGTGCTTCGACGATAAAGAAGGCTAGTAAAGCAGCAGCAACAAGCAAGGCTGCGAAGCCCGAGCCCAAGGGAAAGAGAAAGATGGGAGTGATTGAGGAGGAGGAAGAAGACTCGGAGCGGAAAGTAACGCCCGATGGCGATATCATGGATACGACAGAGCTCGATCTCGTGGAACCTGTCCAGGCTCGCAAGAAGGCCGAACCTCGGCGCAGAGCCGGCAAGCCTGTCCTTACCAACGAGTCCCAGTCTGGCTCTGAGGAACACTGTACACCCGTCGAGCAGCAAACCGAGCCGCAAGCTGTCGCCACACCTGATCAGCGGTCTATTTCACCCTCTGGCTCCGCCTCATTTTCCGCAAATGCGAAGTCACACCATGCCGAATCCCGCACCCCAAAGCGAATTCGAACTACTTCGCCTGAAATCGAGCGCAAGCCGACTGGTGAATCTCCGGGTACTAGCGCCTCCAAGCCAACCCATCCCCCCACATCCTCCCCGCATGGCCAACAAGATCACAAGCCCGTCGCTGGTGAGCAACAGCCTACCTCCTCCGCCCAGATCGCGCTCGATTCTCCCGCTCTTGGCGTTCTCAGTGGCCATATCCACTCTCCCCAAGCGCCCACCACGCCGCAAAAGAACCCTAAGTCTCATGAGGGAGAGGCTGCTCTAGGAAGGGGTGCCTTTGCTACCACACCTGGATCGGCGCCGGACCTGGCGGTCTATTCACCAGCCATCAGCGACTTTGGGACTCCCCAGGGCGCCTCTACTCCAAAGCACACTGGAAGCCCTGTCACCGCTTTACACAATGGAGCAGAGTTAGCTGCGAAGCCTTCAGCCGCTGCAGATAGCAGTGAGATGAATTCTCTTTTTCACGATGGCCAGACTCTTATTGACGAGGCACCTCAAGATGCTTCCGCTCTCGTCCAAGCTGAAGCTCCAGCAACCGCACTACGCATCGGAGCAGATTCGGCAGCAAGACCCTCCGGCGATGGCGACAAGAGTGAACATCACTCACTATTCCACGACGGCGAAACTGTCCATGGATCGACCCTTGGCGCACCACCAAACGCTTCCGCGGTACACCACGACCAGCCTGCAGTCAGCGCGCTACTATCCAGAGTAGCACCAGCGGTCGCTAGCGAGATAGCTTCCGGGTCTACTTTATTTGAAGGCGATACCGAGGATAGTCCTCTGTTCAAAGCCATGACGGAAGAGGCCGCCAAAGATGGTAGTTGGTGTCACACGGGCACCACGCCGCCTCGCAGCGGCGAGTCTTCATCCACCGCAGATGCTGTAGCAGGATCTGGTTCAAGCATTGAGTCGAACGTTCCTGTTCGGAGTGGAACTTCCCTGAGCCGCCTCGACGCTCTCAAAACCCCTTCAAAACGCCTACAGAGTCCGCTTGGTTCGCAGCCTCCGATGACGAACACTTTCTCGGCAGCCCAAGGGATTGCTACGGCTGCAACACCATCCAGATCGCCTGTTGCTACTCTTCCTCCTAGCGCTTGTGCCGCAGCTTCGAAGCCAGTCGAACCACATATGACACCGTCAAGGCTTCAGGCTCTGGCAACTCCATCTCGCCGTGTCAAGACCCCAGCTGGCCTTCCGAGCGGATGGAACTCTCCCGTCCCAGCAGATGATGCATCAGTGTGGGATTCACCACGATTCGAATCCGGCGCTGCCGCTGCAGCTGAGTCGTCCGAGGGTCCTCGAAAGCGTCAAAAGACTGCGCAGAATCAATCACCCCAGCGCCCCGTTCACGACGCGCCAGCCCAGCCATCTTCGACTCCCCTACAACGCCCACCATTCAAAGTAATCCGCGTCACAAATGGTGGTGATTCGGAAGACATCCACGTCTTCGCCGATGTACTGGCACATTACTCTGCCGTGGCGCGTGATGTGATCACCCGTGACCCTTTCACCCCTGTGCCCATGGAGGCCCAGAACTTCGACAAGCGTACGATCATGCGCTATATCCAGTGCTTTTCACCAAACCCCCGCATCGAGCTGCCGAAGCACGACTGGATGGAGGTCGACGTCGGTACTCCCGGGTCTATCGCCGCGCCTGTCATGGGCACAAAGCGCATCAACACTGGCGATGGCAAGTGCCCTCCGGGATGCGTGAAGTTCCCTGAGCAAACCGCGTACAAGCTCGTGCCGATCGATTGGGATATGGACTCCCTCTGGGACCTTTACTTCCTTGCGTTGTGGCTCCAGAGTCCCTCTGTGTGCGACATGGTTGTCGACCAGTGGATCCAATATGCGAAGGACAGCGACGGACACAAGGAGAAGCTGCAGCATGAGTTCCCAGATTTCACTAGGAGCGGCTTCCGCACCGCGCGCCTTGCTCCTGTCAGGGAGGAGGACAAGCCTACTTTTCACGAGCTGTGGGACACCGACGTCGCGTACATCAACAATCTCTGGGACCCTGAACCGGCTGAGGAGCATGCCCCTGCCTCGCCCGTTCAAGGCCACGGTGCTCGTCATTTCTGGATCCAACTCTTCTTGTCGCACCCCGAGGACGCGAAGAAGTACTTCAAGAAGTACCCCATGTCACACTTCGCCGCAAAGTTCCTTCAAGAATTCGCTCCCTTCGCGTTTGAAGAGCCAGATCGCAACCCCGGTTGGGAAAACCCGAGCAATATGGACCAGAAGGACTACGACGCGTTCCATTGTGACGAATATCACGACCACACCCGCCCCTTCTACCGCGGCGAAGATGGAAGCTCGGTGCTGCAGTTCTGCTACGAGCAGCAGTGGGAAGACTGGTTCAGGCAGATCTCCCCCGAAGAGCGACAAAAGGCGATGCCGAAGGCTGCCCTGCGAGCCAAGAACAAGGACCGACGCGCTCACAAGTTCGCTGTTCGTCATAGGGCGAGGGCCATGAGTGTCTAGAGGCGACGTGTGCGTGTGGAGGTGGGGGGTGAGCATGGCGGTGCTCGTGTCCATGTTTCTCTTTCTTTTTCTTTTTGTGTTCATTACGACTTGAACGTCCCTTTCCTCAGCCACGACTGAGACGATACCCCTTGTGCTTTTTACTTCTTGTTCCGGTAATAACAGAGCTATGACTCTGCAGAGGGCGAGGCTTGCGATGACACCTCGGCCCTAGGATTTGTGTCTTTCTTCCCTTTCTTTTTCTTTCTTCATGTACAACCACCCCTCCGTCCCGTCCCGTCCCCCCTCTCCCTCATCATTCTTCCCTCAAAGACTAACCCTTCCACGCAAAGTGGCGCGCAAGACATTGTAGGTCAGCGAGCTTGCCTTGAACCGCACGCGAGGGGTCGCTTCGGCGGTGCTTACGCCCTGTATGGACTTGGTTTGCTACGCAGATAGCCGTGTCGAACGCGCCACACCGCGTGGAAGGTTACGTCTTTGGGGACGAATGGTGAGGGAGTCTGTGGGGTTGGAGGGTGATGGAGGTGGTGTGTGTGGCGGATTCATTGGCGGATATGTTGATAATGCGAGAATGATAAGTCATTACCGATAAACTTGAATTAGGGACTGTGATGTCTGTGTGAAAGGGCTTGTGACTTGACGTACCGCTGTGAGGGGTGGCCCAGCTAGCAGGTAAGCAGTCAGTCAAAACGTAGCCTGATTTCAACTGCGTCGACCCCGAAGATCGTGACCACGAATCTAGGTCTGCAAAGTTGCACTTTTGCTCAGTCGACATCACTGTGAGGAGGACCCCAACTAGCAGGTATGTAGTCAGTCAAAAGGTAGCCTGATTTGCACTGCGTTAACTCTTATATCGGGACCACGGATTCAGATCTGCAGAGCTGCACTCTTGCGTGCTCGATGCCATTGTAAGGGGTGGTCTAGCTAGTCAGTATTCAGTCAGTCAAAAGGTGACCCAATTTACAACGCATTAATCTTTAAATCCTTCAAGGACTCGTATATCCCACTTCACGGCTTCCACTCTTGCTCGCTCGAAACCACTGTGAGGAGGAGCTCAGCTAGCAGGTACGTAGTCAGTCAAAAGGTAGCCGAATATCCACTGTGTCGACCTTCAGATCGTGATCACGGAGCTAGTTCTGCAGAGCTGTAGTCTTGCTCTCTCGACGGCGCTGTGAGGAGTGGCCCAATCTTTACAGGGTCATTGTATCATTTCCATCTTACTAAATGCCCCAGATATCTGTTAAGATGAGGCACTCACGGTCGATCGGGAAGAGATCAGTCAATCATAGAATCGCTACCAATGCATTCATGCCAGAAGAAGAACAGGGTTTTCCTCGATACCAGCCTAAAACTCCGAGTACCGCACCCAAAAGAAGACCACCTTCACGACTGCTTAGAATTGATCTAGCCCAGAGTCAGCGAAGAGAAGACTAATAAAAGACTATATCTACACCAACTCACCTAGCGTCATGCTCATGGAAACATCGGTATTCTCCACCATCTTCATGAACTCCTCAAAGCTGATCTTGCCGTCGCCGTCGAGATCTGCCTCCATGATGGTCTTGTCTACGATCTGCACCGCTTGTCAGCTTTCAGGCGTCTAGAGGTATCCCATGACCTCTCCTGTGTGCCGAACACATACCTGCTGTAGCTGCTGATCCTTCAAATTGCTCCCCACCATCATCTTCAACACAATGAACAGCTCGCCGTTGCTTATGAACCCATCCCGATCGATATCGTACACCTTGAACGCAAACCTCAGCTTCTCCTCCTTGTTCCCCTTGGCGCTGAACGCGCTGAGGCCGGACACGAACTCCTGGAAGTCGACGTCTCCGCCGCCGTCCTCGTCGAAGATGGCGATCATGCGGGTGGCGAGCGGGTTGGAGGAGACTTGTGGAAGGGCGAGGAACTCGTCACGCTCGATGGTACCGGAGTTGTCCTACGCAATTCAACTATATTAGCCCAAACTCCTCCAAGACGATAGAGACGTATTCAAGAAGTATCACGTACCTTGTCCAGCTTCATAAACCGCTTGCGCAGCCTGTCCACCTCATCGCGATCAACTACACTTCCGTCAGCCTGACATTCTGCACCAGGCACACGCGCGGCGGCAACCACCGCGAGACGGGCGACGCACAATTGGACCCCGAGGCAATATTGTCCAGTATGGCGGAGTTAGCGTTCCCCATCGCGAATAGTACGCCTTTCGGGTGCGGATGCGGTGGTAGGAGGAGGGGAGGGGTCGTCGTCGATTCTCAGCACGTCCATCCCACACCCACTAGCGCGCGATCTTGCCGAAACGTTAATCCGAACCGAGATCGATCGCGAAAGTGAAAGGAAGCTCCATCCGAGGTGCGGATACCTCATATCATCGCCTCCAACATCGAATTGGAGCTGCATACGAAGATGGCTTCCAACGCCCCCATGGAGATCGCCTCAGCGATCCAGTCGGCGTCCATAAACCGCCACCCGGACCCCGCGCACGACATCAATCCCTCGACCGCCGCGAGCCAGAAGCAGCCCGTTACGATATCCTCCTCGCCCGCCGCATCAGACGTCGCGGAAGATGAGATCCCCGTGTCGATACTCAATCCCGTGCCGAGGCGGGCGGCGATGCCGCCGTTGCCGGACATGCGGTTCGAGCAGAGCTATTTGAAGCGGATTGAGAAGGCGGAGAGCTGGCAGGGCGTGCTGTGGATAACGTTTAGAGACGAGGTGGGTTCCGTTCGACGTCTTGGAAGTCTGGAGATTTGACAAACTCATGTGGTTCTGCAGGTTGTGTTCGCTCTAGGACAAGGCATGCTGTGGACCCTCGCGCTGTCCGGATGGAAGCACTGGAATCGCTCGGCCAAGTTCAGTGGTCGTAGCGTAGGCACGCGCCTTCGGAGGTGGTGGTGGGGGGTCAACAACTGGGAAGTGCCGAAGGAGCGGGGCTTGAATGACACGAAGCTTGCGGCAGAAGTGAAGGAGGTGAGTAGGAGCTTCACGAAGGTTTGAAGCGCTAGTCCCTGGGAAGCAAACGAGGTCTAACCTGCGTTATAGTTCTACCAAGGAGAGTTCTCTAGTGCAGCTCAGGATTGAGAGTTGGCAAGGTGTATGATACAGTCGTAAAGGCAGCATTGCAGGCGTTCTCAGAGTCCACCTTCATTCATAGAAAGATAGTATATGATCAGACAGTACCGAACTAAGCTGCTCTTCGGTGGCCTTGAACATCATCAAACCACCAGAATCAGTGGGAAGAGCAGGTTGAGAACTCGGCCTTATCAAGTATCGCCTCTGAAAATGCTGAAAGAACCGTAGATCAGCTCCTAGTCTGTGTTTCACTCGCATCAAGTATGCTTTAGAAGTTCAATGTCACGAGAAAAATAAGGGACTGAAGCAGAGTTGTATTAGCCATAATAGAATAGACTAAGGAAGAGTATGAAACGGCTGGCTCATGCTCAAATCAATGGACAAATATCAGATGAAACGGTCTCTGCCACTCCTTCAATCCTGACACAAACGAATGTCTCGATTGTGAACCACTAAAAGAGTGCCGGTGCTCCTCTCCCGCTATTACACTTGAAACAAAGTGGCCGGAGGTTGACCAAACTGTTCATGCACCGCTCTTTCAGCGCCTTCTCCATTCCCGCCGCAACCACCAAGCTGTAAAATATCTGGCCGTCCTGGTTCAATGTATAGCGGTCGTCAAGGGTTGCGTCAGTAAAGACACTCGGTATGGTTGCGGGATGCTTGATCGGGACAGTGCTGATGGGAAGGGCGGCTCCTTCATTGTCCACGAGGAACCTGAACATTCCAGCCTGGAGCCCATCTTTGTGTTCCTTAGCCGTCTTTATCGCTGCCGTAAGCATGGAAGACTTCTGTCCCTTCCCATATCCTTCAGTCATCTCGAAAACCCGCAAGACCTTTGCAATGGCTTCGCAGTTGCCCTGCATCTTGAGCCCTTGCTGTGGTCGAGTGTGGTCTACAGAAATGTGCTCGAGTGCGAAAATTGTGCCGCAGAAATGACAAGGCAATGCGTCCACTGTCCTCTCCTCCGTCCAGGTATTGACGGCGACCTCCATTGTCTTGGACCGGAGACCGTACATACGTCGGAAAAGCGTGTGGTCCTTGATATCGCGGTATGTTGAGTTGGTCTTTGACAAGGTGTCGATAGCCTTTGCGATGGCGGTTATGTCGTTGATGACTTGCTGGTTCAGAATGGACGTTGCGTTTGGGATCTCCGCATGTCTCCCGCGGTGGATAGTGTATAGGGGAATAGTGAGGGGCTCTTTTAGCAGCGCGAGTTTACTGCTCACAAACGGCAGGTGATTGTTCGAAGATTGTTCCATAATGCAAATGGAGAGTCGGAGGGCGGGTCTGAGAAATGATTGGAGCGCTTAAGAAAGGATGGGTTGACTGGGTCTGGATGATGAGGAACCAAGACGCAGAAGAGACATTTATACATGTAATCACAAGATTTAGGAGGAGAATTGGCATATTGGACGCCCTCAGCGCACCCAGCTAGGGGAGACCTTCGGAGCGGCCCTCAGCGGAGGAGAGAAACATCAGCCAGCCTCTTGAAGCACTCCCCATTCTTTCTCGTGCTATTGAGGAGGACTAGAACTTTCTTCCTATCCAAATTGGGGGAAGCGACGCCTAGAAGGGAAGGCAATGCAGCAAGGATGTAGAATCAGGGTGATGGGCTGGCGGAAATTCCGCTCTCGACTGCAGGCGTTAGCGAAACATACCCCAGACTGGGCCATGCTCCAGCTGCCGAAGCGGCACTCCCGAGCAGGGTGGCTGAGACAGCCGCCCGGAGGTCCGGATCCGGGAGCTTGGCTGCATCGTCGTCCCCACCTGTTCATGATTTCAGGTCTAGATCTTGGTCCTATGCATGCTTCTGAGGTACTCTGCAGCTAGTTTCGAGGCGCTATTCATACTTCAGCTCAGCCATCATTCAGAAAAGTATCATCGTTCGCGTAGTCCGGACTTCACTTCCAGATGAACTACATTAGAATTCAGCTCTAGATGCTCTAGATTTAGCAAATTGGTATCCTACTTTAGTATAGCATCAAGCTGAGCTCTCCACCATTTGCTTCTGCGCGACGTCCGAGTCTTATCAGAGTTTCATGTCTCTTCTTCCCTCGAATACGCTTTCCCGAATTCTCTTCTCAGTCAGAAGGAAACTTTTCGGGAACCAGTCGATCTCATCCGGAGCACCTCCGGATAAAAGGTGTGTTAGGGCATCCGCCGACTTGAAGCACAGAACCATCCCTACGAATACATGCATCAGCAGAGCTATGATAAGCAGCACAGAGGAAAACTGATCACGTACCATGCCCATTGAACCCAGCACTCAACCACAACCCCTTCTTTCCAGGCATTTCCCCAACGAACGGAACGCCGTCCGTGGTCGCACCCATAATGCCTGTCCACTCCTGCACAATTCTCTCCTTCCCACCCTCCCCTTGCTCGCCCCAGTTCCTCTCCCCAAAAAACCCTTTTGCCGTCTCTTTTAAATATCTCGACGTCTCCGGATTTAAGATACTATCATCACACGTCCCAAACTCACTCGCGCCATCATTAGGTAACCTCCCTAGCCCCCCTCCAATTACGATATGTTGGCCTTCTGGCGTCGTAGGGACGGGGCGCGGTATCATATACTCGTACCCATTCCTATAAATAAACGAGTACGTCGTCGGCAACAACGTTGGTAACCTCGCCTTCGGACCAGGTCGCTGCGCAGTGATCTGACCGCGCAATGGAACAATTCTCCCCTGCATCTCTGGCAGGAGATTCGCTGTATACCCATTCGTCGTAACAACCACATTCTTCGCCCTGACAGCGCCACGCGCAGTGCGGATCTCCCACGTGAACCCATCTTTCGCGTCCGGAACGGGTTTGATGTCCGAAGCAGGCGTATGCGTGAACAATCCCATTCCTTTCTCAACACACAACCCCAGCACCCCCGTCACGAACTTATACGCGCTCAGCCTGCCCGCGAGGTACGACAGCGCGCCGACAACCTCTTCTTTCCCCTTCACGGCCTCACTCTCATTCTCGCCCGCGACGTAGAACTTCTCCATCGCCTCTTCCTTACTCCAGATCTTGTAGGCGCCTACACCGCCCTCCTCCCGCTCTTCGGGCCTGACGTCCGCCTCGATCATCTTCACAGCCACGACGGCCTGCTTGAAGGTCGCGGGGTCGTAGATGATATCCACGGTCTCACAGAGCGCGTTTTCGCAGTCGATACCTTGCTCTTTCGCGAATGCGTGGGTCGCGAGGATGTTGGCGTGCTCGAGCCTTGCGATGCGGAGTGCTTCGGCTTTGCCTAGTTCGGAAGCATGTGTGGCGTAGGTGCGGTAGGAGGCGGCTTTTGTGTGGCCGCCGTTGCGGCCGGAGGCGCCGCCACAAGCTGTGCGGGCTTCGAGCATGAGGGTTGATTGGGATGGGTGCGCAGAGAGGAGGTTCCAAGCTACCATGGCGCCGCTGATGCCGCTGCCGATTATGACTGTGTCTATGGTCTCTGGAAGGGTCTTCGCGCTGAGATGATTTGCAAGTGGGGAGAGGGGAGTGTGCCAGTACGAGGCTGTGGGGTTGGGATGAGGCGGGGAGACGGGGATGCGGGCGCGGGCTTCCATGGTGTAGGCTGGACAGGAGGGAGAGGTTTTGAGTGTGAGGATAGAAGTGGCTTGTGATTGATCTTTCTGAGTATGTGAAAGTCGAAGTTTGAAGGAAGCGACACCAGGAAAACGAATCAAGAGTAGCAGTCAAGGAAAAGCAAACCAGGAAAGCTCTAGACACTTGATACTTGAGGTAGGTACCTTTCTAGATTCTTTCGTTGAGGGCAAGTCGTTTATATAGCCGCCGTATGTGTTGACGTTCGTGGTCCACTAAGACGTAGAACTAGATAAGAAGCGCCGGCTGTACCTCCCTTGTATGGATACCGTCCCGCTGTCATACGAAACAGCGCTGAAGAGCTGCATATAGGGCCATTTTGTAATGTTTAGCAGTTTACTGTCTCCAGTATGAATAGTCGTGACCTTCCTAGAAAGGCAAGAAATGTAGTTGGGCAATGATGATCCTTGCTCTCTCTCAAGCATCGCTTCCGATGTTACCTACGAACTTTCCCTCGACTCCAGTGGCAATATATAAATTGAACTCAAAGTTGTGACCTCGGTTTGGCAAGTATCAAAAGATATCAACCATGGAGAATCCGTACGAAGTATAAGCAGTTCTCCTGCTGAAAGATTCATTGATCACGTGCCAATAGTAAGGAAAGTCACGTGAAGGAATCAATATTGACTATGTCTGATGTCTGCTGCCACTGAATAAGTACATGAATTATGTTTGCAAGTATATCGTAGCCTACTAAAAACAACATTGAATCGTACCTTGTCTACAGGTAGCATCACAAATTGGTGCTGTAGGTATGAAGCAGACAACATAACAATCTCAACTCCTGGAGAGCAACCCAACGATGGAAAAGACCAGGCAGATTTCAGGATTATGACCAGTATTAGGCTTCAATATGTTAAGTATATGGCCCAGGCAACGAGGTGTACATGACTTCGATCTGTGCTGTGCAGAAAGAGGCTTGGGTGTCAGCCTCGTTTTCAATTCCGGTTTAGGAATAGCGGGAAACGCCGGAAAGCAAGCCGCAGCTCCTCCCGACTCGTCATGCCCTGATGTCCATTAACCATCATCCGCACCCACAGCAGCTCCTCCGCATCTCTATCCACGCGACCTCCGCCCCCCGTGCCAGCACCATAAGACGTCTATCTTCTCGTCACCCCTTTAGGCCGTCTTCCTCCTCCTTAGTCTCCTTCACCCGCGGCCCCATCTTCCGTCTCGGAGCTTATCCCCATATCCGCAACCATGCGGCTTCACACATCGTCTTCGTCCACCTCCTCCTCGACACCCCCATCGCATCTCTCATTAGCCTCTCTATCAGCGCTCTTTCTGGCACTACCAGCTCTTGTGTCGGCGAGTCTCGACTGCCACGACGTCGGGGCTAAGGGGAAGCACTTCGACCTCTCCCCACTAGGCGGCCCTCACCAAGTACACTGGAGGAGGGAATTAACGGAAGCGCCGGGACTCTTCTTCAACACTACGTTCACGATCGATATCTGCAATAAGCTCAAATGGACCAAGGGCGGAAATAAGGACGAGGAATGTCCGCACGGGACACGGAGTGAGTCGTTCCACATGCTTCGAAATAAATCCCGTCATTGGTATGATTCGGCGGTTCCTGATGCCTGATATCAGGCCCTAAAAGACCGTTCGGTGGATGCTTGCCAATGTGAAGTTCAGAGTTACAACGCTAATACATCCGTGCAATAGTATGCGGTGTCGAACGACGAGAAGTCTCGGCCAACGCGACAGAATTTGTGCGAGCTATCCCTATCGCTGGCGACTACAAGTTGCAAAACGGCCGAGACATCAATGCTCAGTGGACACTACTCCGTGACTCAAAGTCCAACCACGACACAAACATGGAGGGCCTGCGAGGCGAGTTACATGGAGGGAAATATCCCTTCGCCGGCAAGAAGGGGATCGATCAGCAAGCCATTGTTGAATTCATCTGCGACAACGACAGGACAGGTCTCGAAGGCGATGAAACGGATGATTCGGATAAAGAGGAGGACGACGAGGATAAGGTCAGGCGGAATGATGACGAGGACGGGGACAGCAAGAAGGGCCGCAGTCTGCAGTTCTGGAAGTATGAGGAAGAAGAACAGGACAAGGGGAAGAAAGTCGGAGTTCTTCGACTGCAGTGGCGGACCAAGTACGCGTGCGAGGATGCTAAAGCAGAGCCCGGATCATCTAGCGGCTGGGGTTTCTTTACCTGGTTTATCATCATGTGAGTACTTCTCCACCCCGGGCCGCCCAGGAGATGGAAGCGAGCCGTGCTAATCGCCCCCACAGTCTTTTCCTCGTCATAGCCTCCTACCTCATCTTTGGCTCTTGGCTCAACTACAACCGCTATGGCGCGCGCGGATGGGACCTCCTACCCCACGGCGACACCATCCGAGACGTCCCCTACATTCTCAAAGACTGGGCCCGGCGAGTCGCAAACACACTCCAGGGCCCGGGTAGCCGCGGAGGCTACAGCGCCGTGTGATCACCATCTCCTTCCACCTTTGCATTTCGTACTTGGCGTTGGGTAGGTTAGGTAGGCTTCCAAATTCGACCTGTGTCATAAATACATATCCGTGTTCATATCTTGCAAGCGTTTAGAAGTGGGCTTCGTTCATCCACAATATGTCACGTGGGCATAACTATAAAGTCTCCGTTTTCTTCCCCGAGGTGTTGAAAGTTCTATTCTAGTGCTGAAGTTGTTGCGCTTTGCCGTTGTTGCTGTTGTACATCTATCGTTATACATGCTCTTCATCGAAAACCCTCCCGTCTGTCAGAAATCAAATGCCAAAAGAACAAGGAAAAAAGAAAGAAAAGAAAAAAAAAGCATCCACACCAAACCCTTGTCAAGCAGGAAAAAAAAAGCTCTAGTATACCTTTCCCATCCATCCCGTCCCGGTTCCCAGTCTTGCATGCAAAAGAAACTCCTGAAAATGCCCGGTTCATGCCAATCGCTATGCTTGTCGGACCTATGAAAACGGTCTCTATCTCTCGCGTTTCCCTTTTTTCCTTAGGTCGTCATGTCACGTGCCTTGTCTTCGCTACTTGCCCTTTCCGCCACCGCTGGAGCTCCCGCCGCTGCCTCTGACGGTTGTGCCGTCGGGCATGCGGAAGGGGAATGGGGCGTACGGGAGGTGATATGCGGGATTGCCGCCGGACTGCGTGGTGCTGCCCGTCGGGCCTGAGGTGCCGGTGTTTCCGGGAGATGAAGAGCTGGAAGAAGACATGCTTGCTGGGTTTAAGGTTTGCGTTTCCTGAGTTACGGGGTTGGCTCCTGATGTCGATGTGGGGGTGCTGGCGCCGGTCGAAGTGGTAGTCGAGCTTGAGGCTGTGGCTGATGATGGCGCGGAGGCGAAAGGCCCTTCGGTCGGTGGCTGGAGAAGAGTTGGGTTGCGGGCTGTAGGCGGCTCTGGCTGAGAGCTGGGGATGCTCGTGGGCTGGCTAGGGTCTTGAGGCTCGCTGGTGGCTGGTGATGCTGGCTCTGGCGTGTGAGTTGATCCGAGGACGACTACTGGGGTAGTGCTGGTTTGTTGGGTATGCGTTTGCTCGTTCGGATCGCTGGTGGTGTTTGAACTGTCTTGATGGCTAGGTGTGGATGCTTTGTTGGAAGGTTCGTTATCGCTCATGAAAGGTAAAAAGTGTCGTCGAATGCTAACGTCCTCAGCGAAATAGATACTCTGGTGCAGCTATCAAAAGCCGATATGGTGCTTGTCGAATATCCGAATCGAAGAGAATGTTAAGGTGATGAGGTTGGGAAATACGGTGAGTTCCTTTCTCTCTCTCGGATGGCTGGATGTCGGGTAGTGGGGCTGGTGTTTTGCTGGTGCTGATTGCTGATGTTCGAGGATAAGGTACCCGACACCGCGTCTCCCGTCCCGTCTTATATACCGCTCCGACGCTCGCCCACCCCCATCCCCAGCGACCCAGCTTCTCGGCGACCCGCTACCCGGCTCACGTCGCTGCACGACGCACGCGTGGACGCACGGTTTCCGTCCCGCTGCCACGCGACAGACGAACCCAACCGCAAGGCTCCTGGGTCCGTTTCGTGTGTGTGTGCCTAGGCGTATACTATTTTCTCCCCAACGTTCCCAGACTTAGAAAAGCGGGAGCCTTAAAAAAGAAGAGCTATCAAGACCCGAAAGCGTTTGCTCGTAACAGGAAAAAATAATGAAAGAAAAAAAAAAAAACCGTGCCCTCCCCCGCCGTAGGTTGCCCAACTAACGGCGCCTTGAAGCGGTTTCCCGGAAGCTCGTGGAGAGCGAAATGCTAAACGGGGGTTGGCTTGCTGCACGTTTCTGGCGCCGCCGAGAATAGTAGAGCAGGAAGCAGGAATGGGGGATGGGTGCGAGACGGGCTCAGAATATCTGGCGAAAGGATGGGGACAGTAAGCAGGATGAGAGGGACGTAATCGACTGCCAGCGCCAGCGCGGGCACCGTGCGGCGTGACGAGAGAGGAAGGCTTCTGGAAGGGTGGTGCGGGTTGCTGGGGGGTTGCAGTAGCGTTGAAGAATGGAGGGACGCTAGAAGATGCACGGAAGGGCGCTAGAAGGCGCGTGGAAGGGCGGGAGAAGGAGTGGGTGCGTGAATGGGGGCTGAGATCGGTTTGGTATCACAAGGGGACTGTGCGGCGACGACGGTTGGGTTGGTGGGTTGGTGGTTCTAAGAGTGGGTACCATGGGTGTGTCAAGACGCTAAAAGAGGGCTAGAGCTGCACGAGTAGATGTCAGTTGCGGCAGGTGGGTGGGTTGCTGGTGCAGGACTGGTCAGGTGGGTGGACGCGGTGCGGTGTGGCCCGACTGACCTACGTCAAAGCTAAGAGGAGGGGTGTGGTGAGGGTTGAGGACGAGGAGTGGCTGCTGTGGCCTGGTAGGACGGCTGCAGATGCGAGGCGAAACCGATGCTCGTGGATCCCGGCTCTGGCTGGGGCAACGGGAACGCCGTTTCTGTCAGATTCGCGTAACCTGGCGCCCGGGACTCGGATGGGGGACGTGGTGGTGTGGAGGCCTGGCTGCTGGCCCCGAACGAGGTCGCCGACACGGGGAGTAGGCAGGCCGAACCGGCGGCCGCTGATGTCTGTGGAGGGTGGGCGCCGTATGCCGGTGAGAGGATGCGAGGGAGTGTAGTGGTGGCTAGAGGAACCGAGGGGGCGGATGGTGCGTCGCCGATCTGGAGACAAGGACACCGTGGGTGACTGCAGGTAGGTTGTCAGATGCTTATAGGAGCCGCATGGATGCTGTGTAATGGACGGCTTTCTTGGCCAGGGAAGTGGCCGGGCAAGAGGTGGACACGAATATGTATTTGATGGGGATGGGATGGGGCGTTCTGATATGTATGTATGTAGGTCACGGAGGCGACGTGGGGGATGGGCTCGGGTGAGAGCGAACGGCGAGCAAGCTGAAGGAAATTGTCATGTCTCAAGCTCTGGGTAGGTGGTAATAGGCATGGGATGGGTTCTCGTATAGCAGCTAGTTACATGTGAGGGCAGCATTAGGGGATTTGCGGGAAGGGCTATGATGGGGGAAGGAGATGACAGTTCTCTGAGCAAGCAGTGAGCACACTGCAATGATTGTTCGCGACAGCGGCTTGATGGGAGTCTGGAGCTCGTTAGCGAGGGCTCAAGAAGCGAACGAGTCGTGCGGAGGGGTGATTGAAGATATATTTGGCATGCTTTGAATTGGAATTTAGCGGCAGCAACGCCTTCAGGGAAGCTAGTGTACTTCGTAGTTCGAGGGAGCGACGGGGTGATCCGATACGAAGTGTCTCTTCTGCCCTTGGCCTTGCTCCGGCGTCGTTACTAGCTACAACGTTTACCAAGACAGGGAAGGTTCTAGCGGGCGGTAGAATCAATCGTCATCCCGACATATCTAAGCGTCGGCAGTGTTATACTAGAACTACCAGGAACTGTCATCTTCAGCAACAAGCGGGCGTTGGCCTTCGGCGCGCTTCTCTCTGCTCGACAATCGACGTCGTTCGAAAGGTGCACGATTGCCCCCCCGCGCACAGACGGCCCCGATTAGTGTGCGCTAGCGTCCCCGATCTCTATTTTTAAGCGCTTCGGCTGGCACGTTGCCCATTCCGCCGGTTTACTCAGCACTCACCAGATTCACCACCATAATTGCCCACCCTAAATTAACGACTGCTTGTGTGATAGGCTGCCGGTGGGCGTGTGAGGTCATGAGAGCCCGGACACGGCTCCCCATTGTGGAGGGGACCGTTGTGTGCCCGTTATCGAGGGCGCGCGCGCGGACACGGGAGTTAAACTTGGGACATGGGCGTTCTTTTTCCTGGGGTTGGCTGCCGGAGCATTATTCCTGGGACTTTGTAAGCGGACGAGCAGCGATGGGATTGGTGGGGAGAGGATGAATTCAATAGATTAGTTGGTGCGTGCTTTTGCGAGCCCGCTTATGGTCGACCTCGTCCTCTCATCTTGTGGGTATACAAGTATGCCAGCCCTGCTAGCCGGTTAGCGAGGGCGAGGGAGTGCTAGGGCTGGGATACCCGTCGGTGGTGCGAGCGAGACATGTGATGATGAGGCTGACACCCGGCTTTCAGCCTCAAGAGAGTGGCGGGTTGGGGCCGAAATAGCTTCTCGAAGACTGCTGCTTTGGGACATGGGCTGATGTGAGACAGGAGCTGTTCATTGGAGGAGATAGCGTCTGTATACATGCATGTACGTATGTGGGTATGTCTGTATACGTGGGCACGCATGTGGTCAGATCTCTGTTATCCAAATGGGAAATGCTCGCTCGAGAGCAGCTGGCTGCGGCAACGCTGTGAATCAGTTCCCCCACGTGGCATTTTGTTCGGAAAACAAAAGCCAAGCCAGCGCTGGCACACTGGCAACAACTCGAGCTGAATTCCAAAAATCGAGATCGAATGCCGACCTCCCGACGTCGAATTCCAATTCTGGTATGACCCGGAAGTCTCTGGAGTATCTTGCCGTGGTGGGGGCTGTGCATTAGCGATTACAAAATCAAGCACAAATGCGCATAATTAGCCTCCCTGGACCGTCTGCATGATGCTAAAAACTCAAACAATCCAAATCGAACTTCGAAATGCTGACAAAGTCTAATGGCCGAGTAAAATGCTGCGAAAGAAGCCAGCGGTCAAAGAGAGCGATCGGCAAAAAAAGGCTTCGCTTCCCTTCCCCTCTCTCACGTAGTCGTTGTAGTTATTCTTGGCTTTGTGAACGCGTTTTGATGCACGCCGCCCGATATGGATTCGCGAGGTTCTAATCTGATCGAGAAATATGTCTGTGCGTACGTGGTTGCGATGTCATCACCGTCGTGGCTTACTTGGTGATGGAAAGTCTCAGGTAGACCCCTCGTGCTGCTCTTCGCGGGCGATGGACACGTCGCACAGTCAGATAATCAACGGCCACATTCCGCGCGGCCCTTTCCGCAGTCCCCTCACCACGTCACTTATACCTCCAGCCACAACCTGCATCCAGCCCGGCTATCTCGGTAGAGTCGCTAAGGCCGTAGCCATCGCTTGTTACGCGGCCCGTCTCCCGCTTACTCACAACCAGGCTTGGCTTATATATACTATAGTCACTGAGTACAGAGCCATTATGTGAAGCTTTGAAACGACTATCTACACTCTTTCCTACCCCATTAAGAAGTCTTGGTTATATTTATATCGCACTTAAAAGGAAGCAAATGGCACGAGTCAAGAGCCGCTCTAGTCCGAGAATCGGCTACGTCGAACTATCCGATCGGCGTTTTTGTTTGTTGCTGAAGACGTACGCCCCACCACCTGCGATTCCCAAAGTGCCCAAGGCCACGAAAGAAAAAAGTGCCCAAACCTCAAGTGCTTCGTGTTTCGGTTTCTTCCGTAGACGCAAAGACAGCAAAGATGGCTGAGCAGAATATCGCCGCACTCCTCCCTGCCCCGTCTACTCCGCTTTCGTTGACCGCAGTACCGACTCCTGCTCCTGAGAAGGGCGAGGTGCTGATCAAAAACTACTGCATCGCCATCCAGCCGCTCGATGCCAAGATCCTCCACGCCGGCTACACCGGCGCTGGGAACTTGCAATCATTCCCTGCGGTTCTTGGAACTAGTCTTGCCGGCGTGGTTGAGGCTGTCGGCGAAGGCGTAGAGGGATTCAAAGCAGGTGACCGAGTAGTAGCGGACACCGGAGCGTATTCAGGGGTCCCAGAGAAGAACCTCCGACAGGGATGCTGGCAGAAGTATGTGATTGCGGGTGCGAAGTCAGTGGCGAAGGTACGTGAAGCTTCACGAGTCCTAGATCGGAAGTGTACTGATGGCGATATAGATCGGTGATGCGTCGTTCGAGCAGGCGGTGTTGGTAGACTTCCCGCTGCAGACTGCTGTTGCGGCGTTGCACAACTTCCTCGGGATGGGGAAGCCAGGAACGGGCTCTGCGGATGAGAAGGTGTTGATTTGGGGCGCTGGTGGTGCGGTAGGGTCATATGCGGTTCAATACGCTAAGAGTGTGAGTGAAATCTTTCGCCACCCTGAGGCCTCTCAATGGCCACTGATCCCATTCAGGTCGGCCACACAGTCATTGTCACGGCCTCTGCCCGTGATACTGACCGTCAGAAGTCTCTCGGCGCCTCCGCAGTCCTGGACTACAAAAGCCCAGACATCGTGGAGCAACTCCGCCCACACGGGCCATTCAGGTATCTCTTTACAGGGAGCGGAGACCCAGCCTCCCAGAAAGCTCTCGCCGCGCTCCTCCAACCTGCTGGCGGATCTTTTGCATCCGTTCTTGGTGGGGATGTTGAGTTGCCCGAGAACGTAACCCGCGTTTACTTACCATTCTCGCAAGTGAGTCAAAAGGAAGAGCATGCGGTGTTTAGAGACTGGTGGTATGGGGACTATCTGCCAAAGGTATTGACGGAGGGACTAGTGCAGCCTGTCAAGTTTGAGAAGAGGGAGGGTGGGCTGGGAGCATTGTGGGGAGCAACCAAGGAAGTTTTTGAAGGGAAGATTAGGGGTAAAGTGGTTTTGAATCCGCAGGACTGAGCTTGGATATTTCAGAAGCGAGACACAAATGGGTATTGTGAAATCTACAATACGGCTCCACGCTTCTAGGTAACTTCTATTTGATCTTATGCTTGAACTTGTCAATCGTCCGCCTCGAAATTTCGTGCGTGAGGGTCGAGCCTTCGGAATTGAAGCCGATCAGAAAGTGACTCTCATAAACTGACTTGGCCACCAAACATCCACGCCCAACTGCCACGCAACCTTCAACACCCACTCTGATTCCCTCATGAACTGCCTAGCGACGAAAATAACATCGGCCAGGGGCTGTTTGCCGTCCTTGGCATCGGTCGCCTCCTTTGCGGCCTCAGCTTCCTCGCGGATACTGTTCTCGAGCTGGGCGACGGCGCCGTTCTGCTCGACGATGCGTTTCGCCTGCTCCGCTTCCGTGATCATGCCAACAGCGCCGATGAGAAGCTTCAAATTATCGGCATGCACGGCTTTCCTGATACGGTCGGCTATCTCGACCTGGTAGTTCTTGGCGTTAAAACCGTCGATACGTTGGTCGGGATGGTTGCCGCCGCTGCTGACGTCCAATAAGTCGACGCCCAGAGCAGGGAGCTGTTTGGCCACCTTGATCGTCGATTCAACCACCCAAGATCCTAGTTTCTTGCCTAAATCGGTGTCTTCCAAATATTCGGTTGATGAAATGCGAACAAAGAGCGGCGTGCTCGCCGGAATGACGTTCCGGATAGCTTTGATCACTTCAAAAAGAAGTCTTGTCCTATTCTCGAAACTACCGCCGTATTCATCCGTTCGTCGGTTAGAGATTGGCGACAGGAACTGGTGTATAAGGTATCCATGTGCAGCATGAATCTCAATCACGTCAACTCCAGCCTTCACACTCCTCTCTGCTGCCGTTGCAAAAGCCTGCACAACCTCCCTAACCTCTTGGGTCGTCAAGGCCTTGGGAGGCCAGAATCTGTTCTGCTCGCTATCGTAAATCCCATCCCAGACTTGATCTAGTCCGCCGGAAGGGCCTTTCACGTCGTCCGGCCAACCGCCAATATCTTTGTCGGCACGCTTGGATCTTGGGCCGTCGACTGTCGCTAGCCAAGGTGCGGCGGTACTACTCTTGCGGCCAGCGTGCGCCAGTTGTATGCCTACGAGAGCACCTTGGGACTTGACAAAGTCGGCAACTCGCTTCAAGCCGGCGATCTGCGCATCATCCCACAGGCCGGGACAATTTGGTGAAATCCGCCCGTTGGGCTGGACAGCTGTGGCTTCAACGAAAACTAGAGCCGCTCCTTTGATGGCATAATGGCCCAGTGTCGCAACATGCCAGTCCGTTAGAGCACCAATTTTAGGTCCAGATGGCGCTGCAGAGTACTGGCACATCGGTGAGACGACGAAGCGGTTGCGGAGAGTCGCGTTGCGAATTTGGAGGGGTGTGAATAGCGTGGGCGTTTTCGATGAGAGCTCCTTTGGAGTGCCGGGTGAGTGTACATGTTGGGGGGTGAAATAGGGTATGCCCGGTACCGGGGTGTTGAGATTGGTTGGAGCCATTGCGGTGATCAATTGCCTTACTTGGACGATTTAAAGAAAGGGGAGGTACTCTTGTACGCGGCGTGACTGCGATTCCGATATGGGAATTTATAGGAAGACGTCCGCGTTCTCTCACCATTAATAATGCTAGATGTCGTGATCTCCGGTTCCGGTGCCGGTTCCGCTGATCTACGCGACATCGGCCTCGTAAGTGGGTGGAGAGGCGAGCCTAACGAGGTTGCAGACTATGATAGTTGTTTGCGTCGACTACTGTGCCTATTAAATGAGTTGATTCGTAGATGTGAGGGTTAGCGGGCCACACTTGTAGCCAAGCTGACGGAAACTATCCTGGGTGGTTTAGATGATGTCTCCATTGAGCTGTTCAAAGTTAGGATATAATAAAGCTAGGTTATAGTAGTACTGGTGCGTAGACAGTGAGACGAGTTGCCGGATTGTCCGATATGCCTTCTATATGATTAGCACTCTACTTCGTGTTGTAGGGGAGAGTTATCCGTGACCCCTTTAGACTGGCTTACAGAATCTGCATCACGTGACCGTAGACGCAGTGGTATTTTCTATCTAGGGAGAATACGGCCAGCCCCTAGACCCTATCACTCTAACCACAAACCTTATGAAAACGACTTTAACTAATGGAGGGTGTCTATTATAAAAGAATTCGAAAGGCAGAATTCCCATCTTCCGCATCGAGCTTAGTGGCTGCCTTGTCGACTCAACCTCATGCACTCATCGTGTCCCTCATCTCGCGATACTTCCCCCTCAAACGACCCAGCACAAGCTAATATATATAACGGTTGATTAAATATCTGCTAAACAGGTTACCGGCTAGCCCCCCACTTAGCAAAAACCCATCCCAGCAATTAGGCCTCACGCCGCCGCAATGTGGCTCATCAACACAACCACTCTCAAGCTAGAGTTCTTCGTCAATCCCGAGAAAGCGTCCTACGCCATTCTATCACACACGTGGGGAGATGAGGAAGTCATATTCCAAGAATTACAGAGTCTTGACAAGGCAAGCTCCCAGAAGAAGGGGTTCGCCAAAATCGTGCGAATCTGTGAAAAAGCTCGCCAGGAAGGCCTTCAGTATGCTTGGGTGGATACTTGCTGTATCGACAAATCAAGTAGCGCTGAGCTATCTGAGGCCATCAACTCGATGTTTGCATGGTATAAAGACTCAGCTGTTTGTCTGGCGTATTTGGAGGATCTCCCGACTGAAGTTGGTTTCGAAGAGGGTTTTCATTCCTGTAGATGGCTTAGCAGAGGCTGGACTCTCCAGGAACTTATTGCACCTCAGAATATGGAGTTCTATGATCAGGCCTGGACCAAACGGACAACCAAAAGAGCTTCGACAAAACTTCTGGCGAAGGTGACTGGGGTCCAGGAAGCGGTGCTAGCAGACAGCACGAACTTAACGTCTCTATCTGTTGCACAGCGAATGTCATGGGTTTCTCGACGTCAGACTACACGAGCCGAGGATATTGCATACTGTATGCTAGGCATATTCGACATCCACATACCTCTGATATACGGTGAGGGCGAGAAAGCATTCATGCGACTGCAAGAAGAGATTGCAAAGCAGACTTGCGATCTGTCACTCTTTGCGTGGGCCGCGCCGCCACCTGAGCCTTCCAGCGATCCCCATAACTTTCGGGGAATATTTGCCAAGTCACCTGCAGAGTTCATCGACTGTTATAAAATGGCGCCTATGAATAAGATTGTCCCTTACAAAGAATTCACCATTACGAATCGAGGATTGCAAATTGAAGCAACACTGGTACGCCTGCTGTCCAGCTCCTCTTTCAACGACCTTGTGTTCAATCTTGGTGTTTCCTATCATGATAAACATACGTTGCCAGGCCGCGAAGGCTGGATAGGCATATACGTCCGGAAATCGATTCACGGATATGTTCGAGTGTGGTCACATCTACTGTGCATGTCCGCCCATCACGATAGAGCACGCTGTCCTCGGGCGATGCTACACATTCGCAAGACAATAAGCCAACATGACATCCAAACGCTTCGAACCCAATACTTGCGCGCCATACGATTTCTAGCTCTGCCGCCTGACATTAGCATAGCTCAGATCCAACCTCTCGATTTGTGGGATAATCAGAAAGCACTGCTCTTGGATCCTGGATCTGGCCTCAACGCTTACTGTGTCTTTACTGTGTCGGCTAGCCCATACCACACAGAATTCAGTGCAGTACTAGCTTGTTCCACCATGAGCTTTCCAACCGCAGTAGTGATGTGGAGCCAACAAGATGAGGGGTGGAATAGAATACGCGCTTTCCTGAGCCGAGCTAAGGAGGTTACAGACTATGTTTGTGTCGACTACCTAAGAAGAGACTTTGTTCCATTAAGAAGTTGGAACGAGTCAACAGCAACATGTAATTTCGTAGATACGAGAACGGGCTGTCAGGTTACACTTGAAGCTAAGCTGAGCAAGACTGTCGTGGAGGGCTCAGATGGGTTCTTGGTGGATCTGTCTAAACGTACCGTGATGAATACGGAGTAGGAGACGAAAGCAGCTCTTACTGGACCCGCTACTGGAGGGAGCATTTTACCCTTCTGGTACGCAACGATTCTAATGCGGAATTGAAAACTTCCATATCAAGTTCAGTGGCTGCCTTCAACTTCAATTCGCCCGTCACGCATATACTAGCTCCCATACCAAGGAGTGATTCTCGGTAATATGGCCCCTTTCCTCCTCGCCTCACTTCGCTGATGCTCCCGTCTGGTTCCAATACGAAGATTGTAAATCCTGGCTTCATCCTTAGTGGACCACCGAAACAGCGCACCGTCGTGCTAAAGAGATTCAGCAATTGGAAAGGACCGCAATTGGCTACGCTTCAGACGAGACGAAACGGCGTTGTTCACAGTAAAGTTACGGAAATTGGAAAGTACTACGATTCGCTATTCTCTAGCGGAGTGGGGTGTTCGGTTCGACGGTGAGGTGGCCAAGGTGTCGGTGGAGAGGACTAGAGATGCGACGACAGAGATGGCGGTAGTATGCGATTGAAAGGTGAAAGGCATTAAGAAGAAACTTCAGGATGGTGCAGGTGAGGCGCGCGCAACACGTGGTGGCGAGCGTTTGTTAGGATCTCAGATTTTCAGGGTCCAGCCTCAAACGATGCGTTATATTTCTATTATTTTTGAGCACCACCCGTACTAGCAAACAGTGACAAACGTAGCCACTCAGCGATCCCGTAAAAAATTGCGATTCTACAGTGTAGTAGCGCGTGGTTTTGTTTTGCCATTTCGTTTTAGAGTTCGATTTTGGCTGGGAACATGAGGTTGCTTTTTTGCAACTTTCCTTTTTTTTGTGTTTGGATCCAGCTTCCGAGGCACCGTCCTTCATTTACAGCCTTGACGTGGCTAAAAGCTGCAAGACGTGGGTATTTGTACATCATCGATAACATAGAGGATTTAATCCTAGTTGCCCCATTACATCACAAGGGTTGGCTAGTCCGGAAACATTGCTCAAAGCCTTAGGAAAAGCTGGAAGTAAGGTAGAACTAAAATAATTTGGCGATGATATAACGTGACGAGTGAGCCATCTATATCCTGTCAACACTCGAAATCCTCCATTAACCATGTTCAAATAAAATCAAATACCATCTGTGACTACATAATCAAAGATGTCTCTAAGGATTGGCAATGTGTTAAAGAGATCACAGGATGAGAGTATGAGTAGCGATTTTACTGGCTGTGAGCACGACAAGAGAAGGTTGCCATCCAAACTCTGCGCTCATTTCACACGTCAAGAGTCAATTCACTACATTAGGAGTTCCAGGTACAGTAAGCTACGTGATACAGGGGGTGCAGCCGAGTGGAACAAGTGCATAGAAAGGTGAGAGGTATCCACTCTCAGTTGGATCTCGCCCGTTGTTGATTTGCAGGCCGTAGCGTCTGAACATTAATAGAAGGCGAACAGCCATAATATACAAGCGCCAGGTTTGGTACCAGCTTGCTTGCTGTAGGTCATTGTCATAATCCAACAACCGTTATCCATCTATTTTAATTACATATCCTTGCCAAATCTCTCAATCCAGCCATGTCAGTCTGTCTCGCAACTAAGCCGATTTTCGCCAGCAAGCCCAGTATCCTATATCCTTGTACTCCCTCAAACCTTTGCCAAAAACTTAGAATAGGGTTGTCAATATTCTTACCCCACTCAAGCACACTGTCATGACGGTTGAGTACATAATCGCCTTATCCGCATTCAAAAATTGCGTACTCGTCAGCACAAATGTAGCCTACAGATATATCCCTACAGCAAGGGATTCAATGATCGCCTCATACCAGCGCCAGCTGTGCAGCCCGAAGTTCGATGGCATCGTGATGGTAGTCCTAATGAAAGAGCTGTCGTAAGACGCAATGGTGTCGCTATGCTGGAAGTCTGGCATGGGTAGACGGTGATGAACTTGGCTATGAGCCAGGTTGGAGGCTGCGTTCCTTGTATCCACGGACTGGAATCTAGGCGTACTTTTATCATGGTTCGCAACATCGACCGTGGGGAGGGTTGAGATGTTGCTTATGCGAAGAGGTGCCTGTTTTGGTGCGAAGCTATAGGGGAGGCATATGAGACCCCAAATGTTGTGGTCTAGCTTCTGACTATAGCCGTCGTAGATTTCGATGGATTCTTTCATCAGAAGGACAAGTCCGACAGCAATGAGAAGCCAAACCATGCACGCGATCGGCATTGAGGGTGTAGTCATTATCTGTCAAGCTCTGTCTAAATGAGAAACGGAGTATCAAGACATACCAGCAAAAAAGCAGAAAAGAATATTCACACCGCCACGGTACCATAGTGAAGCTGTCGGCTATTCAGTTGCGCCATAGCATAATGCTTGCAAGAGTCATAATCAACGCATCAATAGCAATCTTTGCAATGATATTATGCCACTCCTTGTCACTAAGAGATGGCAAGGGTATTGTCCATTCTCTAACCCGAGGTTCCCGCGGATTCGGATTCGAAAGCTGCGTGTGAAGAGGTCGTAATTGACGGAATAAACCGCTGGGGAGGCCAATGGTAAAGCAGCAGGTTGCAAGAGCACGGTGTGGTGAAACTAGAGCAAGCTGGACAAGCTCGAGAGGTGGTGAGCCTAAGGGGAAATGCAAGTTAGAAAGCGTCTAAGCATACTACGACAGGAAGTAGTGCTTGCGACAGGAAAGGGTTGGTAGGGTAGAATGAGGCGGTAACGGAGCTCACCTATCAAAGCCAAGATTGTTGGTAAAAGCGCTGCAATACTAGTCCCAGTGCCTAAGCTGGCCTTGAATGCTTCATCGAGATTGTTGAATATGCAAGAAATAAGAACGGAACAAGTCCCAAATTGGAACATCTTCGGGTCGCTACCATCGCAAATACGCGACGCATTCTGGAATCGAGGATCATCTGCTGGTCCAACTGTACGCTTCAATGCTTGAGCAGGAAGGATAAGAGTCAAGATAGCTAGTGACAGCTGGAATAGTATTTGGGAAGAGAAATGGACAGTCTTCATGTTGACATGGATTCGAGCAAAGGCGATTGACCAAAGAAAATGCACGGCTGTAGCTACAATTAATAGATAATATTTCAGCAAGATTCAATCCTTCGGAAAAGGGGGCTGTGCCAGACATGTATCTCGGTTAAAGCTGATGGGTGAGACGGCTGTTGCAGGTCCAGCCAGCATACTACGTGAAACCGCAGTGAACCGCAGTGGTCGTCTTTGGCGGATGGCGCTGCGAGCTTTCGTTCGATTTTCGTTCATTACGGGTGGTTAGATTGCATGAGGCATCCCTTCGTAAGTCAGCTAGGAGGCGTTGTGCACAGGCACGGATTCACCCAACTAAGGTGCATCCCTGCGTAGCGAGAAACCCCCCGTGCCGAGAAATATTTTTTGTTCAGACATCTCAAGTCTTTCCTCGTAAGCCTATAAAGTCATAGCCAATATAATAATGTTCTTTAGGCATTTCTCCTCAGGAAACCAGTTTGCAATGAGAAAAATACAACGATCTTAATCATGCTGTCAATCGTTCCGTTTACAGCGTCCAGGACCAAACTAGCTTTATACCCCTGCTCCACCACAACTATATATATATTTTCAAATTTCGGAGGCTTAGGACGATAATCCTATTAAAAGAAAATATATTTGCAGGTATTAGAGATGCGTAGCACTTAAAAAAGCATACACTTTAAAGTTTCTCCGTGCAAGGAAACGCTTAGTATTTTAGCGTATAGATTTAGCGCGCTTATATAGTTAAGTATTATTTATTTAGCCAGCTGTATTATAGGGCGCTGCTAAATGTACACCCTATATTTACTCGGTGTACACCCCTTTTCTACTCCGTATACACCCTTCTTACGTCTGATCTTCTGATTGGTCCGGAGGAGTGCTCCGGGGCCTCCGATTCGCTCGCTTACGTTTCTCACTAATTCCAAATGCTCTCTCCAAGTGCGGCGTGGCCACAAAGCATTACATCCTGATCCTCAACTTCCTCAATACACTCACCATGGCCCTCAAACCACCACCGCCACGGTCCTACTGTACGCTAGATGAAGCCGAGGAAGTGCTTAGAGAGCATGCAAAGGCGCA